AGTTAATATTTTTCTCTATCATATGCATGAAAGAAAAAGAATATGATTTACTACATAATTGATCCTTGTACATTTTTAATTTTTTTATTGAGATTTTTTATTATTTTTTAGCTTAATTAAAACCTTCTACTCTTATAAATTTGTTGATTGAGACCCTCAGTTATAACGTCATTAACTATTCATACATACGTGACAAGTTAAAACTAATGATAGACAATCAGACAACGACATGTGATAAAAAATTTTTAATCCATATTTTCACGTATCAATTCTCGATTGACATGTGGGATAAATAGTTAACGGTGTTATATTGGAGAGTCTCAATCAGTTAATTTATAAAAATAAAATATTTCAATTAAAATTATACATAGATCAATTATGGGGTAAACCCAAAAAGAAAACTAACTATGCTTAATTTTAACATTGTCCAATTGTGTGGGGGAATTTTTTTTTTTTTAACCATTTAAATTGTAGTTCTATCATACTCAGTATACAGGGTGGTATTATATATCCGGCCGTAAGTGAAGAAGAGGAAGTGTTAAGAAATTGACAAGTCACTGCGACTTGGTCTCGTTGCAGAGGTTTGTTGGCTGACTTCTGGAGTCCCTTTGCGCTTGTAAGGCAATTCCATCGACCATATAAACCACTGTTTTTTTACTATTTTGGCTGTTGAGAGCTACTAAGCCAAGAAAACCTTGGCTACGTGTGAACAGGCAGAACAGCAGATGGTAGAATATTTCTGACCGAATGAGCTAAGAAACTTTGAATACCTGATGAACTAGTGTGCGGTTCTTTGCGTCTTGGAATTAGTGGAAAGAGTATCAGAAGTTTACAGCCGTAATAACGGCTAGACTTTTAGAATCTGTAGAAGGATGACCGTTCAACAAAAATGAAACCCCAGATCAATACAGTGGTCAAGAATTCCAGCAGAATTTTCTTTTAGGAGAAATAGGGTGTTCTGTTCTTATACAATGACATCCATTTTCAAAAAGTCATTATATTTTTAAAAGTATTCCAAAATTTACCAACTAAATTGTTATTCTTACTACTTTTTTCTAGATAATTATTTCATTTATTTTGTAAAACTAGAGGGACTATTTTATAATTAACTCAGTTTTCTTACCTAAGTGTATCTGCATCAATTTGGATGAGAATATATAATATGAGGATAAATAAATAAAAAATTACACTATATTCAAGGACAAACTGAAAAGAATAAATTTTTAAAAATAGATTGTATACTAGGCCTAAAATGTAAGAACAAGCTGCGCTAATTCTCCTTTTGCCTCAACACTATTTCAATATAATATTAATTCATGTATATATTACGTAAATGCTTCGGATGGTTAAACAGAAGAATTTCATCAGAAAAACAAATTGAAAACCCACTTATTTTGCAAAGATATAATTGGCTTAATTAATGATATAGAAACGGAATGAATAATAATTCAATTATATAAATACAAATTAGTTTATTTTTCATTGGTTATGAATTTAGATGCTAATATAATGTAATGCAAGGAGTTTTTGCAATTTTTTTAATGGGATTTTTAGAGGTAGCAGCGCGGCACCATCAAAATGGGATATGTCTATTTGGAGGGGAACTCGTCCTGGACAATATGTTCGATATTAATGAACATAATTGCATGTTGTTAGCATGATGGAATTGAATATATGTGCTTCCATGAAGTTGAAATTGAAGACATAACTCAGCTGTTCTCTCTGTAATGTCATTAAGAACTTTCATGAAATTCTGAACCTGTCAACTGTTTCTTTAATGACAAGATAAAAGTATATATATTTTATTAATTGTTTGTCTATCCAGTGAGAAGCACAGAGTATTTTATTTAGTTCTCTTATTAGAGGTAGGAAAGCTTCACTTGAACTTGGAAATTTTTTGATGAAAAAACCCCTAAAGTGATATGATCATTAGGGAGAAAAAATTATAAAAAAAGGTAAAGCTATTTAAGTCTAGGAGAATATTTAGTTGATTTGGAATATGTAGTATATATATAGGCGTATTGAAAATAATTATTAAAAAGTTTAATTAAGTGGGCACATAGAGAAGTAGTAAAGTAATTTTTAGGGTTAATCGTATTACATGTTTTTATATAATGACTCAAGTTTTCAATCTATTTATATATTTTAAAAAGATTTTATTACGTTTTTATTATTTTAGTTAGTTTTTAATTTTTATTTCGATCAACTTATTCGGTCAAATCATCAAAAATTAATCACGTGATTTGCACATGACATGTTTTTTTTTTTAAAAGAATACTCTTGAAAAATGGACGTATAAACTAACATGCTTTGCATAGAAAGGGTATTTTTGTAAAAAAAAAAGTATCATGTGCAAGTCACGTTGTTAATTTTTAGTGATTCGGTCGAAAAAATTGATCGTTTTAAGACATAAGAATAGATTGTGAATTTTTATCATTGTTTAAAAACATATGAGACTATTAACCCTAATTTTTATCGTATTATATATATTTCAACTATGTATGGATATATGATTAATTGATTATTCCAACTTTATCTTTTATTGAGTATTTCAATTCTTGTTGCTTCCAATGATAAAATTGATATGTTTTATTTTTATCGAGTGACTATGGTCATAAGTTTTATAAAAAAATAAAATTAGAGTTTAATAAAGAGTATCAAAGAGATGATAAAACAAAACAAAAAACTCACATTGCCTGTTAAAAGCTAAAAACAAAATACTATATGAAAATGAGAAAAACCTGTCAACAAGATAAATGTTTAAACTAGATCAATTTTCTACAACATTGTGTCCATAATACAAAAAAAAAAAAAAAAAAAAAAATCTAATTTATCTATAAACAAATTTAAATATGAATTTAAGGTTTAATAAGACTACAAAAGATTTAATTCAACAAAACAAAATATAATGATGAATTAAAAACACAACAAAAGTAAATTTATACTAAATTGAGTATTAGATAAAATTATTAAAAAATAAAGAAAATAAATATGGAACGATCATACATAATATTAAGGTACAATGAGCACTAAACACTCATGCACATGTGTATATATATATTTATATATAATGAATGATTTGTGTTGTAATAGAGTTCTATTGACATTAAAGTTTTATTAGTTTTGTTGTAGAAATTTGTGTTTAATGGTAATAGTTGCGCAATTAATTTTATTTTTAATCAACTATTAATTTTTCTAATCTTAATATTATCAACTCATATTAAAAAAAAAAATCACATTTTTACATCATAACACCAAAATCAAGATAAATTTTCAAAAACTCTGAAAAAATCCAGAACTTATTAAAAACAAACTTGAGATTTAATACATTTATATTGGTCTGTACTAAAAACTAAAATTCATCTTTTCATTGGAGAGTAAGATTCATAAATAAAAGCAATATATAATGATATGCTTTTCGTAATTTTTTGTTTTGGGTTCAAAAAATAAAAAAGTAGGCAGGAAGGCTAAACACATTCTCTAGCGTGGAACATTGCGCCCATGTTACAATATATATATATATATATATATATATGAAGAGAAGGACATTCATCGTATTTATATTGGACACAAAGCTTGGAATTTTTTGAAAAATAAATTATCACACTATTTTTTTTATTCGAAAAAGCTTTCATCTTACTAAAAACAGACGGAAGTTTAGGATTTTTTTGAAAATAACTACTATCATATTTAAATATGTAAATATAACATCATGTGCAACTTACTATAAACGAAATTCAAGATTTCAATTTCATAAATGAATTTTCGATAAAGAATTCAATTATTGCTGGACCAATCCGTTATTGTCTGTAAAAATCATATCAATTTGTCAATTGATCTCGATTTAAATGGGCATTACCAAGCTATAGTGACACTTCAAAATGGAAGTTTTTCAAGGGATAAAAAAGGGGTTCTTCTTCTTTAATCTTAATGCAAAAAGCAGCCGTTAGAATCATTCGGAATTTTCAAGCCTTATAGCTAGCCCAGTCGATTAAGGCAGGCAGTTTTTCTACACAAAGAGATAATCGAAGAAAGGTCTTTCTACAATAGCTTTGATTGACGCGGACAGATCCAAAACCATGACGAGAGGGCGTTGGCTTTTGTTTTTTGTTTTTTGTTTTTTTTTCCCCAACCCTTTTGAGCTTTAGAAGTCAGTGGGATTAGGTATTTTCTCTTCACTCTCTCCGTAGGACCCATCAACTCTTTTATTCTAACCACCGTCAGATAGAGCCGTGCCGTCAACTGCGTTGACCTGTAGAGACGCCGCCCCCACCCCCACGTGGAGGACCTTCCCGTACTCGATCTCTATCTCCGTCAAATGAAATCCCACTCCGTTAATATCATTAACAGCTACTCTAGGAGTTAACTACATAATCAGTGTTTGAACTCGGTCATTTTTTTAATATTAAATTTCTATACTCGAATTTTCTCACTAGACTGTCTCAATTTTCAAATTTTAAGAAATCAAAATAATAATTATTTTTTATTCCATAAATATTTGTGTTATAAATTCGCTGAAAATTTGACTTTAAACTTCTCGATAGAAATACTTAACATACGAATTTTTAACCCAGACACTCCTCTATATATATATATATATATATACACACTTTTTTTCAAAACGTACAGAAAAAACAAATCTCATAAATTACAGAATTTATGGTTATTTCACAAATCTGGTTACCCTACTTCTCCTACATACTACAGAGTAGTTAGTGAGCTATGTTACAAGCTGCACGGCTGCCGCATGCTCCCCCTCTCAAATCGGGCCACGTGTGATCCCAACGCAACGATGACGTCATCGATCCCCCGAAAATGACGGCTGGGTCTTCCCTCGGGGACTTGCAATTATTTTTTGGACCCCTCACCCCTCCTCTTTAATCCATTTTGCTAACAAAACAATACAAATACCTCTCGTTGAAAAAGCCTACACAACTACTACGCTCACAATATCTCTTTTGGTTCTCTCTCTCTCTCTCTCTCTCTCTAGCGTTTTACACATGGATAAACAAGGCCGTGAATTGGTGTTCTTGCACTCCGGTGACTTTCTCCGGCAAAACCCAGGTGTTTCCGATCACTTAAACGACAGTTCGAGTAATCATACCAAGCCCATGATCAAAGAAGTTGACTTCTTTTCTACTGATAGGACTAGTAAATTGCCAAGTGATCGAGAGATGAACAATATTGGTATTGGATCATCGAGTCTAGTTGATTCTAGCATAAACGTAAGGTTTCTTTAATATATATATATCTAACTCTTAATTTGTTTGTTTACTTTTTCTTACTTAACTGTCAAGTTTAATTAGGTTTTAATGGCCATTTCCATTGACCACGATACTGTATTTACTATTTACCAATATATGTATGTAGTAGGTATTTGTGTTTACTTGTTATTGACTTAATTTAATGTGTTGCAGACTGGATTGAACCTGTTAACTTCAAGTTCTGGGATTTCAAAGATAGCAAATGATAAGAAACCCAATAATAATGAAGTGAGTTTTCGCTTTGGTACTTGGTGACTTTTGTGTTTCAGATGCCAATATAACTCACAGGATCTTTGGATATTTTAAGTGAGGGGTTTGGTTTTGCAGCTGAGTGTACTACAGGGAGAGTTAGGAAGACTGCACGATGAGAACAAGAAGCTGAGAAGCTTGTTGGACCAGATTACCAAAAGTTACAAGGATCTGCAAGCTCAATTACTCGTGTCAATGCAAAAACAGACACAAGGGAATCGGGTAAAGCAGGTGATTGATTAATTTGCTTAAATCAGCTACCTCTCCTCTCCTCTCCCTCTCCTCTCCACTAGTATATATTAATTAATCATATATAGTATTGGGGAGAGAGATGGATTTTCATCATCCATATATACCAATTAATTGTGAGAACTTCTTGAATGGTGAGGTATAGCATATGTATTTTAAAATTAATTAATCAAAGGCCTATTTTATCTATAAAGAAATGGGTAACGTGCTTCTCTTAAATTGGAAAGTGCGATTACATGATATCTAGTATCACCTTTTCAATATCTTAATGCACATGTTTTAGCTCTTTTCAATTCCAAAACCACCAAGATAGATGATGGGAAAGTTCCAAGTTTCTGGATATATTTTAAATAAGTAATCTCCATTCAACCACCATCGAACTTGCTTACATATATAGGATCATGTATTTCCAGGAGTGATACAGACTTGTCCCAATTTTTTTGATATTGGGATCACCAGCCTCAGCCTGAAATCTGCATCGGTGATTGTAATAAATTATACATAAGATGTTCCATTATCAATACCTATAAACAAGAATACTATTTTTTTTTTCCTCTTGGGCACTATTTTTCCCTCTAGTTAACTAATTAAGAAGCATGGCATTCACTGAATGTAACCAGATGGTCCAAAACTTGAATATTATCTCATTTAGATATCCAATTTATCTTCAATGGGATAATGTAAGGATCGGTTTTTTTCATAAATGGTTGGCGGAACTCTTAGATATCTTTGTCATTGTATTGAATCATTTTAATGATTGATGCAGAAAGGGGAGCTAAATGACACAGCAAGTCCCATGATGTCAGCTCAACGCATAATGGACCCACGGCCATCTGCCACGTTAGATGTCAATGATCCTTCGGTATCCGATGAAAAGACGCACGAAGTATTGGTCTCTCCAACAAATACAGCGGAAACGAAGTCTCAAATATTAGGGAAACGAGCTTCAGTTGAGGATGGTCTTGATCAAACATCCCAGAGTTGGGGATCCCCTAAAAGTACAAAATTGGAACATGAAAAGCCTGACGAGCAACTCCCTGAGGTGCCTTTCAGGAAGGCTAGAGTGTCCGTTCGAGCAAGATCGGAGGCACCTTTGGTAAGCGTTAGTATTTTACACACACACACACACACATATATATATTGTTACAATCTGTGCTGCAAAATAGTTATAATTTAAATGAATTAATGGGATGAGTGAATTTTGTGGATTTAATTTAGATAAGCGATGGGTGCCAGTGGAGGAAGTATGGTCAAAAGATGGCCAAAGGGAACCCTTGTCCTCGTGCCTACTATCGTTGCACCATGGCTGTTGGATGCCCAGTTCGCAAGCAGGTAAATAAATGTCAACAACAAAAACTAAGACTTTCAACTTTCAATAGTTAATGTGATGATGGTGCTGATTACTTCCTATTCACTTATTAATCAATAAATATTGATGGTCAATATCGTTAAGCGGTATTTTCTTTTATTATAAGATAAATTACATTTCTTTTAGGAGTTTAATTATTTGACGACCATCCAAATTAAACAGACCAACAAGTGAAGAATACGATGATTTTTTTTCCTGCTCTATATCTGACTTCAAATATTGATCAACCGCTTAGGTTTGATTGCAGGTTTACTGACATTTTTCAGGTTTTTATTTTAACAGGTGCAAAGATGTGCAGAAGACAAGGCCATTCTCATAACAACATATGAAGGAAATCACAACCACCCTCTTCCCCCAGCAGCTACGGCTATGGCAAGTACTACCTCAGCTGCAGCAGCAATGCTCCTATCAGGTTCAACAACCAGCAAAGAAGGCCTATCCTCAAGTAGTAGCATCTACCCTTCTTTGCCCTATGCATCAACAATGGCTACCCTGTCTGCTTCTGCACCATTTCCCACTATAACCCTGGACTTGACACAAGGCCCAAACACTACAATTCCATTCCTCCGCACCAATCCTTCTCCAGCCACTTTCCCTCTTCCTTTGCATGGCTGCCCACAACTCCTTGGGCAGCCAATATATGTCGCTCCCAAGTTACCAGCAATCCCTTCCGTGCAATTAGGACAGCGGCAAGCTTCAATGGTTGAGACAGTTACTGCAGCCATTGCTTCTGACCCAAATTTCACAACAGCCTTAGCAGCAGCTATCTCAACATTTTTGGGTACACCTAGAAGCAGTGATGGGCTTAACAACCATAGTGCACCTAGTGGAATACCTGGATTGCCTGGATCTCCACATCTTCCTCAATCTTGCACCACTTTTTCCACCAACTAGCTAGGGTTACCACCGTCTGCGGCTCTGGTCTTCAATAAGGTGCATAGTCTGTTACTTCATTTTTTCCCAAAAGCTTGTAAGTTACGTTTGGCTTTTGAAAGAGTTGAAGAAACAGTGAGATGATAAAGGAAGCTCGAAGTCATGGGCTGTCAAAGGATATTACTATGGGTGGTGTTTTCCAACAACCTTGGGTGTGCATTTTGAGCAGCTTCTAGCTTTGGTTTAAGGTATCGCTGATTCAGCTTGTTTGGATTGTTATTAGTACTTAGATGGAACTACAGCAACCTGGGCTTAGAGATAAATTTTGACATATACAGATAAGCTGAAAAAGGAGATAAACTACAAATACGATATATGTTTGTGTAAATGGTAATCTATACATTGATTAATCTATTAATTGTCAGTGGAGATAAATTTTTACAGTGCTATTACTTAGAATTGTAAGCTTTGAAAGCTTAGAGTGGGGTGTAAGAATGAACTGGTGTACGTGATGAGAATGCGATGTATTTGAAAAAAGAATATAATATAATATATGATTATGTACAAAAATAAAGCTCAATGAAATGAGATGCAGCTTATGATGGAGAGATATTGCGTATATACATGAATTTCAGCAGGCCTTGTCATTATATATATATATATATATATATAGCTTTTCCAACTATATGCTACTCTTACAAGTAATTTTGTCCTAAGGTAAGGAATTCTTGAGCTCAAGGTGTCTCTTTACTTTGATTAATTTGTTGAAAGTTTGAGATTTATAGCGAAGCTTATTAAATTAATTTCGTGCACTTAATTCGTCTTCTGGAAGGCACTTTATGTAAAGGAAACCAGATCATCACATCAACCACTGAAATCCTAAAGATCCTTCAATCACGTACAGAAATCTCGTGGAATAAGAGCATATGTTAAATAATCAAACCGAACCAACCCTCCCTAGCCATGTCCAAAGGTATAGGTATGGACCAGCTTCCAACCGAGAGTCGTTTCAATTTCACCAGCTTATTTTAATCAAGTAATCTACTAAAAACTGCTCAGTAGTTACAGTTAAGACTTTGGATATGTATATTATCTAAAAAATTCTGCCACCTCTTCAATACTACTGTAACCATCTCCATCCACAACTCTATCTACTGAAGCTATCGGGTCTCTCTCTACAGAAGCCATTAGGATAGCTCTTCCCTCAACAACTCAACTCTCTTATCTACTATATAGTTTTCATGCATTTAGGCTCAGTTAAGTTTCTTATATATAAGTTAGGTTTATCTTGTAATCGTAGCAATTGCATATAATATAGTAGATTTTGTAAACATGGTTCAGGTTGAAATACATAAAACCATTTTACTTTAAGGTTCTTGTTTTTATATGGTATCAGAGCAGCATTAAGCTCCACCGAGCCTGATCCAAAACACCAATCATGGAAGTTGTCTCCTCCTCCAACTAAAATACCCAACAACAAATTACTCTAGCCTCAACCGTAGTAACCCAAACAACATCCCTTTCTAACCTGATTACTTTTATTACAGCATCTTAACTCTTTTTAAGCTCACCAATAGTAGCACCTATCCAACATGGAGGGAAAAACTCACTACCCTTCTCTATAGGTACGACCTTATGAGCTATCTAGATGGGTCCTGCCTTTGCCCATCCAAAATCATTCAACATAATGGTCACATAATTCTTAATCTAGAGTTCAAATTTGGCAAAGACAAGATAGGTTATTACATAATGCTATATTGTCTTCTGTTGATGCCACAATATCACCTCTAGTTATTGTAGCTTTCACGTCTAAACAAGCATGGGACAACATCTCTACATTTTACACCAACAAGTCTCATACTAGAACTTATGGTTTGAGAAGAAGCTTAGCTAAAATGGTCATGGGCACCAAACCTATGGCAGACTATCCATAGGATATATAAGCAATTGTAGATGAACTAGCCATCATTGGCTCACCTATCAGCAATGATAAGCTTGTGATCCAATATCCTTAATGGTCTCATATCTGATTATAAGAAAATTAGCATAACTATCCATGCTTAGGATATTTCTATCTCTTATGAAGAGTTGTTTGACAAGTTTTCTAATCATAAAATTTTTCTAATGCAAGATGAGGTCAAGAAAGACTCAACTCCTATTACTATACATTTCACTAGCATGGCCACCGTAACAAACCTCGCAAAGGCACCAACCATAACAATTCTTCCTTCGATAAATCTCTTGGTGGTCATAATAATACCAATAATTCTTCTCATTCCTCACAATCAAGGTATTATTCACAAGACAATCGTAGCTCTAATTGGCAGTCCTCTTCCATGAATTCCTATAAAAACAAGGTGCAGTGTCAAATATGGTCACACTGCCAAAGTTTGTAAGTCAAACTTTTTTGAGCCCCAAGCTAATTTTACTGGGTACACATCAACTCTCACTGAAGGTAACTAGGTTTTAGATTCAGGTGCCTCCTATCACATTACCTTTGACCTTTAAAATTTTTCTGTCCATTCTAATTACAATGGTAGTGAAGGCACCATTATTGGAGATGGTAATAACATTCTAATTTCTCACACAGGTTCTACCCAACTTGTTACTTCCATTCATTCCTTTACTCTATATAATGTCTTATGTGCTCCTAAAATTCAACACAATTTACTTTTCGTGTCTCAATTTTGCACTTCTAATAAAACCACCATTGAATTTGTTTTCTTCTTTCTTTGTTGTGAAGGATTTGATCATAGAGGCAATTCTAGTTTGAGGTTGGAGTAAGAGACATCTTTATAAATGGCCATACTCAGCCACATCTACTTCCATCTAAGCCTTTCACGTAAGCCAAAGACCTACATACTCATTGTGGCATCAACGTTTTAGTCATTTCAATCAATGCACTTTTCAACAAGTTCTCACTAATCATAATCTTTCGTTACTTAAATCTTTATTTTTAAATTCTTCTAATTCTTGCTTTTGTAATAAAAGTCACAAATTATCATTTAGCGCCTCCTTTTAAAAAATTTATGAGCCACTTGAACTTATTTATATAGATGTTTGAGGCCTTGCTTCCATTACCTCATTTGATGGTTTTTGTTACTATATTATTTTTGTTGATCACTACACTAAATACATCTAGTTGTATCTAATTAAACAAAAATCTAAGGTTACTCTTATTTTTCAACACTTTACACTACTTGTGAATTTTTTCTTAATTTACCCAGTATCATAGTATACTTTGATGGAGGTGGTGAGTATCTTGGCCTTCACCACTTTCTATCAGCCAATGGTATTCAGCATTTATTTTCTCCACCTCACACACCACAATATGTTGGAGTTACCGAGCATCGTCATCATCATATCTTTGAAACTGCTCTTACTCTTCTTCATCATTCCTCTACAGTATTATAGTTTTAGACCTTTACAATTTAGACTGTTGTTTATCTTACAAATCACATGCCCACATCTATTCTTCAAAATACCTCACCATTTACCTCTCTTTTTCAAGAGTAACCTAACTATCACAACATACATGTCTTTGGTTTTCTATGTTATACATGGCTCAAACCTCATTTTCATCATAAACTTGAACCCAAATCTTTCTCATGTGTCTTTTTTGGTTATTTCAAGTCTCATCAATGTTATCAATCTTGGATTATGCTACCTCTTATATTTATTTATCTTGTCACATACTTTTTACTGAAGCTATATTTCCTTTCAAAACTCACGTCTCTCCTGCAACCTGTGTCACCCTCTCTCATTTTTCTAGCTGGACTTCTCTCTCTGTATGTCATGATCCTCCTTCTCAGCCCATCCAATCAACCCGATACCTCATGATGCTATTATTATAATTCTTTTCCCCACTCTTATCTCCAGTGTGTCCACGACCTTACCTACAGCCTCCTCCAAATCTCTCACCAAAGCCTCTACGAGTGCTCACTATGGTCTTATTCCTTTCCTCACAAGTAAGCTCTTATATTTATCCAACACCCTTAGGTCTTGTCATTAGATAAAAAAATATTTTCAAACCCAAAGCTATATTTGATTACATTATAATTACTACTGATATTACTCTATCAACTTTTTTACAAGCTTAAAAACACCCTCGTTAGCATCAAGCTATGAGTGAACAATTTGTTGTGTGTAACCAAACATGAGATCTTGTTCCTCTTGACTCCTCTCAAAATATTATTTTTTATAAATCGGTCTATAGAATTAAAAGCAAGTATGATGGAACCATTGAGCATTATAAAGCTTATTTAGTTGCATAAGGGTTTAAACAACAACCTAAAGTGGATTTTTATGAAACATACAGCTCTGTTATCAAGCCCACTATAGTTTGCTTGATATTGGCTCTTATTGTCCAACAACATTAGCCTCTACGCCAACTAGATATCAATAATACCTTTCTTCAAGGTCGTCTCAATGAATGTGTGTTCATGGAGTAGCCTCTTGGGTTTACACACTCATAATTTCAAGAAAATAAATATCGTCTATGTAAAGTTATTTATGGCCTCAAGCAGGTGCATAGGGTATGGTACCAAAAGCTACGAACTTTCCTTCTCTCCTATGAGTTTCATAACTCTTATTCAGACCCAACTCTTTTTTATTTTTTCCAAGCATAGCACATGTCTATTTCTATTTGTATATGTAGATGGTATTATTCTTACATGGACCTTCTAGTGTAGTTAACAGGGTGGTTCATGATCTTCCTGCTCGTTTTTCCATAAAAGATCTTAGAGATCTCTATCTCTTTCTTCGTGTTGAGGTTATATGCAATAAGCATAGGTTGTTCCTTTCACAATAAAAATACGTAATTGATCTCCTAACTAAACACAACTTGCTTAAAGCTAAAGGAGTTCATAGACCAATGTCCAATTCTAAAAAGCTCTCCACTGATGAGAATCAACCCCTCACAAATGTAAAATAATTTTATATGGTTATTAGGGCCCTTTCTCACATGCCCTAACATTTGTTATGTTGTGAATAAGCTATCATAATTCATGCACAATCCTCGTATCTCTCATTAGAAGCTACCAAACGAGTTCTCTAATATCTTAAGCAGACTATTTCCTTTGGCATCCATCTCAAGGCAGCTTCCTCATCCCTAGATCTTGATTCTTACTCTGATGTCGATTGGGTAGGAGATCTTGACGATTGAAATTTAACTTCAGCGTATGCTGTGTTTCTAGGAGCCAACCCCATCAAATGATGCTCTAAGAAATAATGCACCATTGCTCGTTCGTCAACAGAAGCTAAGTATTGAGTTATTGATGTCTTGGTAGTAGAAATCAACTGGGTCTAAAACTTGCTCAATGACCTTAACTAGCTCTTCGTTCAGCTCCAACACCTTTTGTGATGATGTTGGCACTACATACTTGTGTAAAAACCCTATCTTCCACAGCAAATGAAGCACATTAGCCTTGATTTTCATTTTGTTCGTGCTCAAGTACAAGCTAACTATTCGTATGTTGTTCATGTCTACTCTTAGGACTAACTTGCTAACTTTTTAACTAAGCTTCTTACTTGACGTATGCATGAAACTCATAGACTGAAGCTATGCATTATGGATGCTAAACCCAGCTCGTGCAGGGGCATGCTAAGGATCTTGTTCGATGACTCATCTCAACTATACCACCTCATCAGTACTACTGTAACCATCTCCATCCACAACTCTATATGCTGAAGCTATTAAGTCTCTCTCCACTGAAGCCATAGGGATAACTCTTTTCTCAATAACTCAACTCTCTTATCTATTGTATAGTTTTCTTGTATTTAGGCTTAGTTGCTTTTCTTTTCTATAAGTTAGGTTTATCTTGTAACCATAAGAGTTGTACATAATATAATAGGTCTTGTAAACATGGTTCAGGATAAAATACATAAAATCATTTTACTTTTAAGGTTCTTGTTTTTATAAGAAGATCATCCTTTGAATGTGTTAGTGGCCTAATGAAACTTTTCATGCATTAATCAAAAATTAAAAAAAAAATTGCTCGACGTTTATTTGTATCAGTAGTTTCTATGGCTTTGTTATTTACATTTGAATATGTGCTTTCTTGCTATATCAATTTTGTCTCCGTCCTTTTCAGAATGCTTGCTTGTAATAATGAGTTTGTCTATTTTTACTTTTACTCATGAATTTCGGTTTATTAAAAAAATAAAGGAGTTAATTTAACCTTATATTTCCTCAATGCCGCACGAATGGGTTTTTTAATTGGATTTTATCTTCGGCCTCTATGTGAGAGAGAGAGAGAGAGAGAGAGAGCTAAAGGAATTGTATAAAAACCTTCAATAATAAGGAAAATATAGGAGTCAGGCTTGGACATTGGCATGCTTTTCTCATTTTTTTTTTTTTTTAACCTTTTGCGTGCATGTGAAATAGTATGGGTTGGCATTCATTTTTAATGAATAGACCAAAACCAAAGAACTATTTCTTAATCAAATTTCAGGTAATTAAAGAATTCTACAGACGGGTTGTAAACTGATTGTATTTCTTTATTAGATAGTCTAACGAGATTAAGTTTGACTCTTTTGGGAAGGGACCAATTTTTATATAATAAGTTATCTTTGTAGTATATATATGGTGAAATACACAAAATCGCTTTCCTAGTTGAAAATTTATTGGAGTTTCTTAAATGTTTATATTTCATAGAATTTAAGAAACTCTAAAGTAACAAAAATCCAAAGGTATAATAATAGAGTAAATTATAAATTAATTTTTTTATTTTTATTTTTAAAAAAATTATTTAACTTCTTAATCAGTATTGACGATAGTAGTTTAATATTATGTTATTTTAAAAACTATCTTTTTACATCAATTTTTCATAATATTGATTTTTTATTTTTTAAAATAAATTGAATTAAAAATAAAATAAATATACAAAATTACTCCATAATTAATTTTTGAAATAAAAAATTATAATTAATTGGTTTTTCAAAACTAAAAGAAGTAATTTATAATTTACTCGTAATAATGGATATGACAAGGGAGGGAGAGAGAGAGGGGGGAAAAAAAGGCGCGGCAATGGTCCATGTTAAATCACGAGTGACTCCCGGCTTTTCAAAGGAGTCCCAAAAACAATTAATGTGTGATGTATCATTATCAAAGTTGCTTTGTGAATAACTTCACGTGAGTTTTAAATTTAAGGTACGTAAACAAACTCTAAATATTATGTACACTTTATAAATATAATCCTCTGCTTAACAATATAATTTGTAAATTTAACGTTGCTATGACAAAATTGTACTATAAATGATGATATTGTCTCTTAATTTTCTCTGACTCCACAATAAGAACTTGGCTTCCGTTCCTTGGGTCAGGATTCTCTAATCTTAGAAAGCTCAAACTTTGGTTGTGTTTCCGAAGAGGCGTACGTTCAAGCTTGATTTATTTGAATCAATGCTTAAATTGTTTGGATTGATAGGCCAAGTGTCAAACATACTTAAAAAAGCTTACTGATATTCTAATTACATGATTTTATCATTTACATTATCAACTGCGAGAAATTTTATAATATATAAAGAGTAGACTTAGTGATATGTATAGTAGTTATTTTATGAACTTATTTGAAGAAAAGAGATAAACATATAAAATTACATCCGAACTCATTAAAAATGATGAAAAGATTTTCACATTCGTTCGATATTTTTTAGTTCTATCTTCTGTTTCTCTTTCTCTTTATGTGTTTATCTTTCTCATGGAGTAACTATTATACATATAACTAGTTAATCTTTATGTATTATAAAATTTCTCATAAACAGCTTCTAAATTACGTCCGCAAAAGAGGGGAGGATTAGGCAACGCCTTTATAAACGGCAACTGCGTCAAGTTTCTTCATATGCCATAAACATAAAATCAGAGACGAAGGGTGACGTTTAAGATTACACTCCACTATACATGGCAGACAAGGTTCCGTGCCAATTGGTATGATCAGAACCAGTGAAGTCAGAGAAACTGTCCAAGTTCAATGTACCTAGTACGAGGGTTATCAAGAACTAGCTAGGCCGCAACAAGGGCTAGGTTCGCCTAAAACGTGGCTAGATATTACAGACGGTGGAAATAAATCACACAACACTAGACAGAAATGTCATCTCCAGTGGTATTATACATATAGGACACTGTATGAGGCATATGTGTAGCAAGGCCAACCTGAAATGGGCATCGGAAATTAATTAGAAATTGGCAATGTGTTTGTTTGGGTTCACCTTGAGTTCCTCCTAGCTTCTTCAGTGCCGATGGAAGCTAATGCTGCATTTTCTTGGTAAGATTAATTTCCTCTCTCAAATTATCTTGAGCTGCGTAAAATTGGCAAGTGTCAGGTTTGGATGTATTAAAGGTAAGAATATTTTGTTAAGCCATTCAAGTTTTCGTTTTGGCGTTGAGGGATTTGGTCGAAGCAGTACTATGTGGCCTTACTTCTGATGTACTGAAGGGTTTGGAGGAACTCTAGGTGCTGCCAAACTTGTTACTTACCATGTATGGTGATTTATGGCGAGCTGTTGATATGTACAGAACTGAACTGAGTTGAAGGTTGAAACTTAATGAGGTGGGGTGCTAAGATTCTTCCTAACTTTGTTATTCGCAATTAATTAAGTTTCTTCACTCATCATCACTAGTTTACGTTTCTTCGGGTTAATCTTAATTAGTATATCTTTCTTTCTATATATATATTTTTTTCTACTTTTCTTCTCTGTTACAACTTGCAAACATTCGTTTGAGAACTATAGTCAACAACTATTTTGGAAACAATATGAAATTGTCAAAAATTGGCTTAAAAGAGAAGATGAGTGCTCATTGCAAGGCCTTTAGATCGGAGGCTGTAGACGAAAAACTGGCTTGAACTCCGAATAAGGCGACTCAAACTCTACATTGTCTGTGTTAAATGGTGGTTGTGAAAGTACACGCCTTGACCAATTAGAGCAATACAAAATGAAATTTCATGCCCAGCCAAAGATCCACTTGGAAACGTAGTAAAATTTCTCTTCAATTAATATAATCAATTCCCCTCAACTCTTTTTTGCTCTAATTAGTTAGAGAATCCATCTCAAAGAGGAAAATAAAATCACTCTTTTCAAAACCGATAGTATAGTTGTTTTCAAGAGTAGATCTGATAGAAAACCACAAAGAAGTAGAAATTGAAAAAAAGAAAAAAAAAAGAAAGCAAAATGATCGGTCAGGAGAGGGGATTGACACTGGTTGCATATCTGAGAGTTGCAGCCCAACTTTAAATTATTTTTTTTCCTTTAAATCCCCCACTTTATATTAATGTGAATTCCAACCATGCGTTTTTAATTAATTTCAATATAAAAAGATTTCATCAAAGTTCAGAATAAATGATATTGATAATAATGTTTATGTGCGCGTCACAAAAAAGAAAGCATATAGTTTATGTCCATACAAATAATGTTATTGATAATATTGGTTCATATTTGTTACACGGTTGGCAGGAAAGATGAAGCCCATCTACTAATACCTTTGCGAGCTGGACCGTCCAAATTGCGCATAAGTCCAGCATAGAAGTAGTTTTAATTCGTTCCAAATGGACATTCGGAAAGGAAAGGTGTTGGGGATTGAAAAAAATAAAATAATAATAATAATAATAATAAATGGATCAAAGAAAAAGAAAATTGTATCTAAGGTACTAAACTAACAAATCTTTCCGTCGAGCAAAACAAAGACAGTCGTAACAGAATAAAGCTTTTCTTTTCTTTTCCTTTCTTTTTTTCTTTTTAACAATAGTAATAATTAGATTTTTTGCTCATGCTACACTCGTGGATATGATAAAATATATATAATTATTTAAAAAATTATTTTAATTTGATAATCTGTTTTATGATGTGAATGTATTAAACTATATGAAATCAAAAACAAAAAACAAAAATTTAAAATTTTTTAACGTAATTTGAAATTCAATGGATGAGAATTAAAAAAAAAATTAAAGTAATAAATTTTAAATAATAAAAATAATCAATAAAAAACACTAAAAAAAATTGAGATCAAACCACAATACAATAAAGTTTGAAATTAAAAAATATATATTGTATAAAAAAATTGAGGACTATATAATTTTAAATTAATTACATGAGAAAAGAATGAATAATATTAAAATAAATGAAAAATATCATTAAATGTAATTTTAAATTAATTAGATGAGAATTTGAAAAAAATGACAAATTAAAGTTATAGATTTTAAACAATAAAAATAATTAAAAAAATTAAAACAATTTGACTAAATCACATACAATTAAAGTTTAAATTTTTTTAAAAAAAATTGTATAGAAAAGATATATATAAAGAAAAAAAGACACACATGTACACACATAATTTATCGTATGAATTATAATAATATATTTTAAAAATAAAACAACGACATTCTAAAATTTTAGTTCAAAATTCATATATTAAAAAACTAAATTTATTAACAAATAAAACCGTATAAAAAATCAATTTAATGTGAATTTTCATAAGAAATAAATAATTAAAAAATAAATTTAAATAATAAATTTAATATTATTATATATATTCTCTCTCTCTTTCTATATATATATATATAACAAACAGGGGAGATATGCGCTTGGTTGGCTTGCAACCAGGTTGCAAAATAAAAATGTGAGGGCTGCATAGGCCAGCGTGCTTGGGCTTGCCATTGTAAGCCCGTACGCCAGGCCTTGCCTGGCAAAAAAAAAAAAAAAAATCTTGCAACTTTCAACGAATTGTCGGAAGTTTGTCGAAAAAATAAGAATCAATTTTGAGACCTCTAGAAATTAAATTCCAAAATTATTATTTTTCGTAAACACCTCTAAATGATCGGAATAAAGTCAATAAGCAAATCTAAAACCTTAAAAATCATTTTAATACACACAAAAACAAAGAAAAATAGAAAATCAAATTGTATATCTATTTTCTTTTTTGGGTCAAATCTATCTCCTCTTATTGTTTTATAGCTTAAAACCACTATAGACAAACTCATCTCTTAAAGATAAAAAAAAATCTAATAAATTTTTATGAGCGAGAGTGACCTAAATGAGTTTGGCCTACGAGCTCTCTCTCTCTCTTCTTTTCAGCCTTCTCTCTCCACCCAGAGATCAAAATAGATGAGCAAATGAACATATGGATTGAAATATGAGTTCAACAATATCGGGAATCAAAGTGTAAAAAAAGTTTATGAATAATGAAAACAACAATGAATTATAAGAGAGTAAATAGTAAAACATGAATGTATGTACAATATTTTAAATAGTATAGCTACGTTAACCACAAATATTTTACTTTACTTTATTAGTTAATAGCATAAGCTCTAGCAGCCCAAATATGTTATTTAAATTGGGTCCCACAGATTTTTTAATTTTTTTTTTCGGTTAACTACTGAGAGCCGTTAGATCATCCTAGATCTGGAAGTAGCCGTTCAAATTTCAAAAACCCTCGCCGATAGTCGACCGTTAGAGAAGAGAGTTGTTCCAATGTTTGAACTTTTGGGCGTCAACTTCGAGCAAACCTTCTAAATCTAAACAGCAATAAGATTTAGATAACCCCACGCCAAAAAAATTGTCAAAAATTCTATGGATTACAACTAAAATCATACCCCAAAATTCTCTGTGTTACTTCGGATTCGGGAACTGCAACAAGAAATACTCAACTCAAAGCAAAGATGATGTCCATGAGGCGCCATGGCTGGCAACGCCCTCTCCACCCTTTACAGGTACACCCCACATTTTGTTTTTACTTCAATCTTTCTGTATATTGAAAAATGGACTTTAAAAGTATGTTGTCTTGGCTAATTTCATGTATGAATATAGAGAGGCTCTTCGTTTACTTCAATCAATCACCTCCTAAGCAACCCATTAATAATAACACTAGTTTTGTAGTGCGAGTTTACTGAATTTGTTGTCTTTGAACTTGAAAAATGGAAAACAACATGAATGTCCCATCTGCTGAATTTCTTAATTTTTGAATGTCATACTGCTGTTTAAAGTTCAAACCATCCAATTGTTGTGTTCATGGTTGCATTGCAGATGGTGGGAATGGCAGTTTACAGTTTTCTGGTTGTGGCCTTCTATACATTCCTTGGGCTTTTCCTTGGAAACAGAATTGCTGAAATTACAGTCACTACAATCTTTACTTTTGTGGTAATGTTGATGGCAAAACAGGGCTAGAATCTGTCCTTTCTTTACAAACTGACCATATAAAACTAACCCATGATTCGATTTTTTTTTCCAGGCAGTTTCAGTTATTTTCCTGTTCATTAGGTGCACTGCCATTGATCCAACAGATAAGACCAGGTTTAGAAAGAGGAAAAGAGCTAAATCAAATGGGTTTTCAAATTTAAATTATGGATTTATATTGAGTCAAATAATTATGAGGTTTTTTAGAAAGATGGAAAGAAAGATCCTTAAAACTTTTATAAGGAGAAAGTATTTGGACCCACTGAAGACCAATGCTCAATTGGAGCCATTGCTTCCTTTTCCACTTGTCATGAAGGATGATGCAGTTTCACCTGACCCTAAAGATGATGACATCTCTTATTGCTCGCTATGTGATTTTGAGGTCTGGGCATATATACTTTAATCACTCAAATCTTTAATAGTTTCACTAAGAATTAAAGGATAATACATTGCTGACTGCAATATATATGTCTCAGGTAAAGAAGCACAGTAAGCACTGCAGGACCTGTAACAGATGCGTAGAAGGGTTTGATCACCATTGCAGGGTAAGGATCTGGTTGTTTTTTAAAGGATTGAATTGTCCATAATCTTCTTCATTTATTTCTCATGAAGTTGAATTTTTGTGTCCAGTGGTTAAACAACTGTGTTGGCAAGAGGAATTACACCACATTCATTCTTCTGATGATTTTTGTCTTGTTAATGGTCAGTAGCTAATTATGGTGAGTTGCTTTGTGTCCGGTGGTTAGACTTGCTCACTTTTTCATCAAAATGGTTATACAGTTGATCATAGAAGGAGGAACTGCGGTTGCCATATTTGTAAGGTGTTTTACTGATAAGAAAGGAATGGAGAGGGAGCTGGAGAGGAGGCTACATGTAGAGTTCCCAAGAGCGGTTCTTGCCACAATATCAGTAATATATAGCTTATGTTACAATTCTTCAGTGGATGTTTTATAATTTTTTATTTGATTTTGGGTATTCATTGGTTTCAACTTGTCACTATGTTACAGGTTTTGTTGGTTTTAATGACAGCTTATAGTTCAGCAGCCATGGGACAACTTTTCTTTTTTCATGTGGTTCTCATACGCAAGGTAATTATAATTGTTGCCTTGAAAACTATTACCAAAAACATCATTTACGTTGGGTTAGTGAGGTAAAGCAAGGACTTGATGGCTAAGAAACATTGTCCACCTTGCGAACATCTTTTTTCATTTCTACTGCCTCGTTCCAATTACCCCAAAAACCAGTGCATGATTTGTTGGCTTGGTGCCAATTCTGTCCCTTTGGCACCAGGAAAAAGTGGAAATGGGGGGCCTCAAAAAACCCCTTGGTGTTAGGACTGCAAAAACGTGTTTTTTAGTTGGAAAGGCTACAAGGATGCAAAATACAAGGAAAATGACAATTTCCATTGCTTTCATAATTCTGGCGCACGCTTAGAATTAACGACAACCCAGTTTCTTTTGGCTAATGCATGGATGAAGATGCCTTAAACCATACAAGTAGACTGGAGATTGATTCTTAATTTTTCTCTTATGGGTTGCCATTGAGAATCATGCCAAATATAGGTGCGAGGATTCCCTTGATATCCCAACCCCCTCTGCATAGTAGTTTGTATCTCTTAGCGAGATATTAAGGATTAAAGTTCTTCGGTTCTTCCAGCAAAGGATTAGGATTGTCATCATGTCAAGTGACAAATGACAACAATTTCATAGGGGATTGATCTACTGAAGGATTGTCTCTGAACGCTAAAGGATGCTAACAAATCATGGCTCTTTTATGCAGGTTTAGATTTAGAAACAATACAAAAATCATAACATTTTAAGTTCCTGCACTGTACTATGAAGTTTTGCTGTTAACTGCTTCCCTAGTCTAAACTGGTATTTTGATTATTTATTGCTGCAGGGAATGAGAACATATGATTATATCCTGGCTATGAAAGAGGTGAACGAATCAATGGAACTAGATCCTTTTGATGATTCAGATTTCTCTTCAGACTCTGATTTTGACTCTCCTGAAAAATCAACAATTGTTTCACGCTTTATTTGTGGCCATAGGGGAAATCAGGTAACTACCTTGATATTGCACTTTTGAGTAGAGATAATATCAAACCTTAACTACATGGTTCATCTATTTTCAGAATCCTACAAGTCTGTCAATAAGAATTGATAGGGATCCTGAGTCTTCTAACTTAACCAAGAAACAAGGCTTTCATGTAAGCATCAATCCTTGGAAACTAATCAAGTTAAGCAGAGAGAAAGCTCTGCGAGCAGCTGAGAAGGCCAGAGAGAGGATTATGAAACAGAAACCAGTAGAGCAACCATTAAAGCCCCTACCCTCGGAGAAAAAATGTGGACCATTGATGAACCAAGACAAGAATATGACCAACGTGGAATCAGGTTCAACGCCACTCATTTCCAAAGGAAAGGTTCCAGTGTCACCCAGAAGGTTCTCAAGTCCAAGAAGGCGTTTTTCTGGCTCCCAGAGCATGTTTTCTGGCTTCATACCTTCGCCAAAGAATAAGTACCGAAGCAGTTTCGATTTGAAGTTAACAGAAGTTTCCAGGGAGCTTGAAACCTATATTTCGAGGCAGGTTTTATGTTCTGTTATGAAGAAAGACGCCTATGAGGCTTCCCCAAAATAATTATTGTGCTTGAGTTTTAGGATTCTCAGCCTTTGAGAAAGATTTGTTGACTAATTAAGTGTATTATAGAAAAGTTTCTTAGTGAAGTTTAATCAAGACGTGTTTTACTCTTTCTTTACGAGACTTCAGATTCCCTTTTCATTGGAAAGCAGGTCAAAGTGTATGATCCTTTCACTGGAAAATTTTCTATGAGTCAGCTTCTCTCGAATGCTCTTCGCTAATTTGGAGTCTGGGTCCCTTGGTTTACAGGTCGTACATTTTAAGGCGCTAACCTGGGAGCACTTGGTTCATTTCTGTCGAGCAAAAGTGAATTCCAAAATGGTTCAGAAGTAACAGCAGCCGTGCTGTTGTTCTGTCGACATAGTTAGGCATAGGCAACTTACCTAGAGTAATTGAGATGGTTCTCTCAACCCTGTCCTTATGCTAGAAAGACCAGCCTAATCCTCTCATTTTCTGCAATTTTTCCCTTTTTTTTTTTTTTTTTTTTTGTTGTTGTTGCTGTTGTTGTTGTTTTCCACACATAGAGAGGCTTTTCGATTTTGAAGATATGAGCTCATTCTATTATCACTTTATGATAAAAAAACAAAAAAAACAAAAAACAAAAAAATCACTCGATTATTTGTTACTGCACACAGTTACAGGAAAAAATCATCTCTCAAGACTATTTTCACAAGTCAACAACCACAAATCAGCAACTTCACGCAACTTTATACGTCAGCCTATCATTTCCTCGGGCAGGCAATGAACAGCATTGTGGAGAATGGCAAGAATCAAATCTTGAACTGCTCTGGACATTCACAGTAGAGGGCGAAGTTATCACCAAACAAATGCTATTATGCCTCCACAAATTTACCAAGACAACCAAGCGCCTCTGTTTTGTTTACCTGAACTTTCCAAGTGATGTGTTGGATAGTAACAATCTGAGTAATGGTCAGGGAAGATTCTCTCCCTGAGAGGGTCACAAATTTCTGGAGAAACTGCGTCAGAATACCCTTGGATATAAGAACAATTCCACGGAGACTTGGAGGTCACGCTGAGGTTAATGTTTGATAGGCAAATGTCAAGAAAAGTATCCCCTTCTATACCCTCTAAAAGGCCAGCATATTTAATGTTCTGTCCTGTGACATCCTCAATGGTTATGCGTTCTATTAGAGGCAGAGCCTTTGGATCATAATCGTCGTCTGGGTGCTCTCCATATCGACCAGTGAACCTTATGGCTGTTTTGACATCAGTCAAGCTCATATTTAATATATAGATGTTCCTCACATAGCCCCCCTTCCAGGAGACGTTTTTATCCTAATACCTGTAGTTGAATTGTAGAATGTGAGATTTTCTGCATGAACCTCCGACACTCCTCCAGACATCTCACTTCCAATTGCAATCCCTGCGCTAGTAGTTTGTCCAACAAGCCGGCGAATGGTAATGTTTTTGCTAGGACGACCATAGGATGTGCCATACTCATCCCACCCACTTTTGATGGCAATTATATCATCACCGGTGCTAATATAACAGTCTTCAATGCAAACATCATCAGAAGAATCTGAATGCATTTAAACACATGGATAAGATAAGAGCCTTACGAAGTATTTACAGGAAGTAATTGAAAATGGGTTAGACAATGAGAAGGTAACTTGCATCTTGCTGAGATGCTTCTAATTTTAAAAATCAAGCGAGGAAATAGCTGCATTCTATGACACTATAGAACAGCAAGAGAGTAATTGAACTTAGTAGTACAAATTCATGAGTTGAATTTTGATCAAGGAGAAATGTGTACTTATTTATTTATAATTTGCATCTCAAACTATAGATTTCTTATCCATAAACTAGAAGTGAACTATTTCCAGCCTGGTAGAGAAAGCTCACCCGGATCAATCCCATCGGTGTTTGGTGAATCAAGAGGAGCAAGGATTGTGACATTCTGGACAATAACTTGGCTGTTCATCCAGAAAAACAGTCTCAACTCTCCCCCTAATTCATAAAAGCTTCACTTTTGCACAGTTTTATATGATAATGTAAATAGTTCAAGTCTAACAAATAAGGAAAAGACATGCCCTTTAAATGATTTGGAGTGTACGAACCTGCAGTAAACAGGGTGGATGGTCCAGAATGGTGAATTTAAGAAGGTCAGGTTTGAGATGACCAACCCAGTAGTGTTCATCAATTCAACCAGATGGGGGCGGGTATAGTCCAGGGTTTCATTTCGGAACCAGTTCCACCATATGCTGCCTTGACCATCAATAGTTCCATTGTCGCCTGCATGTTGAAACCAGTACCATTACAAAAACAACATAATTAAATACAAGCAAGTACCCGTGAAAGGAAATGAACCCTTATAGATGTCACTGACCTGTTATAATAACATCTGTTAAATTACGACCATAAATGAGGCTTTTGTGCCTCCTCCCAGGCAACTCCCTCCCTCGGCCATATGATGGTAGCGGATCAATAACTGGCCAATCATCAGAGTTCTGGAATTTTCAGGTTAAGTTATTCAGTACTATGAGCTAAAATCTCATATCTATCGGCCCAGAAATAAAAGAAAAGGCATAGGTTAAGGATCACTCTTGCATCAATTAGTACATTGATCCCATGGAATATAGATTTTCTCAAATTCAGGTAAAGCTAACTTTAGTGCCATGCACAGCCTAATGACCTATTTTATCAAAGCCATAGCTTCTAGCTTTTATATTAACACAGTCCAAATTTTCCAGATAGAATTACAGCAGATAACTGGAAAAGATTTTAACACACATTCTGTGCACATATTCTCTCTGGCATGGAAGTGAGGACTCACAGTTGATCCAAGAATGACAGCATCCTTATCTAATGACAATGTCAGATGACTGATCAGATCAAAGCTTCCTGTCAACCACCGGCCAGGTGGGACGAAGAGCTTGGCCCCACCCTTGTCAGCAAATGAATTGAGATAGAAGATGGCATTCTGGAATGCCTTTGTGTTGAGAGTGACCCCATCTCCAACTGCGCCAAATTCAGTAATAGAGACACTGTGAGGACGAATCTTTGGCGGGTTGCACCATTCGCAATGTGAGCTGCCCCTGATAGCCCATGGAGCGTCACTGAACAATGCTAGTAACAGCAGTAGATCCACTAGCTGAAAAAATATATTCAAAGATGATTGAGTAGAATAAGAGATCTGAGTTAAGCCTTTTCATTTCTTTCCTTGTGTTTCTGGTTAATCATAGTGAGCAATGATGAGTTCTTCTATACAGGTCGGGTTATGTTGATGTCCTTGATCATCTTAGAAACTCAGAAGCTAACCAAGGAAACAGAATATAAAGAAAGGCAAGTCATGTAAACTACAATGTAAATCAAAATTGGAAGAAATACTAAAAGATATATGTTGAGTGAAACACTATAAACTGGTGACAGTGTAGCTTTATACCAATTCATAAGCAATAGATCACGGATTTCATGCCACATCAGTTACTGATGGATAGAAGAGCTAGCCAATTGAGCTACATTTTGCCAGAAGGATATTAAACTGAACAAAAAACCATAGTTTCGGCCAAGAAAAGGAAGTTAATAAACAGAGCTCCGACAACACTTAACTAACGGTGAGAGGGAAGAAGTAATTCTTCTCAATCAGATCCCAAGCAAATGGTTTTCATTTGCATACATGTTCTAGAAATTATGACTCTAATTTCCGACTGACATAAGCTGAGTCGGGCAATGCTTTACTTTTCTTGAAACCGCACACTAGTTTACTTATCTACTGAGAAAACAGAGAGTGAAAATAAGGAAACACGAACAAAAGGAGTCACAATTAAGAAATGATCAAGCAACTCACAGTAAAAGATCTCCTCATATGACTAAGATCTGCTGTTTCCGTTTTGAGCCCAAGCAGCTTGACCTTCCCACCTGTTTGTCAGATAATAAAATCCAACAAACAAATTCCTTCAAAGTAAGAGAGCTTAATAAAGATAGGGGTAGGGATCTTGATAATCAAGATCTCTCTCTAAGCAAGAAAATGCAAGTGTGTTTGCTGTCTGTGAGTGTGATTACTGATTTGATATTGAGACAAACAACCACCAACAATACCATCCAGAGAACAAAAAAGAACAAGAAAGAAAAGAAAAATCATTGAAAGTGACCGTTGCTGCCAGCCAAAAATCAAGCAGTAGGCCCCCCTAATAGTTCCTCACCTCACCTGCTACTCCATTACTTCACTCACTCATATGTTCTTCTTCAAGATTACTATCACACTTCGAACTAATGAACACCCGAAAAAGCAAAAGGAACTGAAACAATCGATAAAATCGAAGTTGGGTTGGCGTTTAAATGCTGATATTTGAGCTAAAACAGTGGTGTCTGCGTGTCTCTTTGAGGCTTTTAATTCTTCTACGTTTCCCTTGATTGAGAACTAATTAACGCCAATGAAAGTTGATTTTTCCTAGAGAGAGAGAGAAAGTGTGTGTGCATGGAATGAGGATTGAGGAGGGGTATATCTCTCTCTCTCTTCTCTTACTTTCTCCTCCTTCCCTCCTCTCTATGGGTCTGTCTTCTCATGTGACAAACTCACATTTTTAGTTTAAGGTTTTGGAGAATCTACTCCTAAATCTCACCGGCCCTGTAATTTTACTTCTTCAATCATCATTTTGCCTCCTTTTTTAAGGAAGCCTTTTCATTGAGAGCAAAAATTTACCCTTTTTTTTTAATTTATTTTTATTATGGGAGTTTATGAAATTACCCTTTTCTTTTGGACAAAAACTCGCCTGCAAATTTAAATCTCACAGACACAGTAGTAAAATCTTGAATTGTTTTTTTTCTTTTTTTTTCCTTTTCTTGAAAATGGTTAGCACTGTTATGATATGGTGTAACTGGGAATTAATCAATAATGTCGCCCTCAGTAAAGAAAACACGTGTTTTTTTTTTGTTTTTTTTCAAAAAAGTAGAAAAAAACTTCGGTCTTTGGCTGGGTTACGGTTTCAGATTTTTTTTTTCTCTGATGATTTCTTCGAGATCATTAAGTTGCTAAACTCAACCAGTAAGGGATCATTTGATAAAACTAAAAATTAAATATTAAATTTATTAAATTCTAAATTTTAAATACTAAATATATTTTTGATAAACTGTTTAGTATTTATTGAAAATTAAATGATAAATATAATAAACTTGTTTGATAAGTATTGTTACTTGAATATATTAAGGCTATATACATAACAATTTTAATCTTATAATTGAAACATGGTATTTTTTAATACAAATAAAAATATATACATAGATTTATTTGTTTGTACAAATAAATAAATATTCAATAAAAATTATTATTAATAAAAAAAATTGAATATGGCATAAGATAACATTAATTGACATTTCGGATTCGGGATGATAGCACATATAATGGAGAAGGTTTTCTCTATTTTAACAATGGGGATAGTAGATATTGTTTTTCAATTGGTTTGTATATCTAAAGTTACAAAAATATATAAGGGCGATATAGTTGTATTTGAAAAGTTTTAAAAATCTTTTAACCGAATGTGTTAATCAAAAAGTAATAAGTTAAAAACTTTAACTTATCCGATTAAGTAGATTTTGACTGAACTTAAAGTTTTAATATGAGATCGTTTAGGTTATCAAACAAACTTTTTATATTAAGTACTATAATTTAATTTTTTAAGCTACTTAAATAGGTTATCAAACGTCCCCTTAGTTTATTTCTCTCCACAAATAAACGGATAAAGTGCAGCACATTATAACATATAGAAAGGAATCGACACCAAACAATGTATTATTAATCCAAAAATGATTTGAATTGGAGTTTGTAAAAGATAAGATATAAGATCTTTTCCGTTGCTATATTACCTTTTGTCATTTGTTATTAATTCTCTAAAAGAAAACTATATTAAATTGTTTTACTTATAATTTCATATTTTGGAGTGAAACTTAATTTTGAAAGTTAAATTGATATTTTGATATTTTCTTTTAGTGTTTTCATGGGAGCGTAATTGTTTGTAAACAAAGACTGCATAATAAGTAAATTGGTTGATTTTTTTTTACTAAGTTTAGTTGTGTTTTTTTACAATAAAAAATATTTTCAAATCAGCTTGTACATTAATAAAACTACGTTTTTTTTTCTCAAACAATTTTAAAGACCTATTTCCATTTTTTGTTTGATGCATCTAAAAAAATTAATAAATTCTCTTACGTGTTAATCCAATATTTGAATTCAAAAAATAAAAAATAAATGAACTTAATTAATCTTGACACGTGAAAGCTAGCGTTAAGAAATATATTGTTGGGTTTGTAATATAAAATGTAGAGACATGTTAACAACTATCTATTTCATTTTCAGCCAGCCATTCTATCAAATTCTAACTAGCTAATAGTAATGCTACTTAGGCATACGCAGTTGATGTTGGACATAAAATCTATATTTCTAGTTGATTTTTTTTAATGTTTATTTAATTGATAAGGTTTCTTAGAATTTTTTTACCTTCTATTTAATTAAGCTAGTTATTTTACTAGAACATTAGTACTAAATATAGAATTTTATTTTATTTTTCTTATTCAATATGATAAGGTTTTTTTAGTTTTCTATTTAAGCAATGGCATCTTTTTAAAAAAAAAAAGAAAAAAAAAGATGTTTTTCCTGCAGTTATTACTGTATTCTTTGTTTTAAAAATTTTAAAATTAATAAATCTCGTTATTTTGTTATCCGCCAAGTCTTGTGGTTTTTCCTTTCATTAATTAAAGTGTTCTCTTTTCACCTGTTTTTGTTTTTATTCTTGTAGTTTTGTGTAGTTGCGATCATAGCTGGAGACAGGAGGGAAGGGGGACTAGACGTGGACAAAAACTAGCTTATGGAAACACAGCTGTGTTGTGTTTTTGGGAAGTGATGGAGCCACCACAAAAACCATTGCAATTTATTGCTATGCTAATGGCATTAAGCCTATACTTATGGAGAGAAAACAAGCTGACACTTTATGGTATTTACATATTAATTATTAATATTTATTTTATAAAAAAAATAAACATAAAAAAGAAAGAAATATAAAAGAGAAAAATAATTAAACCTGAGTAAAATATTTTTACCATTTTTAATAGAATGAGATGTTTTTTTTCTTTTTATCTATCTATTTCTTCAAAATCAACCTGTATAATAAATATGATAGTTAATCATGAAACATTTTCATTTTTTTCTTTTATCTTCGTTAACCTACCCATTGTATTTGTGACTGAAAAAAAAATGTTTACCCTGGCAACACACGAATCACCATTTCGTGATTCGAAAGACGGTTAAAAACTAAAAAGTTCTGCTCAGCGTAAAAGTAGGCTTGACCGTGACCAATTCTTGCCGTTGTAATTCAACTGTGTCTGACTGTAACAACAGCCTCCAGAGAGAGAGAGAGAGAGATTCAACGCTGAGCGTTCCCCTTGTCAAGGATTCTTATGCTCACTCCATTGGCTTGGCTTTTAAGGCTTAGGACCCTTCCGCACCTCCTGCCTGTCACTGGGTTTAAAGCCCGAAAAAGAAACATTTAATAAGTGGCATTTTGACTTACATATATGGCTATGGAATTCAATATTTTGCATATATAGAGGAAAGCTAAACCTCTTAAGATCATATATTTAAAGATTTTCAAACGTCATTATTGTTAAGCTATACAAATGAAAGAACAAACAAATTAAAGAGAGAGGCAAAAAATTGCACACCACACAAGATAAGTAAAACCTAAGAACATCTTCGATACTCTTTTTATATTAAGATTTTTTTTTATAATAAAGAGGTTTTGCTCAAATTTCATCTCCAATGCTCTCTTTATCACAATCTCTATCTTTAAAATTGAGATACGAGTGTCTTTAGCTCTCTAATACTTAGAAAGTTCAAATGACTTTTTATCTTATATTTTATTAACGAAAATTATTATTTTCTATGCCACTTGCCTCTTCACCAATAGTCTCTCTAGATTTTATAGATTTTGTTAAAATAAAGAGTTAAAATAGAGAGTAGCATTAGAAAGAACATTAATCTTCAATCTATATAATTAATGATATTCTCTATTTATATTAAAAATGTTAACTAAAAATAAAGATCAGATGTTCTAATAATACCAAATTAATATACTACTGGTTAGTTAGTTAGGGCTTAAGCCTTAAAAGTTCTATGTAAACCAGACAACAACAGAGAGTGTGTAAAAGAGCAATAAAGGCAGTCATTATTCATTGTTGCACTTACCAAAACACCCCCAAGTTTAAGACCATTTTGTAAGTTCTGAAAGGGCAGAGGAGCACCAATCCATCAAGTGCAAATAGTTTCTTAAACCAATTTTAAGAAAATTTGTCCAAACGGAGGGGGACAAAATCCTACACAGTACAAGGAAAATACAACGCAAAGGGAAGTCTCGAATCTGAAGCAGTAACGTAAGGAAACAAAAAAAGTTATGGTTTCCAAGGTCAGGTATCCAATGACCCCCATTAACCAAACACAGCTAGTGATTGTGTAAAGAAAGAGATAACAGATTACTGTCCAGCATTACTACATGCATTGCTTCCTTCAGCATTTTACCTCTTTACTCTGCCCTTTTATTTGGCAAAAATCTTTCTTAGATCTTCATAATCTCATTTTATCTTATAAGGTAAAAAAAAAAAATGGATATTCACGTATAATTGTCTTATAGAATCGATTTACAGAAAAGTTATTAAGTGGATAAATATTTCACGTATTATTTAAGTGGATTTCTTTAAAAAAATTAAAATCTAATAAATATTTTTCAATAAAAGAATTCTGTATTATTAACATTATTTTAAAAAAAATTTGGAGTTTCGGCAACCTTTTATTTTGTTTCTGTTAGTCTCATGTCCAAAGATTATTTTATAGTAAATTATTGAGATTACTTTATAGTAAATAATAATGTCTAAGAAAAGAACATAGCTTATGTCTAACATCTCTGTTGTCTGATTCCTGCTTATTTTATCAGCAAATTTTGCTGATTTTTATGATTCTTCGATACGATAATAAAGATATTTAAGTTACATCCACTCTATTTTTTTTATTTTTTACCGATTTGAGAGGGAAAAAAAAAGTACAGCGACTCGCTACGTACGATAACTAAAATTACAGTTCCAAAATAAAATTGCAGTTCCAAAATAATTTTCATTTACGAGTGTGAAGATGTTGCTCATTTAATTCGTTTTTATCTCAAATTAAATATTCAAGAGATAATCTCAAGGGTAAATAAATAGAACCAGAGGCTATATATGTTAAATTACTTCCAACGAAGCATATTATTTTTTAAGAGATTCATTCATCGCATTAATTGTGATTATGGAAGATAAATTAAATACAATTAAAAGCTAGCTATATATGTTCCTCAATGATTTCCATCCAAACTAGAAGGAAAAAAAAAAAAAAAATCCCTTTTTAAATGCCATTCCTCTTTACCAAATAAAGTGAACATCCAACCCAATTCTCTTCCCCCTCCTTCGGCACTCCCTGAATCCATTTTGAGAAAGAAAGAGGATGGTTTCTCTTCCAACTGTACAGTGAAACCCAACCATTCTGATTAAAAAAAAAAAAAAGATGTCTTGAAAGAAGGAATTAATACACTCATAAATGCCTCCGCTTTGAAATATCTTCTCCGGTACAAATGAAAGCAGTGATGCATGCACAAAGTTGTTCCTGTGAGGAGGGACCATCCACGTCGTCTATGTAACTTTCACGGGTACCTTACAAATAATAATGGAGATCTACCAAAATTGAATTATTGCTTTTCTATATAATGAGCAATGAATTTTGCATCATCTCTTTTTTTTTTTCCCTACTAATAAAATTAATCAATTATCTAACTTGACACGCATAATCGTACATGATCACTCATAATTAGCAACGATAAAATTTTGCTGGAAGCTAACTAAGTTAATTAATACAGCATTTTTCTACACAAAGCTTAGTAAGTTTTATTAATCATGAAATTTTCATTTATTTATCTAAGAAATATACATGTGGTATAGAATTCTTATGGAGCACTCAGGAATATCCATGAATTTGGTAGATCAAAAACAGCAGGGTTTTGTCTCAAGCGTGAATCACGTGCTATCTTATAAACACTAATGTACTTCAGATTATATATACATCGAACCATAAATATACCAACTAGTTTGTCCTTGACATATCAATACCAATTACTATAAGAAGTGACCACACATATATAGTGGAATATAATTAAAACATCGCCATCTCAAGTCTCCTAGAGAAATTTACAGACCACATGAAGCTAGCTAGCTAGCTAGTGAATTGCCGCTAGATCCCAACTGCCCTTGGATTTGATAAACAGTACTAGCTGGGTGTATAAGGACTTTGACTGCAGATTGGCTGAAGCGTACATGCATGCACATGGGCTGTCTCTTGCTTGGTTTTATTGTTGTACGTTTGTGTTTCCCGTTTGCGTACAAGTCCATTAACAGATGAAGAGAAAATATTCTCCGCAATCAACAAGAGGGATACAAAATATGCAAAAATAATCTCTCTACGTACCCTCAAATAAATTAATTGGTGAAAAATTGAAATCTTACCAATGCGTACATGATATGTTAAGCAAGCTGGAAGTTTGTGATGAGCAGGATGGTATCTATCTCACCATATTAATTAATGTTTAAGTGGTTGAATTAATTTCGGTTAATTTAAGAAGATTCTTTGAGACAAAATTAATAGCAAAGTTTAGTAGAAAGCAAGAGAAATAATAATTAACTACTTCTCTTCCAAGTTCCACCTAACAGCAGCAGCTACCTTGCAATAATTGAACATCGATCGATCAGTTGTTGATTAATGTTTGCTCAACGAATATATACAGCATAATATATATAAGGAAAGGATAGGATTAGCAAAGTCACAACTGATCTATTTTTTCCAGCATATACCAGTGATATAATTTAATTTCTCATATCCAATAATTAGTAGTTACACTTGGCTAATTGCTGAATTGATATATATATATTTGAAGGTGGGGATTAAGATCATGACATATCAATATTTTCCCTCATTGACCTAATTACATTTTGATTATCTTAATGATCTTTGTATACAACGTCATTTTCGGATCTATCACACCTTGTCTCTGACTCTATATTTATTTTTCATGTGTTTTTTGGCCGTATCCAAGAACGCTACAAACTTATTTGGAGGAGGACCACACTTCCATGAAAATGTACTATTTTGGCCTTCTTCAAATTATAATCAATAAACCTACACGGACGTGCTAGGAGCAAACTAGGCCTAGGACCATTCGATTTTATTTTTATTTTTTTGTCTTTTCTTTTTTTGGTACATTTGACCATTTCATGGAATATAAAACAAATCTCATTTTCAAATAATTTTAAAAATATTTGAATCTTGTTATAAAAGAATTAGTTATAATAATAAAATTAAAGAGAAAAGTGATAAAAAAATGAATTTATTATGAAATAAAGTGAATATAAGTGATAAGAATTTCAAATAATTGAATAAATTGCATCACTCTTTCTATTTTTCATATTGAATGGTGAATTAAATCACATGAGTAGTGAGAATATAAAATAATCATGGATATTCATTATTTCATAACACTCCTTTTTGAATGTCAATGACACAAGAAATATGTCTCGTTAAAATCTTATTAAAGAAAAATCCAATGTGAAAAAATCATAGTGAAGAAAAAGGTCTACAATATTCCTTGTACACGTTAATTTTCATGTTGGGGCTTTCTTGGATACAATTTTTTCAAAAATTATGATAGATAATGTTTTAGTGAATAAGCCCGTTAGATTGTCACTTTGATATATTCTTCTTTTAATTGAATTATGCAAGTACCATTATCTTCATATGATATTGTTGAAACTTCTTTACTAATAGATAAATCCGATGTCTCTTAGATATGATGGATCATTGATCTTAGCCAAACATATTCCCGACTTACCTCGTGAATTAGTATTTCTACATGATTTGAATATGTAGCGACTAAACTTTGCATAATAGAACACGATGATATAGTTGTATCACCATGTGTAAATATATAACCCGTTTATGATCAATGTTTGTATGGATCAGATAAATAACTCGTATCCGCATAACTAAATAATTAAGTTTTTTAATTTATTAAAGTAAAATAAATCCATACCAATTGGTCATTAGAAATAACGTAATATATGTTTAATTTCATTCCAATATTTATATGTTTGAGTAGAACTATATCTTGCTAATAAATTTATAGAAAATGCTATATCGGATTGGGTATTATTAATAAGATACATTAATGCACAATGACACTAAGATATGATGCTTCGGGACCAAGTGGTTCTTTTTCATCTTCTTGAGATCGAAAAATATTTTTTGAATATCAAGTGAATAAATTACCATTGCGCTAATCAATAGATGAGTTTTATATACAATTATCATAAATCTTTTTAAATATAAATGGACTGATAAATAAAAATCTCATCCTCTAAATGCTCGAACTACGGGTATAGATAAAATTTTGTTTTCCCAATATATTCACATCAAATTCTCTTTTTAATACACACACACACACACACACACACACGATATATATATCAATTCGGTAATTAATGCATAGTGACACTAAGATATGATGCTTCATGATTAAGTAGTTTTTCGTCATCTTCTCAAGATTAAAACAGATTTTTTTTAATATCAAGTGACTGAATTACCATTCGATCAATTAATGGATGAGCTTTATATACAATCATTATATAACTTTTTATATATAAATGGATTGATGAATAAAAATCTCATCCTCTAAATGCTCGAACTACGGGTATAGATAAAATTTTATTTTTCCAATATATTCACATCAAATTCTCTTTTCAACACACACACACACACACACACACACACATATATGTATATATGTATGTATCAATTCAATAATTAGCCAAATGTGACTACCAATTATTGGATATGACAAATTAAATTATATCACTCATATATGTCAATATATGCTGAAAAAAATAGATCGGTCGTGATTCTTGGTAATAAATTTACGAGAAAATGTTATATCGGATAGAGTATTATTACCAAGATATATTAATGCACCAATGACACTAAAATATGGTACTTCATGACCAAGTAGTTCTTTGTTATATTTTCGAGATCGAAAAAGATTTTCTTAGATATCAAGTGAACGAATTACCATTGGGCTAGTTAATGGATGAGCTTTCTATAAAATTATTATAGAAGTTTTTCTATATAAATGGATCGATGAATAAAAATCTCATTCTCTAAATGCTCGAACTAGAAGTATAGATAAAAATTTTTTTCTAAAACATTCACATCAAATTCTCTTTATATATATATCAATTCAATAATTAGCCAAATGTGACTAACAATTATTGGATATGAGAAATTAAATTATATCACTCATATATGTCAATATATGCTGAAAAAATAGATTAGTCGTGATTCTTGCTAATAAATTTACGAGAAAATGTTATATTAGATCGAGTATTATTACTAAGATATATTAATGCACCAATAACACTAAGATATGGTACTTTAAGATCAAGTAGTTCTTTGTTATCTTTTCGAGATCGAAAAAGATTGTTTCGGATATCAAGTGAACAAATTACCATTGGGCTAGCCCAATGGATGGGTTTTATAAAAAATTATTATATAAATTTTTACATATAAATGGACCAATGAATAAAAATCTCATTCTATAAATACTCGAACTATAGGTATAGATAAAAATTTTATTTTTTCAAAATATTCACATCAACTTCTCTTCATATATATATATATATATATATATATATATGAAGAGAATTTGATGTGAATATTTTGAAAAAATAAAATTTTTATCTATACCTATAGTTCGAGTATATATATATATATATATATATATATATATATATATATATATATATATATATATATATATATATATATATTGGATATGAAAAATTAAATTATATCACTCATATATGTCACTCTATGTTGAAAAATAGATCAATTGTGGTTCTTGCTAATAAATTTATAGAAAATGTTATATCATATCGGATATTATTAGCAAAATACATTAATGCACCAATGACATTAAGATATGGTTCTTGAGAACCAAGTAGTTCTTTGTTATCTTCTCGAGGTCAAATTTTTTTTTTTTTTTGGATATCATGTGAACAAATTACTATTAAACTAGTCAATAAATGAGTTTTATATAAAATTATTATACTTTCTCTATATAAATTGATCAATAAATAAAAATCTCATTTTTTAAATACTCAAAATACAAGTATGGATAAAGTTTTGTTTTCTCAAAATATTCACATCAAATTCTCTTTCTATATATATATATATATACGCGCGCTTAGGTTTGGTACATTTTCATGGAAGTGTGGTCGTCCAAATAAGTTTGTAGCATTATTGGATAAGGCCAAAAACACATGAAAAATAATCAGAGTAAGAGATTCGGTGTGATATGTCATGGTCTTAATCCCCACCTTCAAATATATATATATATATATATATAACTTTTCTATCAAGTTATTATTGATGCTATTTTGGCCTTCTTCAAATTATAATCAATAAACCTACACAAACGTGCTAGGAGCAAACTAGGTCTAGGACCATTTGATTTTTTTCTTTTTTCTTTTTTGATACAAAGGACCATTTCCTGGAACATAAAACAAATCTCACTCAAATAATTTTAAAAATATTTGAATCTTTTATTAATTTTTTTTAACTGACGCAGCATTTAACATAGACTATATTTTTATATTTAAGAGAATAAATTTGATTGATAAATCACCAATAACAAAAAGGCATTTTAGGGGGAAAAAAAACTTTTGGGAAACAATTTGTATTTCTAGCATTTACTCCCCTCTTTTTCCATTTTTTTTTAATGCAGGCCCATGTAGTTGAGTTAGTGGACATCAATTCGGGTCCAAATAGGCCTTATAATATAACATGTCAATGGGCTTCAGAGTATTTGTTGGACCCAATTTATAGCATTTGTCAAAAGAAAAGAAAGAAAATGAAGGCAACGAAACCCTCTTGCTAAACCTTGTAAAAAAAGAAGGCAAAAACCTTTCCTGAACAATCATGCGAAACAGGAACAGAGCTTCAAAAAATTCTGTTGCTCAGGAACAAGAGTGAGTTTATCCTTTTCTTTTTTTGATTTCCATTTTTTATTTATTCTCTGGGTGTTTAGTTCTTTTTATTTCGTGGCGTTTTCTCTTTATGTGGGTGTTTGATCGTGTATGCAGGTACTTTGAAGGGGAACGTCTTGCTCGTTTGCTCAAATCAATTCGCAGGTAAATAATTCTTTTTCCTTCTCTTTTATCATTAATGAATCTAGAATTGATGTTTTCCATTAAATTGTGACAGGGAGATAGAGTCAACGAAAACTTTGGAAGGAAACTCGCTTCCTGAGAAATTTTGGTTTAAGGTTACTAATGATATAATGTTTTCTTTGATGTTGTTAGTTTAGCTGTGTAATGTAATGTAATGTAATTAACATGGGTGATGGTAATGGTTTCTTTTTAGCAACAATTTGCTATTGGGGTCAATGAAGTCACTCGTTTGCTTGAACGTATGTTGCCCGGGTCCGAGAACGGAAGCTCCCCTCAACAGTCTCGTGTTATGTGCAACAATCACAAAGTGCCTTCTGTTCAGCTTCAGGTATTTTTTTTTTCACCTAAAATACTTGCTTCAAGTGATTTATAGAATTTGGTTTATGTTTTCGAGTTCTATCAATAAATTGAATCTCGGGTTTGTAGATGATGGGACTCGTGAAATGCGTAATGTAATTGTATATTATAATCTCTTCTATGTTACGTTAGCTGCTGCTAGAATGAACAAAAACCTTCTTGTAGCGTTTTTTCGTTTGATGTTTTTATTCATTGAAGGGAAATTTTTGAAGGATCTAAACCTAGTTGTCAAAAGGCCTTTCAAATTACAAGGATGATTTTACGTAGTTCTTTATTTATTTATTTTATTTGTAGGGCAGTTAATCAGAATTTTTATGACTCTGAATTCTATCCTTTGATTTGTGGTACATTTGAAATAATGAATCTCTTATTGTGTGTGCAGGCCATACTAATAGCTTCTGATTGCAACCCAAAATGGCTAACAAAACATCTACCAAGTTTGGCTTCGTCAAGGAAGGTGCCGCTGATCTTTGTCAAAGATAAACGAGGAGGATCCTTGAGATTAGGTGAACTTGTTAAGCTAAAAACTGCTATTGCCATTGGAGTGAAAGTACGTGCTACCTTTTGCAGATTGCATATACTGCATTTCTGGCTAAGTATTCTTCTCAGCAATATTATTCAGCTATTAATTGATGATTTTGTTTCATGTAGGCTAGAGGGAATGCTATAAATGAGATCGTGGAGGAGATTCTTTGCGGAAATGAAATAAACCTTAAAACAGATTGCCCAATTTGAATGAGGAGCCTTCCACACCCTGTCAATGAGCTCGCCGTTTGTACAGACATGTGCTAATTTAATTCTGGGCAGAAGGGCAGGAAAAATAGAACTGAATGGGAATGAGCTACTGCTATTCCAAAGTTTGGCTTATGTTTGTAATTTTAGGGCTCATGTTTGTTCTCACAAGATGAGGAACAAGGCTGTCCGTCAGTGTACTTGCTTGTCGAACAAACCTTGTGACAAATGCTTTCACTTGGTCACTTTCGCCCCATTCAAATGTATTGAGAAGCTTACCACTTTCGAGTACATGTGGTAGTTTTATGTATCTGTCCTCTCTTATCCATGGCAGTTTCACAATTACACCTTTAAGTTACGTTTCTTATTCCAGCTGCTCTCTCTAGCACATATACATTATCTCCACCATGACAACGATCAAGAAAGCATGCCAACATTGCACTCAAAATAACTGTTACATGTTGTATTCCTTCAATATGTAATAGTTACTTGTACCAAACCTTTTTTACCTTATTTTATGCGATTTTTAGAAGATATTCATTTGGAAAAGACTTTAGCACTCAAAAAGTATCCACCGATGGGTATAACATCCATTGAAATTGAGCCATGTGAACTTAATGATTTATCACATTAAAATTGATATGATATTTATTTTCATGTATTTTCTTTTTTCGTAAATCATTTAAAATAGTAGTGATATGGTAGTTAGCTCTTATGGCATTAGCTACTAGAAATCTTATAATAAATTTATTTGCTTTATAATTATTTTAATTTGAATAGCACAATAATAATTTATCTAAAATACATTACTATGGTTTTTATTAAATATTTCATTGTTGTGTTTCAAAACATCGCACAATAACATACAAAACACAATATGGTGAGAGTAAAACAGGCTCTCAGCCTGAGAAAAGTTCGGTTTTCTTTTAATGGATCATCATAAGTTATTCTTCTAAGTTGTTAAATAATTATGTGGCAAGACAGCAATGACAATAATTGACACCAAGCCGAATTATGGTTCAACATCAATATTTTTTTTTCGCACCCAGAAAATTTTATGCATCAAGTTGATTTTTTTTTTTGTTAGATTATACATCAATAATTTAAAGATTTAGTAAATTATAAATTAATATCAATAAAAATAAATTATAAATTAATATCAATAATTTTTTTTATAAGTGGAAGACTAGTAATTTATTATTATTATTATTAGATTATAAATTCATTTTAAAATTTCTTTTTAAAAGTGTATGTATTTTACATTCTTCCCAAATTAACCCTAAACATTGCATTACCAAATTAAAAACCTGATTGTTTTTCTCAACAATTAAAAACATCTATCTATATTTTCGTAAGAACATTTATTTTTTAAGATCGAGAAAAAATTTAAATCCTAAATTTTAGTTAATGGAAATTTGAATTTAACTACTTTCTTAAAAAATTCTTAATTTTTTTGTTTTTGAATTTTTAAATTTAAAAACATTCTTAATTAATTAGTTTTGAACAGAAGTGATCGTAATCTAAGCGGAACTATGCAAGTCACGTTCCTTTCATTTCTCCTTGTCACAATGAGAAAAAATCAACATAAATTCAGCTCTAGTTAGTATCGCAATTCTTCCCTCCTTTAAATCGTGTGGTTCCTCTATGGTACAGTTAAATATGCATTTCCTTTTCTTCAGTGCGTGCACGAGTAAAGTTTACAACGAACGATTACAAGCTCCCATCACTGTTTGAGAGAACAAGATGCTTTATGTATTGTTCACATGTTTCAAATTCTGGCCGAAATCCTTTCTTGATAATTGATATAGGCCTTATGCACTAGCCTGGGGGCTGGCAGCTGATGACGACTCTGCAGCGCCAACAGGATTAGGTTTTTTCTTACCACCCCTACCAGTTCTGACAACTTCGGCTGATTTGTCATTCTGGCTTTGTTCCTGGTTTTTCTTTACCATCACGGGTTGGAACTGCCAAAGAGAAAAGGAATAGCAAAAACACAGGCATATTATTGAGAAGAAATAGCATTTTCTAAGAGGTAGAACTTAGAAGGATGAAGTAATTTAAGTACAGACCTGATATATGGAGTATATAACATTTCTTCTTATCTGAGCCATCATCTCCAAGAAGAGCTTGTAGCCTTCAAGCTTATACTCAATAAGCGGATCACGCTGTGCATAGCCACGTAAGCCTACAGCTTGCTGAACAAACTTGATTGCTTGTAAATGTTCCTTCCACAAGCGGTCAATATTGCTCAAAATCAAGAATCTCTCAGCTTCCTTCATCAAGCCAGGCGCTTCTTTCTCCACAACATCCTTAAAGCACACAGATTAAACAGGAAGATAATACAAAATTCAGGTAGTATGTGTGTCCCGGCATTTTTAGAAAAACAGCAGATAGCAGTATAGCACTCAAAATACCCAAAATTTTGAGCACAGACTTGGTGGCAAACCACCAGTCTTGAACTATAAAAAAATTTCAATTTTCAGTGTCAGGATGGATTGCCTACTTGTAAGGAAAGCCTATGTTGTGTTTACTGATCATCTGAGTGCTGCACTTTGCCATAGCACATACTTTGTTATACAAGACCGTTCAAATACAAATAATCTACATTCAAAGTTTTCAGCTTAGGCTGGACATCTCCCAGGGCAAACACAAAAGCACCATCTCCTAGCACCACCTAAACATCCAGGAACTCTTCTTGCAATGAATAGCAAAGAACAAGGTTTGGTCAACAGTTAGCAAGAGTAATGAGCTGCTTTCAGGCAGGATTTGGTTTGCATAGTTCAGTCATGGCTATATGTATTAGCCTCATTATGATTCAGTGCAAAATTTTCTCTCGTTTGACTATTTTTAAAGGGTACGGCCTAGATGAGGAAGGATTTCATGATAAAAAGGAAAACACATCTGGGCCAATAAGACTGTTTTACTAACCCTTTTCTGTAAATATGCTTCACTACCACGAAGACGAAGGTAATCCTGCAAGTCTTCATAACTTGAACACTTACTTCGCAGCAAATCTGGCGTCAAATCATTCAGCAAATAGCAGTACCTAAATTAAAGTAATACATGTCAGCAGAATTATTTTAGAGAGAGGATAAACAAGAGAGAGATCCACTATATTGAGATCTTATCTGAGGGTGCCTTTCATTAAATCTACAAATATTATCGATCTGATTGTGAGCATGTTAATTTCAATATAAACAGAAATAGTTCTGATTCATCAAACATCCATACAAAATTTGAGTTTCAATCTCGTCAAGCATTAAGCAGAGAGAACGAGGGGAGCCTCTTACTGTTTAACTTTTGCAATGAGCTTTTCAAGATCCCAACTTTCCATAGGAGCATCAGAACCAACATTCGCCTACTCATAAGTTTACAATAACAATACAGTTCAGTGATGCTCAAAACCCAAGGAAAAAACAGTTATGGCTTAACCAATGAAGTTCTCAAACAGGTTACCTCTAAGATGTCATCCATTGTCAGTTCAGCATATTCAATAATAAGAGACTGGAGGTTGTCTGATTCAAGGGCTCGCCTTCTTTCGGCATAAACACGGTCTCTCTGGCTGTTCAGGACTTCATCATACTCAAATAATTGCTTCCTGATATCAAAAAAATAGTTCTCCACTTTCCTCTGAGCTTCATCTAGTGATTTTGTCAACATATTGGACTCAATTGGCAGGTCTTCAACTCTAAAAGCTCTCATCAAACCCTAAGTGGCAATGTTGAGAATGTTTTAACATGCATTTCTAGAGGAGCAATAAAAACTAGACAAGTAACAACTAACAACCACAGGTCAAACCTGGATTCGGTCTCCTCCAAAAATCCTAAAGAGGTTATCTTCAAGACTTAGAAAGAAGCGGGAACTTCCAGGATCCCCTTGGCGACCACTTCGACCACGAAGCTGCCATATACGACATTCAAGTTCAGTTTTAATATATTCTAAAGTTATTTACACACGAGAAGTTTGTATAGTAGAAAGAAAAATTTTCATTTTAAACGCAAATGCGAAAGGAGAACTAAGCAAAAGGATGATAATTTAACCTGATTATCAATCCGGCGGGATTCATGCCTCTCTGTTCCCACAACATGTAATCCACCAGCAGACACAACCTGTAGTATGTGGACATAAATTAAGTTGCAAGTAACATTAACAGATTAAATTGAAGGAAAATTTTAGTTTTAGGAACCAAACTAACCTTCTTCCTTTCTTCCTCAGTGTACGCCTTAAATTCTTTAACAATTTCTGAAAATGCACTACGCAACTTGGCTATGACTTCATCCTGAGCAGGGCCCTAAAACAGAGAACTTATGACATTCAGGAGCTGTATGCAGACAGAGGATATTATTTTTAAATGAAAAAACAGAAGGAAAAGGGCATGGTATAGTTATCAGAATTAATGCCGTGCATTTGGAATAGAATTTGACAGTCTGTCAATTGGTTTGGAAATGTAAAATTATTCTCCATCTATCATACCTTTTCACAGGAGTAAGATAGGCGCTCCTCTGCTTCAAGCTCAGTTAATGATCTTTGGCCCCAAGTTCTTACAGCCAATTGTACAGCTTCCTCGGCCAATTTAGTATTTTCATTGGATAGTTTGCATGGAAATAAACTTTCTTTCACCTGTTATATTGCGAATAACAAGAGTCCCATATAGATGAAGCATATAACACCACAAACATAAGCAAAGCCAAGTTCTATGTTAATAATAATAATAATAATAAAATTCAAACCTTCCATGTCTTCTGAGGAAGGGGTTTCTTCACTGATACAAAAACTCCTTCAGCTGGCATAACAACCCTGCAACATTTATATCATGTTAAAGATACTTTAAACAATATAATAAATTGCAATAGGTGTGCATATCGTTTTAAGTAAATCCTCTTTCAGATTGTGGTATTCAACACATGCAAGGGCACTAGTGCTGGAGATGAACAAGAAACTTATGCAGCCCTATAGCAGATTCCTTAAATGCACCTCAATAATGGGAAGCAGTGTGTAGTGAGAATGCTTCTCTTCTCCTAATGCATGTTACTCTTATACTTCAAAGCACAAGAAAGTGAACTAACATTATTTAAACTAACAGAGAATTTAAAATGTATTTGATGGTGTTACACCAGTTTAAGTCTACATGTTATCTTAAATTCTTTAGGCAATATTCGTCTGTACATTTTTTTTTAACAAGTGTCAGGCAAAAAAAAAAACAAAAAAGAAGCTAAACTAGAAATATGAATTCCAATAACTGAAGAAGCTGGGCTACATAAACGTAATAGTTTTTTTTTAAAAAAAAAAAAAAAAAAAAAGTGGCACATATATGTATGAGTTGAAAACTTTATAGAACAAGACCATGGATGAAGATACCTTGGCAAAAGCATCTCACGTATCTTCAACCTGGCCATAAATTCAGCATTTCCACCAAGAATTATATCTGTTCCACGACCTGCCATATTTGTAGCAATTGTCACTGCCCCTACGCGACCACTCTGTGCCACAATTTCTGCTTCTCTCTCCACATTCTCTGGTTTTGCATTGAGAACCTTGAGGAGAAATATTTTTGTTAAGATTTCCGAAGAACATTTATCCAACAGGTCATCATTTTTGCTTCCTTCAAACTTGGTCACAAAGGTATATGAAGAGAAAAAGGACATAATCGCCAGGGAAAAGAAAATAATAGGTAGCAAAATAACACAAGCGACTTCACTTCTCATATATTTGTTAGTCCAGAATTCATTTTCGTGTTCAACTAACCCAGATCTACTTTTATTCCTCCAGATGAGATGCCTCACCTCATGTGGAATTCCAGCTTCTAGCAACTGTTCTGCTAGTGCATCACTCTGCTCAACACTTGTTGTACCGACAAGCACAGGTCGACCTGTCTTATTCATTCTAGAAATTTCTACCACAACTGCCCGCCATTTTCCAGAAGTTGCCCTGAAAACTACATCGGACTCATCCTGAGGAGGAATTGAGAAGATATTGGAGTTGGTGAACATCAAGCTATCTAAGCAAGTTCTGCATTAAGTGAACTGTGCATAGGTGCGGAAGACTCATAGACTTCCTATGTTCAGATAAGAATGATAAAATCATCCCTCCTTTCACAGAGATTATTAATTTACAAGTATTAATGGAAAATAAAAAATTAGTGACAAAACCTTACATTATCTTCCATATCTGCTGTCTTCGGTTTTTGCTCTGACAACAGCCAGTATGATTCTAGAAAAATAAATATGGATAGAATGCTATGACAAACCTTTCTAATCATAGGCTTGTTTGTAGGCACAATTGTAACTTTAAGTTTGTATATACTTTCAAACTCCGTACTTTCAGTCGCAGCAGTGCCAGTCATTCCACAAAGTTTTGGGAACTGCACCAGTGCATATGATGAGAATTAAGAAGTTAAGAAAGGACAAATTTCAAAAACCGCTTCGTATAATGGGCAGAGAGATGACCTGGAGGAAGAAGTTCTGATAGCTGATTGATGCCAGGGTTACAGTTTCATTTTGAATCGGCAAACCTTCCTTTGCTTCAACTGCTTGGTGAAGTCCATCACTCCATCTCCTCCCCTGACAGAAAAATGACAAATATTGTTTTCCTTTAGTCATTTATAGCTATTTTTTCTGCATTTGCACATATAAAATTCATCTGATAGATAAACAATCAAATTAAACTATTTCTAATGATAACCTTTACTGCTTAGGTTAACAAACTCACCTGCATAACTCGACCAGTAAACTCATCAACAATAAGCACCTCCTTGCCACGTATGATATAGTTGACATCTCTAAGAAATAGTTCTTTTGCTTTTATTGCATTCAGAATAAATGAAGCCCACTGTTCACGAGGATCATACAAATCCTTTACATCCAAAATATCTTCAGCATCCCCATAACCTTGTTCTGTAAGGAGAACTGTTTTCTGCTTTTCATCCACCTGCAAAAATAGCCTGTGTCAGGAAAAGAACTAGACAAAAATCACCTTTTATCACCATCAGGATCTGCACTGCTACTATTTCTGGTGATTAAAACTTGAAAATAATTCTGACGCATTAAGAAGGTTCAAATTGTCTCTCATTCTGAATCAATGATGTTCCACACACAAGAAAGAACAATTACAATATTTTTTCAAATGATATCACATATTTTTTTCATGTACTCCCTTTTCTTTTGTTTTCCTTTTCATTATGTTCACAAAGGATCAACCCAATAATGAGTCTGTTCCTTAATTATTGCACCAATTGAACCATCTCGCTTCCCAGAATAATACACCAGTTGTAAGTTATCAAGCCATATCTCTTGGACACAGGCACTGGACACAATCATACAGCAATTTGATATTTTAAGGTTATGCACTAATTTTTCTTCTCATAATGAAGCCGCAAACGATCACCACTCTATTTTCAGCCTTGCTATAGTTTGGATGAAAACTGTAAGAAGGCAAAACTGAAGCCATGAAAGAAGAAAGAAACCAAAATTTTAACATTCAAGATTTGATCTTTTGCACGATTTGATGAAAATTTTCATCCTATTGAATTTATTGTGACGAACAATATCAGCTATGCATCCAGGACAATCCCACCTCCACCTCTCTTCAAAAAACAATAAAAAGAAAAATAAAAATAGAGAGAAGGCCCTTGTGGACCACTTGGCACTCCCACCTTGTCTAGGAAATACCCATTTTATCATACATGAATCCAGAAAGATGAAATATGATAATATAGACACTCACACAAAGTTCCACGTTCAGTCGTCCCAGAAAGACTTTTGACTGATTATGCTCTGCACTTGGGCAGAAAAGCTATGGGTAAATCAGCTAGTCCTGAGAGACCATGCTTATAAGGACGGACATGTTACATTTACACATCGAGTATTCTGCGCATGAGATGCTCTCAGTCTACGGCTTCAGTTAAACATGCATTAATCTAGCCCTCTACTGGCTCATCTAAGAAAATCCCTTTTCCGATAAGCATTAAAATCCTTATTCAGATAAGCATTAAAATGTGGCTATGACATGTTTGTAAGTATTTGTCATATGTCAAGTGCCCGCAGCCATTTTATTTACAACTCCCTGTAATGGCTCAGTCCAATTTTTCAAGAGCCACAACATGAAAATGTGATTGTAAACTGTATGCTTTGAGTAAGCAATAAAAGAAAATCACTTAACCTTTTGCAAACTTTAAAATTTTGTTAACATTAAATGATACCAAAAACTAAAGACCAAAACAAACAAGTATTCTATTTCTGTTTTAAGAAATGTGGAAACAGAAAAGGAAAAAAAAATCAGGAAATTGCAAAAGATACCAAAAGGCACCTTAGGGTGCAGCAAAAACTCCAATAGGAAAATTAATTAGTTAAACAGAGTCTTACAGTGTAATGTATGTCTCGTTCAAAGGCTGCAGCTATTTTTGCAGCTTTATAATACCGATCGCTTGGTTTTTCTGCTGGTCCAGATATAATAAGAGGGGTCCTTGCTTCATCAATAAGGATGGAATCAACCTCGTCAATTACACAGTAATTGAAATCCCTCAAGACGAGCTCCTCAACAGTCTGTATATTCCAAAAATAGTCAGCTTTGTTAAGAAAAAAATGCATTCAGCTAGGGCAGAACTGATACCTACAAACCTCAACTGAACAAAATCAAAGTATAGATAATAGAATAATCTACAACTAATCATAACATAAAGAAAGAATTACTTTCCATGGCAAGATTATCTCTCAAGTAGTCAAAACCAAGCTCACTGTTGGTAACATACGTGATGTCACACATATAATTCTCTCTTCTTTGTTCACTTGTCATATTCTCTGCCAATAAAAACAAACAGCTATGTTATCGTGACTATCAAATTCACATGCTAACATGAAGAAGCAATATCCAGATACCAAAAAAAGGAAGAAGATTCAAGCTCCCAAGTAAAAGAAGAGAACAGCAGATAGGCAAATACAATACAACTCATATAGGCAGGCAGTATTAATTGAAACATGCAAAAAACTCAAGACCTGAGTCGTACCCATTCATTCATATAAGAATGAGACGTGCATAATATAGACATAGATGCACGCAAAAACAAACACGCATAAGTGAGCATAAGTGTGTGTGAGGTCAGATAGAAAGGAAGTGGGACATGTAGTAAATGCATGTAAAAGTATGTGACATACGTTGGATTAGGCCAACCTGCAATCCAAGGAAACGGGGAACTTGGCCAACCCATTCACAATCTCTCCGAGCTAAATAATCGTTAACTGTAACAATATGAACTCCTTTCCCAATTAATGCGTTCAGATAAGCTGGTAAAATGGCAACAAGCGTCTTTCCTTCTCCAGTCCTCATTTCAGCTATTTCCCCCTTATGAAGAACCATGCCCCCTGCATGACAAGAATATGAAAGCATGTTAACTACAAGAATTCTTCCCACATGACCTAATAGTTTGGCAGAAAAAACCCCGAACTTTTCCACCATTTGCACACATATAGAACTCAACGAAATTAAAAACAATACACACATAATAGTTTACCTATCAGTTGTACATCAAATGGGCGCAGACCTATAACCCTCTTGGAAGCCTCTCTCACTACAGCAAATGCTTCCTGCAATACAGGCACTTTGATTGTCATAGCAATAAGCAAAGCTACTGTCACTGGAACTACTTGCTAACCGATAAACAAACAACGTCCAAGTAAAGAGCTTCATTCACTCATGTACTGATTCTGATAATTATCATGGCAAAAGTAAAACATTTAACTTCTCCAATTGCCATGCATTAAGTAACAGCCAATTTCAACCCACCCCATTCCAAAATTTCAAAACAATTCAAGTATCATTCTTAACACAAGTATATAAAGCAAGAAATTGAACTAAAAGAGAGAGAGAGAGAGCTCTTTGCTTCTTACAGGTAAAAGGGAATCCAAAGATTCACCGAGTTGGGCACGCTCCTTTAAAGCAGTAGTCTTGTCTCTCAATTGAGAATCAGACAACGCAGACATCTCAGCCTCCAATTTATTGATCAAACTCACAGTTGGAGCATACTGTTGCCTAGTGGACTCACCTGTATCAGTCCCTTTAAAAATCCCGCCTAGAAAACCTCCTAACGAAGCCACTGCACATTTTCTCCTCCTTGTATTACTCACCAATTTAGACGTCTTCGCTCCATAGTTCAACATATTTAAGGACTTTGCACCAGAAAATGAAGAACACAGATTGGTGTTTTTGTAGAAAGTTTCACGGGCAAGCAGAGAATTTGAAGGGAAAGATGAGACAGAAGTGAAGCGCTTCACTACAGGTGGTGCCGCCATTATTTTTAAGGTCCAAAAAAAAAAAAAAACTCAGAAGCTGAAACAAGATAGAGATATTAGAGCGGGGAATTTATGTAGTTGGAGGAAGTGGTGAGTAGGGAAATGTTATCATGTGTTTCAGTGAAGAAGCAGAGGATGTCTGTTTCTGTTTCTGTTTCTGTTTCTGTCTCAACTCGTGGGAGATGGCAGAGAGAGAGAGAGAGAGAGAGAGCGGAGGGGATAAGGTAAACAGCTTAAAGAAAGAAATCATCACAAGTGGGGGAAATCTTGTTTCATTTTTAATTTTATATTTTTAAATTCCAGCATATGCACATTGTTTTATTATTTTATTTAATAACATATTATTGGTTTAATTAATTTGAATTTATAATATTTTATATACGTACATATAAAATTACTATTAAATATATAATATATGTGTTGGCCACACTTAACAAAATCCCTGAGCTTCGTTACCGATTCCTAGTACATATTGAACTTTCAAAGATATAATAAGAGTCATTTGTTAAATTTGAATGAAAAGTCTATGAATATAGACTTTAGCCTTTTGGCTTTCTAATCAATATTGTATCTTTTTAACCCTATATTTCTAAAGTGATGATTTAATTTGTATCTTTAAACCTGTGAGCTAGTTGCATCAATTTTTCTTTGATTTGTGCCTTGGAGTGGGGAGCAACATTATTCTTTTCGAGTGAGTGTGTTGTGTTGGCTGTGATTTTTTTACTTTTTTTCCTATGATTTCTATTCTAAAATTCCAATATATTCTCACGTGTAGAATTTTTCAAATATTTTTTAGCAATCATTTTGTCATAGAATTAAAAAAAGAATTGAAATTAAACCACCATTGGTTCCAGACTTCCAGCCATAAAAAAAAAAAAAGTTTTAAATTATACTGTAGTGTGACAAATATAGAAAAACCAAGTCCCAATTTCCGAAAAAACTACTGATAAAATGCACGTTTTGCGCATAATGAGCGTGTCCTGTTTTATTTTCTTTGTGAATGAGCATGGATGAAAGGAGGATTTTAGAACAAGATATAAACATTAAATGCCTGTTTGGAGTTGCTGGTGAAGTTGGCTGGCCTTTCAACTCTAAATTCGTTTTAGCTGTTCAATGTTCGTTATTTGCAACCTCTATTTCAAGTTTTAAGTTTAACAGATCTTTTGACAAAACACATTTTTAGCCACCAAAACAATTAAGCTACAAGCACAGCTACGGTCCAACCTTAGAATGCATCTTTTCTATTGTTAAGAAGTTAAAATAAAAACAGAAGAGAGAAGTAGCTAAAATGCTGGCAAACTCGGTCCAGCAAGGAACCCAATAATATCATCAACAGGATTGTATCAGGCAACCTATTTGTTGTAGCAGATTTGAACTTTGCAACAGAACGTTTCAAGTAGAATCAAAGTCAGAAATTGATTACGATTTCAATAAACAAAACTTAAAAGAGTATGATGTTCCCCTCATTTCCTGTGCCCTGCTGCCAAATCCCTCCCCAACTGAAGTACATAAGCACCTGATATTCAAATAATTTGAAAATTGAGGAAGAAAGATTGCACCAAGACCTGATAATCTAGTAACTCCTGCCCCAGTAGGTCCATTTTTTTGCTGGCTTTCCAGAAGCAAAGCATATAGTACCTGCAAAGTTTAATGCAGATAAAAAAAAATATCCATTAAGCAGTATTCAGGTAACAACAGAGGATCAAACTGCAAACTGCATATTTTAAGCTATGAATATTTAATTCATTCAGCACAGAGTGGCTTCCCATTGACATTAATTTGCTAAATTCTGCTACATTCATCACCCTTAAAGACAGATTCACACAATGAGTGGAACTCTGTAGGACAGACCACACAACCACAGGCTTATGCACTTCTATCTAAAATATAAGCCATTAGATTTCTAGTGCCTGGCATTTACAACACCGTCCAAACATCCAAAGAGACTTTACCAAACCTCCAGTATGAAATTAATTTCTTCCTATTGAAACAAAACTACAAAGAAGCAGCTTTCAAACCAAGATAAGTCCCTTTCTACTTTCATGAGTTTCAGAAGCAACGAAGGGTAGAATTGAAAAATATTGATAGCGCATTCTTGATTGAAATTGGGTCACAAGGAAAAGTAACAATGATGCAAGTGACATTAGTACCTTCAGGGAGCTCAGGCTGGTCAAATGGTGAACAAAGACTCTTGGCTGCTCCCATTTCGCCTCTTGTTCGTTCTTTCACATCCTTTTCCACCTCCTGCAGAAAAACTGTTAGTGAGAGATGATCTGTAAAAAGGATGAAAAACATTATGTAGTAATGAGATCTATCTACGGCTAAAAAGGAGTTTACCAAATTTATTTGGCAATAACAGAAAAAAACCAAACTTAACTAGACAAATAAATCCAAAGTATTGATAGCATGCATCATTATACTGAACTAGCATTCAAATAATACAACAATTAATTAGTAATGAAAATCTGGGGCAATCAAGTACAAAAACATGAACCCAAACAATCACTTTCTGTCACAATATTCGCATCATATTAATTCGGACTGGGGCAAAAATATGAAAACAAATGCACACAACACTGGCACAAACTAAACAAAAGCAGGAGTGAAACCTCATAATCAAGAAAGAATTTTACACGAACAAAAATTTAAATCGTACACATTTAAAATTTTGCAGTGATGATATCATACCTCTTCATCACACCAAGGAGCTAAGATCATTTTCCTTTGACTGAGAGCTTCCTTGAATTCATCCCAAGTTTTTGCAACTTGAATGCAAGCATCTCGCTTTTGTTTGGCAGCATCAAACAAGCTCTGTTGAATATTATCCATCATATCTTTTACTTTCTCCACCAAATTGTCACGCCTGATATCCACTTTTGCTGCATTGTCACGGCGAACTGCACGTACCTGTGAGTAGAAAGTAAATTATTCTTCACATTTAACTCAGCACTAAACAGAACACATTAGGTGAAACAATGTCAAAAGGAGCATTATGCAGATTGAAGACAACGAAACCAGTGCTGTAAAATGGACGAATGGGATTCTCACCTGATTATTTGCCAGATCTTTGGGCCCTATTTCAATCCTTAGAGGAACACCTTTCATTTCCCAGTGAGAGTACTTCCAACCAGGTGAGTAATTCTCTCTATAGTCAGCCTCAGCACGAATACCTGCTTCACACAAAATATCCACAGTCGCAGCACAGGCATCAAAGATTCCTTGAGTATTAGCATCTTTAAAAGGCACAGGAACCACAATAACTTGGACAGATGACACTTTGGGTGGCATCACCAAGCCTTTGTCATCTCCATGAACCATCACCATGACTCCTATCTGTAAAAGGAGAAAGATTCGATGAAATAGCATCAAGATAAAAGAATATTAACAACTTACAAGGCATTAATGTAATTCTATGCAACTCTGAAGTGTAAAAGAAACAACACTTCGGTGTGAAAATACACTGCCACGCACATATGGATCATACCACCTAGAAAAGAAAAGGGAAAATACACTTTCTAGATGATGAATGGCAATATTACAACTCCAGAAGATAAAGAACAGAAAGTTCACCGTTCGAGTACTATAGGCCCAAGAGTTCTGCCAGACCATTCCCTTCTCCCCCTTCTCATTTTCAAAGTTTATTTCAAACATCTTTGCAAAATTTTGGCCCAAACAATGAGAAGTTGCACCTTGGATACCACGTCCAGTGTTGGGAATAAATGCCTAGTGGAAACACACAAATTTGAAGCAATATGATTCAGACTATAACATATTAGTAACTCAGAAATGCAAATTCCTTAAAATTCATTAACTATGAAACAGGGATTTTCTTGTCTGCATTATGCTTTATGTACCTCAACACTAGTTGTGTAAAGTCCACCAGCAAACTTTTCCATCTCACTTTTCTTACCCTTTATAACAGGAACAGCCAAGAATTCTTCGTATATGCGTCTGTACAGTTCCAATATTTGAATGACCTGGTGCATAAAAACAGACACCAAAATTACGAATGAAACCTTTTTTGGAGAAAAAGTATAATAGCATCACCCATATTTAATGTATGAATTATGAGATTTAATTATCAAAAACATGACAAACATGCTTATCCAAAAAAAGAAAAAAAAAGGAGAAAAAAAAGCCAGACAAATATCTTTATACAAAAGAAGTAATCATTGATAAGTGGAAAGAAAACGTCATCAAAATTTGTAAACATGCTCCAAACCAGAATATGACTAATTGACTCCTCTAGAGATTAGTGTACTTATCATGATCATATATTGTGTAAAATCAACAACAGGAAAATGAGAAAAAACATGCTAGCCTTAAGAAAAAATAAAGATGAATATATCATTAATAATTTCCAGACTTTTTCTCTATAGCCACAAAATTCAAAACTTTAAAATGCTTTCCTTCTGCAAAGACAAGAACTTAAGTATCTCATATTCATACCTCTTCATCTGATTCTTGCTTTGTTGCAAAAGCAGTGTGCCCTTCCTGCCAAAGGAACTCACGGCTCCTAAAACAAATGGACAGTCCATCAGTATGGACTAATATGAGTTAAAATTCTTTCTGTAAACCAGAAGAATTTTTGGCAGCTGGCTTTCACAGACTAAATAAAGTGGTTTCTTGAAAAATATCAATATTTCAGGAATGAATCTTCAGAGCTTTGTATGACACAACAAAGACATAAGCAAGTTTTTAATAGCTGACATCAAATTCATCATGGAAAAAGCACTTAACCATGAAGAAGTCCAGAACAAACTACCGGATGAATGGCGTAGGATTGCTGAACTCCCAACGAACAACATTGCACCATTGGTTGAGTTTCAAGGGCAGGTCACGGTGTCCCCTAATCCACTTCGAAAAATAGGGATACATAGCAGTCTCACTAGTTGGACGGATGGCGATAGGAATCTCCAAGTCAGATTTTCCTGATTTTGTCACCCAAGCAACCTGGAAAAGACCAAGACGTTACTGTCTGAACCTCTTTTCTTTTCTGTATTTTAAAAAATTACTTTCTCACAATGGAAAAAGAAGTGCTATATAGTAGATAAAAAATTGTTGTTGGCCAAGTAACACCAAAATTTTAGAAGTCTATTACCTAGTTATGATCCCGACAATATGGGCCTGCAAGGAGAGTTTGGAAACAATGCTAACCTACAAAAATTTTCAATAAAGCATATTCTCTATCATTGAACCTGCACTCTCGTGGTTAGGTATGGTCTCAAACCAAGCAACATCAATCTAAGAACATGAGATATCTCCTGATTCCAAAACAAAACAGTAACTTTTAACCTCAAATTGCAAGACAATAAAACTTGACTTGCACTCTGGATTGGCTCTAAACTAAGAATTATTTCAAAAAGAACAATGAATTGACCAGATGTGTTTGTACTTATTTCAGCGTTATATTTCATGCCTAGTAACACTACAAATATACAAGAAAAAATTATATTCATTTCTAATGGTTTATGGTAGAGTCAATTTTATCCTTTACATACAAAAAAGGTAATTTGTAAAGTGACAAAATGAATGACTTCCAAATAGGAAAGCATCCTAACCCACCTACAAAGTCAATAAACAAAGTTCAAATCCTTGACAGTAAAAAATAAAAAATAAAAAAGAAGATAGAGAGCAAAACTGACCTCTGGAGCAAAGCCCTCGACATGATCCTTTTCCTTTTCCAAAACACTAGATGAAACAAAAAGAGGGAAGTAGCAATTCTTAATTTTCATTTTCTTGATTTCCGCATCAAAGAATACCTGCAGATAGACATCGTTGAGATTGAGAAATCTATTACCTAGATGACCTATAAATTAGAAAGAACAATATAACATAGAAATAACAACTACTGCTTTAAAAATATACAACCAGGGGAGGGATTCAACTATTTGCTGGGTACAATTTCAAATATTCAAAAACATTTTCAGTAAAGGTAGACAAAACAAGAGAAAATGAATCACCCAAAAGACATTATAGCATAGAAAATACTAAAACAAATAAATAAACAGCAGATGATATGAGAAGTACGAACTTACTTGCATAATTTCCCATATTGACATTGCCCATGGCCTCAGAATATAACAGCCAGAAATGTCATAATATTCGATCATCTCCCCATTCACAACCACCTAAACAAGCCAGAAGCAAAACCAATTCACAACGAAATCTGGGAAATTAAGTATTCACTAAATCACTAAGCATCATGCCTGCATTAATGACTGATTCGTAATAAAATCATCAACAATGTGCGATTGCACATATAGAATTTGTTGCATAAAATAAACTAAAGACTCACCCACCTCTGAATACCATTCCCCAAAATTCTCTTCCTTTTTGAAAGAGAGACCTAACCCGGTCTCTTTCTTGACCTCCTTTTTTTTACCACCGGCCATTTTTCACAACTTAAAGATTACACCTGCTCAAATATTATTAACCCGGAACATTAAAAAAAAAAAAAAAAAGGGCTTTAATCAGACAGCTAAAACAGATATAATAAACACTTTATTAGCATTTCACTCCATACTAATAAAACTTTACCGAAATCGAAAACAAAACCGAGTATCAGAATTCAAATTCAAAAATAGAAATGAAACAAGAGAAGTAACTAATCAGAGAATCAGTTTGGTGATATTAGAATTAAAAGTCAACAGAAACAGTAGGTCTTTCAGATCTGGAAAATGCTTTTAGATTATGAAACACAGCTTGCGTTTTCGTTAAATACAATTATTACAGTTGGTAAAAGAGAAAGGGAGAGAGACAGTACGAATCTGGTTGACACTGGTGGCGGCGTTATTGTCTATCCACAGCAGAAGGGAACAAAAGCAAATGCAGAGAGGGATACAAAAGAGCGCGCGCTCTCTCTCTCTCTCTCTCTCTCTCTCTGTAAAGTAAAACCCTAGCTAGCATTGAATAAGGAACGACTTTAAATTTTTTTATATATATATTCTTATTCTGATTGGTCACTGAACCGGGTTTACGCTATTTGCGGGTCGGATTGACAGCAATTTTTGTATTATGGATAGGAAGCTTCTTTTTTAAAATTATACTAGTCCTCAAACTTTTAGAACAATTATAAATTAGTTTCTTTGGTTAATTAAAATCATTAATTGGTTCTTTGAATGGCGTTTGCTATCCCCCTTAACTTAAGTATCCACCTTGTCCTTTAATTCTTATTGTTAACCAGAACTAGTGTTTTACATAACACCAGTAGTGTAAAAAAAAAAATCACCATAATTTTATAAGGATAATGCTTTTTTAAAAGGATACAAGAGAGAAAAAAAGTTAAATATTTTATTTCAGTAGGCATTATATCATTTAACTTTTTCACTTTCTAAGTTTATCCCTAAAAACTTTCTATTTTTTAAAATGGTGTTTGTCATCATGATGTCATCAAGCATTTTCGTTCTTAAAAATTATAGGAACACTTGAACACCAAATATTAAGGCTATGTTTGAGTCAAGATACAAGATCCAAGGGAAAGTGTGCGTCTAAATAACATACGATACCATATGGAGAAAGAAAAATGTTAAAAAGTATTACAAAAATAAAAATTATTTTACCTAATGTAACCAATGGTCTAATATTGTGTTATTGTATGGAATATTATGAATTCAAATTTTACACTAAATTAAAACGTAACTCGTCTTATTCGTTGAAATGCACTAAAACGTGTAAGTTTTTAAAATTTTATAAAAACATAAACAATCATAATACTAGGGTTAAACGTGATCTATTTTATAACTTATTTAAGATGAAAATGGCACATGAGTCGCCGAAAAAGAAAAAAAAACACTTTCAACTAGACCCGACTATAAAAGCTTATAAAACTTATACTCAAAAACGCTTCTAAGTGAATGAACTTTTCTTGGGATTTTTTAAAAACACTTTGGTCTTGGAGTTGTTTCAAGCACCTAACGAGCTTTTTTAAAATATAATAATAATAATAATAATTGTCCAAACCGCATATCCATCTCCCATTTCTTAGGTTTTTCTCTCGCTAATAAAATTTGTTCCCTTTCACGACGAGTTTATTCCAATAACGCATGATTTAGATCTTTTGAATATTGGTATAGATCGATGTAGGCCTTTTGATAGCATTACCGGTTTTGATCATCCACGATTGAATTCATAGATTTTATTTCAAATTGTAATATCGAAGAGATTAACTTGCAAAATTGATACGGAATAGAGAAATGTAGTTTTTACTTTTTTCTTTTCTAAAAAGGAGAGAATAACATACACTTATACACGAGAGAGAGAATTATAATTTTTCCAAAAAATCATTGATAAAAAGAAAAAATTAGTTTGATCGCATTAGACGTCCTTCTAGTCTTTTGATTTCCTTAACGTCACTCGCGTACTTTTTGTTTTAATTCAACCCCTTCATGTTTTTTTTTAATTTTTCTTAAAGTGGCTCATCTCATTCTGATCAAATTTTTGCTTAGTGATGACAAATGGTAAAAAAATTACCATGTGGCATGACGGATCATAAATAAGTTTTCATATCGCTAAAAAAAAAAAAAAACCCCTCCAAAAGTGCAAAACTATATTCAAAGAAAAAAAAAGTATAAAACTAAATATTAATTTTCTCTCTCCTGTTGCATCAAAGAGAGATGTGAAAGAAATTGAATTGTTTTTCTTCTATGGCTTGAATTGTCTCTGTTGGTGAGATTATCTCCTCATTATTGATTCACATACCATTTCCACCTAAAAATATTTGATTTTTGCATGTTATTCTAAAAAAAGTCATTATTCAAAAATCTAGAACCTTAATTTTTAAAAATTTCCAAATCGAAACCCTAAATTCCCCATACAATAATTTAACATCAAGTTTATGTTGCTTGTTAAAAGTCGACTTATATGTATCTTCTAACTAGTATCAATTGATTCTTCGATTCTTTTACTTTAAATCGCGATAATGGGCAATAATAAAGTAAAGGAAAATCTTGTAAAAAGATAAACTATTTATGTCCTCCATTGTTCTTTATGTGATAGAAGACAACTTTATTAGATAAAAGAATAGACTATTGTTTTGGGATTCTAACTGTCTCATGTGTGATCCTTTACTTGCCGACAAAATAATTTTTTTTCCTCAAACAATAGAATATGTTGTAAACTATTATGCATATTATTATTTATTGTGTTGAAAACCCTACTTTTAGTGCATATGTTTGTTGTTTTGTTTATTGTTTGTGTTTGAGAGATGAAGACATTTACTTTTCATTTTGGTAGGTGTGTGAAAAGGTTACGGAGTCTAATGAGTTCATGGGTTGAATACATTAGTAGATTTGTACTTAAGGAGAAAAATATTGATATAGAGTCTGTTGTGTTTTAAGACCTTTTTAAAAAATAGTTGAGGAATTTGCTAGAAAAGATATTGTTTTTGTATATTATAATGATCCTTTTGTTATACCATAGTCTAAAATTTTGTTTCCTAGACTAGTTCATGATGACTAAAATATGGTAGAGTTATTAAACTTGATAGAAAAAGTTGAAAAGATATACATGTGTTATGAACGTGGAAGTAAAAACCACCCATTATTCATGTGAGAGTAGTCCGTCAAAGGTATATAAAAGGTTAGGGATTACCGACTATGGTGTTAAGTTTTAAGGATACGAGATAGAGGCATGTTGAGGAATTAGTTGGTATTAGGATATTAAGCGAGAGAAAAATATGTAGTTGAAGATTTAACCGATGTTGGGTTTATTGATAACAAAGAAGTAGGTGGGGATGACTTAGTTGATGTTTTATTAGGTGGAGATGATGCTAGTGTTGGCGATGAGGTTGGTGAAAAAGAGCATGACACTTTCGATACCGAATGTATTAGAAATTATGATGAGAAAGTTTTTAATTGTCGGTGATTATTTGATGATGAAGATAGGGAGTTACAATATGCAAGAAATTAGGTGAGAAAAGTAAAAGAAAAAATGAGTGGTATAAATTTGGGGGGGGGGGTAAAATTTGAAAGGTAAAGAGGGAGATAATTTAGAGGGAAATAAATGTGTAAATTTGGAGGAAAACTTGTGTGATGGAGAAAACATGGACAGAGACGAGGTTGAAAATGACCGTGATAATGATTTAATAAATGTTCTTATAAAAGAGGTTGAAACAATAAAAACAGAATATGAATATGGTTTTAATTCAAAAGTTAGTATAGATAGTATAGATCATGAGGATAATAAAAAGCGTGAGAAAAGAAGGAAATCCAAGAAAGTGTTTACAATATAAATTATAATACTTTATAAATTAAAATGAGCATAATTAAGGCTTGACTCTCCCGATTTTATAAATTATAAATTATAATTTTTTTTATAAAATGTTTATAATATCTTATAAAAAAAGTTTAGAAAAATGTTCAAAATCTGGAGGATTAAAAATATTTATAAAATGTTTATAATATTTTATAAGAACAAAAAGTTTTTTTTTAAAAAAAATTAAAGATAAGGAGGGTTAAAAATATTTTTAAAATGTTTTTTTAAACATAATTAATAACGAAATGCTAAAAGACTCGGTTGATCGTTACGTATCATCACAATTAGAGAAATTAGATCAATTTTACCAAAAAAAAAACTAATAGTTTAAGGTTCAAATTACGTAATTTGTAATTAAAGATTTGAAATTGTTAAATCACAATAGAATAATAATGACATAAGAAAAAAATAGTAACTTTAGGAATTTTTTTTTTTTTTAAATTCAAGACGAGGAGGGTTAAAAATATTTTTAAAATGTTTTTTTAAATATAATTAATAGCGAAATACCAAAAAACATAATTGATCGTTACATATAATGACAATTAGAGAAATTAGATCAATTTTGCCAAAAAAAACAAATAGTTTAAGGTTCAAATTACATAATTTGTACCTAAAGATTTGAAATTGTTAAATTATAATAAAATGATAGTAAAATTTGCCATTAACCATCATTTAAACATCAAGAGGAGCTTCACAATAGAGAACACTCATCTGAGATGAGGAAGTTAAAAGGTCAACATCCAAGACGTGGAGCATAACACTTGCGCTAGCAAATTGAAAACTTCACGAAGAATTTTGCTTGAAAGAGGCAGGACAAAGATCTGATATGCTATCAAAAAACTGAAGATGGAACAAAAGCATGGAAGTTTTATTGCTCTTACAAAACATTTCAACTGGGAAACAGAATAGGACGGGACCATTTCAAACATTTTCAAGTGACAGTCCAGTATAAATGTTTTCTTTGTGAATAAAATCAAAGAGATCTATAGCCACTGGGACAATCCAAGTAACATCCCTTGACCATGGAAAGAAAAAACAAAAGAAACACGAGAAGACAGATTTCCACAGGCAAAGCAGGATCCAGCCCAAGACTCCCGTTTCTGGAGGTACAGTAGCCATTAAATTATGTTACATTACAAATTAACTTGGTTCTGGGGGCACCACTTTCAAACCTCGCATCCACTCACAGAAACTTGGATCATCAAAGTGAATAAAGCTGCTTTTTATCTTTGTTCGTTGTTCGGTTGTCAGAGATCGAAGCTGTGGGAATCTTGCCTCCTGCAATCAAGTTCCATCAAATTTGCATAAATCCAACATAATAAGCCTACTAATATTACAGACTAAGAGGCTATTTGTCTCTTTTCCACCCTTACCTGTTCATAAGGTGGATCCTTGTGAGCAGGTATCAGCCGAGAAACAAAATATCTAGCTTGAGAGCTCCCCTCCTGTCATTAACCCAAACCAATAAGTCAATCAGTTTGATACAAAAATTTAAGGACAAAGTTGGATCGAAATGGAAAGAAAAGAGCCAAGGAAAAAAAACAAAAACCTTGAATGCAAGGATCCTAGGAGCTGGAAACCGCAATTCAGTGATCTCTTCAGCTAATGTTCTGCAAGCTGCTAAAGCAGCTGCACTCCTTCCTTCATCAGCAGCTAGCTCAGCACCCTGTAGTTACCAGTTATTGAGGAAGTGTCTTTGCATATCAAGACAGTAAAATTTAAAATGCCAGCCAGCACAGAAAGAAATTCGAAAAATAGAATAGTGGACTCAAACCAACACTAGTTTGACATATGCATGTGCATAGCCATCAGAGATCTCTCAGAGAAACAGTCGTAATGAGGAAATTTACATAAAAGTTGCCAGCTGGACATACAGAAATGGATATTTAAATGGAAGACTGACACAACGCTAGAGGTACTAGCACACTTCCATATGGTGCACTGCGTGGTCACATTTGACTTCCACAAGTAGCAATTTCTTACTTTCAATCTCTTACTTCAGTCAGGAGAAACATCTATTCTTTTTTTGCTGATCCAATAAAGGATCCCTTTTTTCTGAACAAATAAGCAAGGAAGCAGTAAATGCTTTCCTTTTGTTTCTCCTATCAATGTCTCTGCCACGAAAATTTGTCCTCAAATGTTTTCCATCACCTGAAACTTGATCACTACGCAAACCATAGCACACTCAAAAGCATTTGTCTCCTTCCTATACCTACAATAAATTCTTAATTTTCCTTAGTCACAAACTTGAAAAAAAAAAATACCCAGGGTTTTTATCCATGACAAAATCAAAAGGGTTCACGAACCATGCAAAGACAAAGACAGCAGATAAACCCATAGTTAAAGAAGCACAGTTCATGAAAAATACAGGAGCAATAAGAATACAAAATGGAAAAATCAATAACTTGTAATGCCAGGGAATCACAAAAGGATGGCAACCTAAAACAAGAAGAAAAGTAAGTCGCTTACCAACCAAATGAAGATATCTGTACCATGGTCAAGGACAACAGCTGTATCAGACTGCATCGCAAGGTCATAGGCTGGTAGTTCCTCAAAAGTGCCCCCTTCTCGGTGCATTAGACAACGAGGTGCTACCATACGGAGTGAAAGATCAAAATATGAATTCAAAAACAAATTCCGCAACACAGACCTCTCATCTTCATGACCAACAATGCTTCCCAAAAGTGGGCCCCTTCTGAGATGGAAAAGGAGCTCTGGTAATGCAGAAAGTTCTTTAGGAAATCGATGAAGTTTTGACTTGGGTACTAGGGACCCAAATTTCAAAGCAATATCTTTAATTCTTTCATCTATTGTTCCTTGCATATCCATGGCATCCAAATGGTTTTTGGCTCGCAAGAGGGTTCTCTTGGCAATAAGGATTGCGGCCACTTCATCTTGAACACTTTCAAGATATACTGAAACACTATCCACAGTAGGCAACCTGACAGTAACCACTCTTGAAATATCAGCTTGATAAACGTTTGCGTATTGAACAGCAAACTGGAAAAACACACAATCGCTCTTGATGTCTCCTTTATTTTCCATAGAGAGTGCAAAGCTTTGTGTCTCTTCAACACTTAACATTTGAATGCAGAGTGCATTGTCATTCTTAAAAGTTTCGTGTGTGTCTACATGTGCCTCTTCACCAGGACCCACAACTTGAGTAATTAAAATATCATCAGAACATCGAATCTCCAAAAGACCATGGGAACCTGATGCCCTAGAAGATGCCCTTTGCAAATTCACACCAAAGGCCTCTCCAAAGTCATCATGAAGAACCAAGACACCTCCAGAAGCTTTTCCAAGAGGCTGCAAAATTGGAACTCTAACTGGGCAAGTTCCAGCACATAGAATGTCAACTACTGTATTATGTCTATGCGCTTTGCGACCCAGATTCTCCATCCACTTCAATGCTGTTTTTTCCATATGAAGATAATTTGGGTGGCTAAAAGAATGTGGGACTGATCCAGGGCCGTATGTATTAGGTCCCCCGGCACACACAATGATCCTGCTATTACCTCCAGCCCTTTTAACTACGCCTCTGGACATTTCTGCTGATGGTCCTTGAATCATAGCCAGAGCAACCTCAACTGCAGTACCTAGGCACCGATCTCTTGAAGCTTCTGCAATATTCAATTTGTATGGTCTCAAAGATGAGAATATTTTGTGTGCTACTTCCTTTGAAGCATGCATTGGTGACAAGTACACACCAGTTCCATAGATCAAAGCTTTCAAGGACTCTTGGGTAGGTGATTTGTCACCAGGAAGTACATCAGCAGATGCCATTGATTCCTCTGAAAAATCATAAACTGACACTGTACGGCCATATAGTATTATTCCAATTCTTGCTGTAGGGGGAGTGAATCAACAAATGCATGCAAAGAGCTTTGTAAATGCTGCAGGTGGGGTTCATCTAAACAGTCATCAATAACAAGAACAATGGGTGCAGACATTCTAGAATCAGAAACTGGAATAAAGCCAGGTCTCTTGTTCCCAGTTCGAATATAATCAACGATGGGTGATGAAAGTTCTGGCAAGTTGCGAAGATCTTCTTTGCTTGGAGCTACATATTCACCTTCACTTCCATTCAATTTCCGGCAAATTACACATTGCCACTGGCCTGAACCGAGTAATATCTTGCAATAAAGATTTGCATAAGCTCCACAATTGTGGCAACGGTGAGGATCACGGTGTATTATTTGAGGACCAGGAGAAATCTCTCTCCCAGGAGAAAATAAAGCCCCAAAGCCCAAACTCGGTACATTTGCTAGTTTCTTTTGCTTCAACACCTAATAACAAAGTGAGCCAAGTTCAAGTTCAATTAAATTGTGACTTCAATATAAGGGGGAGAAAAAATAATTCACAAGATTCAAACATAAAGGGTGTTCTCAGCAATCTTATAAAAGACATAAAAGAAAAAAAATACTCACGACAATCGGTGCCTTCAGTTTGAACAAGTGAGAATGATAGAGATACCTTGTGAGCAGAGAACAAAACGCACGATGATTCCTCGATGGATGTTGAGTCCTCTGCAGCAAGCGGAACTTGGTGCTGCAACTCGACAGAACCATTTGAAAAATGGGGAGGTGAAGATGTTGGTAATGTTGAGCCTGATGAGAAAGCAACTGGTTGAGGAGTTGCAGGAGAAGTCCGAAAAGGCACAGCAGCAGGCCGAACTGGCGAAGTAAAAACAGGAGGACCAGGGGGAGTGCTTAAATGAGGAACTGGGCTCCCAGTTTTAACCCCATTGGCAGGTGATAACAAATTTGGGTTCTGGAATGAAGGGGAAGGGATCTGATCTTGTTGCAATTTAGAAGGAGCAAATCGAGGAGCTCCAGGTAACATTGTAGGAGGAGGAACATAATTTTTCTCTGGTTGAGGGGTTGATGAGTCAGGGTTTGAGGGAGTAACAGTAACAGAATATCCAGGGGTAGGTAGTGGTGGATTAGCCATTGCAATTCAAAATTTCTTTATCGAATAATCAAGAATAACCTAGTAATAAAAACCAAACTTTGTAGAAAGCTACAAACAGTCGCATCCCAAAGCCAATTATGACAAGAGAATTCAAAGTGAAAACTTTGAGACTGTCATTTGATTATTGATAGAAATTCAATCAAGAAATCATAAACAAGACAGCCCACAAAGGTCTGAAACGTCAGCAGCTCAAGAATTGCAATCTAATATTTATTTTATTGCAGAAGAAGGTACAGAATAGGAGGACTTTGACAAAACAAAATCCCCCGATAAAATCTAAAACCCCAGAAAAAGAAAGGGTTTTGAACCCAGTTCAAGAAATCCCCAATACAGTCAAGAAGCCAACTAAAGAACCAAAACTTTCAGCTTCAGAGATCAAATTAAAAGCAAGAAAACCTGATCTCTCTGCACAATTGGTCACCGATATCTTACTCTCAAATAGACATCTGAAAGTATAGAAAAAAGAAATACACAGTTTCAATTCACCTTTGTGTCAAGAAAAAGGATCTAGGATTCTTCTGCAAAACAAAACCAAAATCTAATGAAATTGAGGCGAGGGCAATAGAATTGACGTACCTGAGAGAAAAGATTTGAGGAGTAGTTCTTTTATTCCCTTTTTTAAAATTCAATTAAACAATGGAAATAATTTTCGTACTGATTCTATAATCTTTTCGGATTCTGGGTCCTGTGTCCTTACTAACTAGGGGGTCTCTCTCTCTCTCGCCTCTTGTTGTGTTCGGTTTTCTGTTTACACGAGAGAGAGAGCAGACAACTACGTTAGAGACCCTGGGTCCACATGCGGTCAACTGGCCATTTTTAATTGTCTTTCTGTAACAGGCTGTATCATGAATGGACAACTCCGACGTCGTTTTTAATCTACTCCAAATTACTGTCCTTTCTACTTTAACCCGTTGTTTGGATATTTCATCCTGCGATGAAAAAAAAAAAAAAAGAAAGAAAATGAGGGATAAAAAAATTATTTTTCACTTGTTGTTTGGATAAAAATAAAAATAAAAAGAAAAAAATATACTTTTCTTGTTTGGATAATTGTAAAAAGAGAAAAAAAAATAAATTATTATATATTTACTATAATACCCCTATGCTTATATTTCTATATTTCTATATTTAAATACTTATAATAAATTTGTATGAATATTTTTTTCATGAAAATAACACAGATTATAATAAAATAAAAATATAACATGTAGCATTTATCTAAAATGATAAGATGGATAATAAATCGTCTATGTAGAATGACCAATAACTATTTATTAATTAATTAATTTAATAGCCAAAAAAAAAATCAATCAATACGAAAAAGAAAATAGAATGACAATCCGAAATAATTTTATCTCATAATTTTTTAGGTTAAATGGCACAAACACTTCTTAAAATAATATATATATATATATATATATATACTTTGAGCTATAAAATATTTTGATTGACATTTCTTGTGTTATATTCCATTCAATTTAGCCATCAAACATTACATGTAACTGAGATATTTTTCTTAAAAAAATCATTAAAACGAGTAATAGGAATTAATTTCTTAATGGTAATTTTATTATATCATAAATAATTTTTTTTATTATAGTATTAGTAGAGGTAAAATTTTTAACCAAAAATCATTAAAAGGAGTACTAGGAATTAATTTCTTAATGGTAGACCCAACTCTTATCCAGTTATTAAAATGCCCGCCAGTAAGGGCAGCTATGGAATTGACGGGAAAAAAAAATCAATAAAGAATGAGGTTTTGCTCTCAAAGAGATGGATGGGAATGGTTTCTTCAGGGTGGTTGCCTCTCTCTCTCTGAATGTCTGCGAAGCCTATGATTTCACCATATGACAATCAATCAACAGCCCTGAGTTTGTGTATATTAATATATATGTATGTATGTATAGCTTCTTGATGTTTCCTTTGGTGATTTCCATGCCTTTTCTTCTTCTTCTTCTGCTCCTCCTTGTCGAGGCCGTGATGATAATTTTCCAGCAAAAATATGAGTCATTTTAAAGAAACTCTTCAATCATTTGGCAAGGCAAGTTAGGATTTCTCTGAGAAAATTACTGTTTTGTGACTTTACTCAAAGATTCCTTTCTTCCAGCCGTGGTTTTTGTGTTTCTTTTTAATTGTCTGATAAGTGGTATCGATTTGAGCCTCTCTCTTACAAGCAGATCTAACTTGATTTTTGCAGATCTGTTATTAATGAGAAAGGATGCACGAGGAAGAGATGAGAGAGAGAGATGGTGTTTGCAGAGAAGGGAATGGCTAAGGCTAGGATAAAACTGTAAAAAACAAAAAATGTCATCCCTCCCGTTTTTCTCTCCGTCTTCTCCCAATTTTGGGAGGAAAATGGGTCCCATCATTTTTACATTGTTTATTTTTTTTCTTTCCTCTGGTTTCCTCTACAATCCAAACAGGGGAAAATTTTCATTTTCACCCTATTTTCGTTCCTCTCCCCCGCTTTCATCCCTATCTAAACAGGGGATAAAGCCGAGCTTTCTCAATTAGAGAAAATTAAAATGGGTAAACTATATTTTTACCCCTACAATTCATTTATGCTCTGCTTCAGTCTCGTGCTTTGAAGTTACCTATTTACTCTCATAGTTTTTAAAGATTTGACTTTTGCCCTCCACCACTAAGTAAATCAGCGAAGGCTATTTTCTTACATCTGGGATGGCAATGGGGCGGGGCGGGAATGGGGATCGCCATCCCCGTTCCTGCCCCGCCCTTGAAAAATTTTTCCCCTCCCCGCCCTGTGCTTCGAACGGGACAAAATTTTTCGTACCATCCTCGCCCAAAACGGGGACATGGATCCCCACGAGACAAACATAGCAAAAATTATTATTTTTTTATTTTCGTCTCATTTTATCTAATACTATTATCAAATTTTAAATTATAGCAAAAAAAATGATAATTTTTATATAGAAAATAAACTCTAAAAGTCACTAATTATAGATTTTATATAGGATATGATTAAAATTTTAAAGAAGAAAAAAAGAAATGGGGCAAATGAGACGGGGCAGGCAAATCCCATCCCTACCCTGTCCTCGCTCGCGAGGCACCCCACCCTGCTCCGTTCCTCGGTCAACGCGGGAAATCCCTGCGTTGATTGGGAAAAATTGACACGGGGCGAGAGGGCTCCGTTGGGGCGGGGCAAATTGTCATTTCTATCTTACATTGATCTTATTTTTCCTTTAAATCTCTGTATATGTTATAATATCTCATAAAAACGCTTAAAAACTAAAAAACTTCAAAAAAAGAAAAAAGAAGAAGGGCAATTTGATAGATAGGGGTAAAATTGAAATATTTTGGAAACTAGAATGATAAAATGGAGAAATTATTAAAATATAGAGGTAAAAGTAGAATATTAGTTAATCTATATGGACAAAATAAATTTTAGCTGAGAAAAATCTTGGGCAAACCTAAAAAATGCAACATTAATGAACACAATAATTTTTTATTGTCAAAGCAGGAGTTCCTTCTATCAACCAAACGCATTGCACTCTCTCAAACGATCATATGTAAATAGTATTAATTGCTTTTTATTTTTTAATTAATCAAAATATTTTATTTAATCATAATCTTATATTTATAAGGAAAATTACTTTTAAGTGAGTGATCTGAATTTCTTAATATATTTCCTAAATAATAAATGTTTCCAACACATGGATGATTTAAAAAATTCTCATATCCAAACGGAGAGAAACAATATGGTAAAAACATTAAAAGCAGATGCATTTATAATGCAATTGTCCCATTCTACATATCCAAAAGAAGAGAAACAACATGGTAAAAAGAACAACGAAACGCCGTCGAATTTGCCTTATCCCTGAAATGTATTCTACCCAAACTCAACCCTGGAAAAACAGTCCCTAACTGCACTGAACTCTCTTTCAACAAAAAAAAATCCCTAGATTTTCTTCTATTTCTTTTCGTGATTATGCCTTCCTTCTCCCAAAATCCCTAATTTTGGAAAATGGAAGAAGCCAAAAATCCTCTAAACGGCGGCGATTCATCGCCAACGCAGGTCTCCAAAAAACCACGCATAAGTGGCTCCATAACAGAACACGAAATCCGCCAAGAATTCTCTCACCACAATCCTAAGGTAGCGCGAATTAACAACGGTAGCTTCGGTAGCTGTCCCGGATCCGTACTCGCTGCTCAAAAAAACTGGCAGCTTCAGTTCCTTCAACAACCTGACGACTTCTACTTCAATACCCTCCGTAAAGGAATTCTCCACTCACGTACTGTCATCAAAGACCTCATCCATGCTGACGACGTCGATGAAATCTCTCTCGTCGATAACGCCACCACTGCTGCCGCCATCGTGCTTCAACAAATTGGCCGTGCCTTCGCTGAAGGTAAGTTTGCTAAAAACGATACGGTTTTAATGCTCCACTGTGCTTACCAAGCTGTTAAGAAATCGATTCAAGCTTACGTCACGCGTGCCGGGGGTTCGGTTATTGAGGTTCAGTTACCGTTTCCTGTTAATTCGAATGAGGAGATAATTGCGGAGTTTAAGAGAGGATTAAAGAAAGGCAAAGCTAATGGTAAAAATATTAGGTTAGCGATAATTGATCATATAACGTCGATGCCGTGTGTTGTTATTCCGGTTAAAGAGTTGGTTAAAATTTGTAGAGAAGAAGGTGTGGAACAGGTCTTTGTTGACGCAGCTCATGCTATTGGTAGTGTTGATATAAATGTTGAAGAAATTGGGGCTGATTTTTATGTTAGTAACTTGCATAAGTGGTTTTTTTGTCCGCCATCAGTTGCTTTTCTGTATTGCAAGAAAGCCAGTTCGGAATTTGATGTGCACCATCCGGTTGTTTCTCATGAGTATGGAAATGGATTGCCGATAGAGAGTGGGTGGATTGGCACTAGGGATTATAGCTCACAGTTAGTGGTGCCGGCAGCTTTGGAGTTTGTTAATCGGTTTCAGGATGGTATTCAGGGGATAATGAAGAGGAACCACGAGGAGGTTGTTAAAATGGGGAAAATGTTGGCGGAATCATGGAGGACAAATCTTGGTTCTCCACCGGAGATGTGTGCAGGAATGATCATGGTTGGCTTGCCTTCGAGATTGTGTGTTTCAAGTGAAGATGATGCTTTGCGGTTAAGGTCGCATTTGCGTGAATGTCATGGGGTTGAGGTTCCTATACATTATCAGGGTTTAAGAGATGGCGAGGAGGAAGTGAAAGATAAGGATGGTGCTATAACAGCATATGCAAGGATTTCTCATCAGGTTTATAATAAGTTTGAGGATTATTGCAGTCTTAGGGATGCCATAAATGATCTTGCTGAGAATCGGCAGATTTGCAGAAGTATTTATCCTGATTGAGAAGGTATCACTTTTACTCAATAATAAAGTTATGCTGCTTGTACTCATAATGTGGAATTTTCTGTATGTTTGCTGTTTGTGACCATTCTTTATGTTACAGTTTAACACAAGGGACTTTTGGACCAGTTAAATTAATAATAGTTGCATTGCCTGATAGTTTCTTTAAAACAATGGCTATGTGAAATAAAAATTGGATTTATTATTGATAAATGTTTATCAGAAAGAAGAAAAAAAATCTTGTGGCAGTGCAATGGATTATCCCGGACTGTTTCTGTTTTGTCTATTCTACTGATGCACTTTGTTATTTATAAGCCTTGTATGTGGTCTTTAGTTATTATGTGGCCTAAGAACACTTTGATACATGTTGTGCTTCTAACAAGTGTCCATTTGAATGCTTCAATTTTTATGGACTTCGGAATCTCCTGAAATGACTTTTAACAGTTGTTGGATTTATTTACTTGATATCTCTGCTGCTAGAGAAGATGGACCTCAGACCACAAAATCCCTCGAAGAATTTTTTTTTTCCTTTTCAAGTTTCAGAATGCACGAGCTTGGCATTATGTTGAGCTTAGTTTCTTGCCCTTGCTGATGGATCAATTTGAAACAACACTTGACATATTTTTAAGGAAAAACAATATAAAAACCATCAGAGTTCTAATATATATATATATATACAGCTTCTATTTTTCTCATGGTCTTGGTACCCGACTACCCAACAACTCTCGACGTATAACAATTCTCGACGTATATATACGTCGAGAGTTGTTGGGTCATCGGGTACCAAGACCATGAGAAAAATAGAAGCTAACTTAGAAAGGTATCTCAGTAATTAAGTGACATGCTTCCATTTGTCTGTGACTGAAGAATAGCTTGGGTAAAGGTCTATCAGACTGATGTAGTGGACATAATAAGTGAATGGTGACCCCACAGATCTTGCTGTGAATGGTCTATCGGAAGATGAGATGCATCTGCAGAGAGACAAAGTAAGCCTTTGGGGAAAAGGTCTATCTGGGGAGTGAGGGAAATCTCAAGTATTATGGAAGAGTTGAAATTGGGATCATTTAGGAAAAGGTTTTCTCATGCTGTGTTTAGACCAGGAGGCTTCTTTGGTTCCATACTTGCTGTAAATTTTAGGGCTAGGTGTATTTTACTTTTTGAATTTCTTATTCTTTCTCATCTACTCTTGTTTATTTCTTTTTAACACTCCCCATTGGTGCTTCTCCAGTATACTTCCTGTGTAGATGGAGTCCCTTCTATTTGTTTTTAGCCTTCTCTGTACCCTTGTAGGACTAGGAAGACTTATTGATCATAGTGATGAATTTATGTGTAGATTAATTTAGATTTGATTTGTCAATTTCATGACTCTTTTCATGTAGTGCATTTTCAGATTTTGGGAGAAAAGATCTTGAGTTTTTAAAGACCTCTCTTATACACTAACATATTTATGTTGATTCAAAACTAAGAAGTATCTTTCATTAATTCTTCTATGTTCTTTCTTGGCAGTTGGTTGTAAACGTTGGAGCCGCCTTGTTCGAATAAAATTTGTCTCCCTGGTTAATTGATGCTTGTGGATGGCCACAGTATCTGACCAGTAAATTTTGGAAGACACCACGTAGAAGATTTATTGTGTTTGCTTATTGAAGCTACGGGACTTTTCTAGAATTCTTTGACTGACCAGCTACTTTCTGTGTCCTTGCTGTATCTACTGCTGTTATGGTAATAATTTTATGAATGTCAGCATTCTCTCGGCAAGATTTCTGCCTTAATCTGAATTTAGCTCTATTTATAAATTTTTCTGCAAACTCAGTCGTGACTTACTCTGTTGCTTCATATACAGTTGTAGGTATGAGGTTAATGTTTAAAAAATCATGCAAGCCTGGTTAAAGCATTCTTCTCTTTTGCACTCATTTGTGTTCAACTGAAGATAGGCAATTCCAATATGAATAACATAGATTGCACGGAGCATGTCAACTTCCACTACTAAATCTTTTGAAAGAGCTGCTTGATTGCAACCTAGAATGCATATATATATGACCTTTCAGCTTTTCACGGATTAATTGATCAGAGTGAAGTGGTACAAACCATAATATTCCACCAGCTTTTATTTTAAAAGTTAGTTTATTTATGTTGTCATGTACGTCTTCCATATATATTTTTTTAGTTCTTAAGTCCATCAGCCAAAGCTAGTACAATGTTGTAGCATGCACAAGTATGCTGATGCATTGCCAGGAATCTGGTTTTTCTCCTGTGATCGCCAGTCATTTCTGAGCTTGAAGCCCGGGTAAGGTATAGGTGTTGGTTTGTGGAGGCATATTTCTAGATTTTGCCTCCAAGATGCCCCCGGAGTTGGGCCTCCCACTGATAAATGATCAGAAACCAAGTAAGTGGGACAGCGTCACCACAATCCCATTCCATGAACTCATTCCTGTTGTATTCAATAGAAGATAAATTTGCAGACAAGCATAAAGAAAACAAAAATTAATTCAACTCATGAAGCAGTCTGCTTCTCCTGCTAAAAGTTAAGTTTCAATCAGTGCTCATCATTGTCATTATCAGATTGGAAACATGTGAAGGCCTCTTTGGTTTTCTTCTTCTTCTTTCTTTTTAACTTGAGACTATGCCAATAGTTGGTCAGCATCACAATTGAATTGGCTCAAAAATGAACTACACAAATTAATTACAAGGAAAAAGGTAAATAGTCTCCTCATCAAGGCGCCATCAGACGTGTATAATTCCTGTCTTTGCATTGCCCAGAAGTCAAGTAACCATGACATCCATATCTTTCAAACCAACTCCAATGCATATAGGATTAAGTAAATCCTCCACATTTATGCCTTCAGCTTCACTAGGACAATTATAAACCCTAACATTAGGACCGTTCTTGCACTTCCCCATGCACTTGCACCCAACAACGGTACCCTCCATTCCGACCTTCCTTTCAAATTCTTCTAGCAGAGCAGTTGCTCCCAATTTCTTACACTTCCCGCCCATGCATATCACAACCTTCCTGCCAGATGCTCCCACACTAGTGCCGCCATTACTTCTATTATCACGAGGAACATCTGAATTACAACTCTCTTTGTAATGTCCAATATTGCAGGAAGATTCTCTGAGATTTTGAGGACTTGAATCGTTAGCCCCTAATACTATCTCCGTACGGGGATCTTCTTGAGTTGCTTCTCCTTTAATAGTATTTTTTGATTCAATCTCCGTAAATTGGTTCAAAGCATTGCTTTTCAAGTGTTTCATGGAAACTACCTCACCACAATCACTGTCACTTGACTCAGATGAAGATGGCTCGGAAGAAGAGGAACTCGACGCCGATGATTCGGAGACACACTTGGGCCTAGTTTTGATCAATGTGGCCCTCTCTTCTTTTGTCTTTCTCTTCTGTCCCTCTTGCTCTAATCTCAGATTTTGCAATTCTGCAAGCAAGATCTCTGTTGCTTTCTGCATTTAAGAAGTATCACATCAGCATTCAATATCCACACTAGACAGATACGAGGAGTAAATAAATTGTAGTTCCATTTTTATAGTACGTGCTTAGAAAAAGCATACAATGATACATCAAAAAAAGAATCTAAAAAAAATTCTTAAAAGTATGAAATGAAGTAACAGCCAGTAATTATCAAGTAACAACCCAAGACGTGAATGGACTGCTCAAATCATTGCATGAATAACAACACGAAGGAAAGAAGACCTCTCTCATACTCACCGAAATCATCCTCTCCTCAACTTCGCCAATCAAACTACCGCAACCCTCTTCGCCAGAGACCGTATGAGAAAAAAGGGCAAGTCCCTGGACAATCTTTTCATCAACTTAAGCTTCTTTTTCTCTGTTGTCATCTCTTTATTCTTCTCTTTCTTTCCACCACACCTCGCTGGCGATGCATAGTATTTCAAATGCCCATAATCAGAAAAATCACGGCTCAAAATACCATTAGAACCTTTCTCTCTAAATGAAACTCTAGAATTTCCAATACCCAGATCATTTAGAGGCAACTTCAAACAATGAGTATCAGTTCTGGTGCCAGAGAAGCGAAGAACAGGCCGAGGAATAATGCGGGCAGTCTCCATTGATTCCAAATCATGCACCAAAAATCTACAAACTGGATTTTAAGAAGTTTATAAGAAATAGATGAACTTGTTTTGGATTTCAGTTATTATAGTTACAGTTTCCGTGTTAGAGAAGGACGGGGAGACGTTTGGACGGGAAACTGGAAATGTAGTGGCAACTTGTTATTGGTTATAAAACATCCGATGCTGACGTGTACGGCTGGTGTTGATAGTGGCTGGAGCGCTCGTGCTGTTTGAGCTTTCCACACTTTTGAGTGAGAGTTAGACATGGATTTTATTCAACACTTACGGTGGGATTAACTGTATTGAATCTGGATGGTTAAACACTGACGGTGGATTAACTGTATTGAATTTGGATGGTATAGATTGTGCCAGGTGGACTGCTGATGCTGCCAGGGATTTGACGATTAGTTTATGGATTAACTAAAATCTTGTACCTTAACTCCAAAATCTTGCAATGTTAGCACTAATCAGGCATTACCACATGCCACTACCCCCAAAATATTAGACATCAACAAAAAGACATTTTTGTCCTCGTAACTCCTAAAATGTGCAATCAAGTAATTGAACTTCAAATTTTGTAAATATTCATATTTCCTTCCGTCCTTAATTAAGTTGATTAGTAGACTTCACACATTATTTTAACTATCCCATATTATCCTTCAATGTTTAAAATTCAAGCCAACTACATAATTCCACGTCAAGGGCATAAACTAAAAAAAATAAATCAAAATTTAAGAGTCTTTTTAAAATCCATAATCCATTCATATGAAAATCTGTCTATTGAAAAAAAAATCCAAATTTATTTTACCTTCAAAGAATTTTATTTATTTTCAAAATAATATCTTAATTTTGATTAATTAACATATGCAAATCTAGTCCAAACTCAAACTTAAATCTCACAAAAAAAAAAAAAAAAAAGAAGGTTCCTGCGACGTGTTATAATAGATCGCGAACGTGTCTGGCAGCGGGAAACTCCTCCTACCTGGACCGTATGAAAATTTTGCTCTATAATTGAATAGTTCAAAATTTCAAGATCATGGACTTTTGGTTGGACTCTAGTGTCTAGCCCCACCCAGAAAGAGAGCTTGGATGATTGGGCCTGAATGGGCCGAATAAAAGCAAACAGTAAGGCCAGGCCGAAGAAAACTATAGAGGTGATGATTATTATATTCAATAGACGTGTCCTTACTTTAGCAACGAAGGTGCATCCGTAATCATGATGAGCAGGTGCACGACATAGAATCTCCTCTCTCCCAGGTCCTGCTCTTCAGTGCTTGTTTTCCATCAGTTGAGGAGGAAAAAAAAAAAAAAACCTAGAATTCGAAGCTGTTAGGATTTGACTGTTGTTTTGAAATTTAATTAAGATGGAAGAGGAATTACAGCGTCCAGTAAGGTTGATGAATTTCGTATCCGAGGAACAGGTAATTGTTTTGCCTAATCAACAATTAGTTACCTCCTAAAACCCTAATTTTCTTTCTTGAAATTAAATAAAAATTGGATGATTGTAAACGACAGTTGGATCAAACAAAGAAAGCAAGGGGTGAGCGAGTTGAAGATGGTACTGCCCAGAGAGACAGGCCCCTCTTCGAGGTCTCTTTCTTCTATTCTTTCTCTCTCATTTATTTTGTAATGATTTAGAATCATACATTCACGCTGCAATGTCATGGTCATTTTTTTTCCGACAAATGTAGATTTTAAGGGAGAATAAGGACAAGAAGGATGCAGAATTTAATGAACGATTGAAGCATAGTGAGTTCTTCTTCTTTTTTCCTTTTGTTTTTTAATAGATATATCATTTGTGTCTTGGGGTTTGTCTTCTTAAACCCACTTGTAATGAGGAAGAATGAAGAAGCTTTAATGACTTGTACTTGTCGCAGGACCACCGAAAGCGTTGGATGAAGATGAGACTGAGTTTCTTGATAATTTAGAAACGGTGAGACCATGCTTTAAGGCCCATTAAGCTCTTACATTGCTAGTCGAAGTCCAGCTTCATCTGCCTTTTAAACTGGGAAATGGTTTTTCCTTTAATCTATCTGGCAGGACTCTGAGAAAGTGTCTGTTACGTAAGGAGTTTGGATCATAAGATAACTATTTGGTTTGACTTTGAGATATTATGAGAATAGTATTGTTAACTTATTTTTCAGAGTTTTTGTTAATGCCTTTTCTTTTCTTTTTCTCTTTTTAATATGCTTATTGTGCAAGCAGTCAAAGAAGGAACACGAGCGGCAGATGGCAGATGAGGAAGCCCAACAGCTTCGGACTTTCCAAGTAATTTATTAACTGATTTGAAGGACTTGTTTTGCTATTAGATTGAGATGCTACACGTGATTGTTTGAGAACTTCTGGCTTTGCCTTGAGTTCATGCCGATGATTCTGAAAATTTGATGATTGGCATTGGCATGGTGGTGTACTATTATTTATTGAAAACTCGTGGGAATGGACTTGTTTCCATTTCATGATGAAAAATTAGCCTATTGAGCAATGTTTTCTTTATGGGAAATCAGGATGCATTCTTGGAGATTCATCTCTTCATTTGTGATCTTTTATGTGTCTGAGCTACTGTGAATCGGGAACAAGTGATTGTATGCCATGTTTTTATTACGATATTCATTTATTGGAGTAGTCCTACGCTGCTTGTCATCCCAAAAAGAACCTTCTGTGAGCAGCTTACATACTCTCATACTAGTAGACCAATGTAGCCTAATTTTGCACGACCTTATTAAGAATCCCTATTCTCTTTTTGAATGGCACGCTCAGAACTTTTTATCTTTCTTATTCATCATACCTTTCATCTCAGAAAATGTTGTTATTGTCTCTCTTTTAGGCAGCAGTTGCAGCTCGGTCCTTCAGTGTAAATGAATTGAAGGAAATACCACCTGTTCCTCCAGTCCCGGTTAGTTTTCTATAAAACTATTGGAATGTTGCACTTGAGAACATATATGTGCATGCACAAGTGTCTGACTTACAACTTGCCAGAACTGCTGCATTGATGATTGACGTTGTAAAATTGTCGTATCAACGTGTGTTGCTTTCAAGAATTTTTTATGCCTTGAAATTTTGAATGCAAAATTATTCTAATTTCTAATGTTTAAACATAACCTTTTCTACTAAGGAATAATAAATGTCAGGAGCTTTTTAATTTTTTTTTTAGCCTCACACACTAAGGCTCCTAACAGAACTAGTCTGCTAGGATTTGAGCTTGTGACCTCTTGCAAGAGACCACTACCACTGGGTTACAAGCTCTTTGGTACAAGCCTTAAAAAAGGAATTATAATAGCTCTTGCAAAATTTGAATTTAAATTATGAAGATGGTGTGGTTAGGATATGTAATAACTTGAACACTCCACTCATTTTTCCAAGATAATAAAAAGATTAGGTTCCAATTATCATGGAGCATGCTTGAAGTCAGTCTGGTTGAGAATTTTGGTTCAAGCCAGAATTGCCTTACAGTTATTATAGTTGCTTCTAAATGCAACTTGTTCTGTGCGCAGGAACAAAAATCAGTCGGGAGGAAGAATCCACCTGCCCGGCCATTAAGTATGATTATCAAAGTCAAACCACAGGCGAAGAAAGCAAAGATGGACCAGGGAAATGTCGAAGAACATTTAGAGATAGGGAAAACACCTGATGTTTACATAGAAAAATCTTCAGACACAGTGAAAGTACCTAGCAACGATGTTGCTAAAACTGGCCTTGTTTCATACAGTGATGAAAGTGAAGATGATGATTAGTAGTTTTTGCTAAAGATATCTTGGATATTTACAATTACTTGATTGAATTTATTCTAGTGCGTTCCATTTTCTTGCATACATTTATCAGGGGAAGCAGATAACAAGGTGTGGTGTGCGACACTGTTTCTTTCTTAAATTGATCTTTCAGGAAAACACGGAAACTCTTCAGCGACTACAGCGATCTATTTTTTTTAGGAAACAAGCTTTAGGTTGGGCTGTAAACATACTGGACATGCTCGCGCAACAATCAGCCCAAAACGGACCTGCAGTGGTCTTGAATATGAAGTGTACAGAGACGGACAAAATTTCCTATCCTTACTAATAAAACAGTACTACTGCAGATTTAGTCTAACAGTACAGAAAATTGTTTTGATTTGATCAAAATAAAGGTTTAATTTCGATTATTTTTAGATGATTAGTTATAATTATTGTTTACTGGTACCAAGCAGTCTAATAATCGATTAAAGAACATGTATTTTGATGTTAGTTTAGGATAGAAAGCGGTGGATTTATTCTTGATATATATATATATATATATATATATATATATAAAAGTGGAGTTTCATTAGAGCTGGGACTTGGTGAATTTGCGCTATACTCCCAAGTGATTATCATTATAGAATCTTAAGCTAGGGCAGGGTGTTCGTGGTACTGAGACTGTTTCTCTGCGTAAACCATATGGATGATTTGTTGGCAGAAGAGTGGCATAACACGAAATTTTCAATGTTCTTGGTTTTTCTTCTCTCTCTGTATTTGGCAGGGAGTGGAGGGTTGCAAAAAAAGGTGTTTTTTTTTTTTTTTTTTTTTTTTTGGCATTGAAGGAAGTTTGATCTCATCCTGAACCTTGACTGTCAAACACAACAACGGTCAAACGCAAATGCTTCCTAGGGAAGGAAAGCCGTTGTCAAAGAAATTTAAAAAATGGGATACGTTGACAACGGCTAAGAGGACACTTGGGAGCAGGAAAAGGCGTGCGCCGCCTTCTTTTACTTTCTTCGATAGAAACTAGCCTAATACCCGCGCGATACCGCGGATAAATATATTATATCGATATTTTAATATTTTAAATAACTTAAAAATATAAACATAAAATAAAAATTAATTTGAGTAATATAAATATATATATATATATATATATATATATATATTAGGAATATTTTTTATTTTGATAAAAAAATATATGTAATTAATTATTTTATTTTAAAAAATTAAATTAGAAAAAGGTGTTTATCAATTTATATTAGAAGAATATTTAATTTTAGTTAATGAATATTTATAAAAATAGAAAAAGTAACCATTCATGGTGGAAAAAAATATTTTGATTAAATAATAATTAATGAAAAAACAATCCAGATAAAAAAATTATTGGGACCTTTTTGTAATATTAATTAAAATTAAAAACTTTTTATATAAAGTAATAATTTAAAGGATTAAAGTGTAAAATATTAAAAAATTGATAAAAAAATCATTTATTTTTTTCTTTGAAAAAATGACATGTTTTGCGTCTAAAATATCCAAAACAGTACCGTTTTGATTTTATGGTAGCCAGAGGTTAAATCCCATCCTCGTTTAGCATATGTTAAAATTATATAAACCCCATAAAGCTCATTGTTACATAGATCTTCTCAAATCTCGAGTATTTTGCACTAATGTTAAAAACCAACGTATTTTGTACTAATGTTTGTTTTTCCACTGTATTTGAGACAACCAAAACCATAGCGATGGAACTTGATTTGGGTCCATCATCCATGATGTTTGATACTTTTATCTCCATATTACAAAGAAATTTGCCTACATTCTTTTTGAACAAGAAGAAAAGAATAGTGCCATTTTACAATGAATACTTTCTATTGGCAAAGTTTGCTTCTATTTTTCTTATTCATTTACCAGAGAATATATAGAACCTCTAAAATAATAAATTAAAAAAAAAAAGAAAAACCAAGAAAAGATTTACTTGCTCCATTTGTTTGTAGAAAAAAGAGAGCAACTTTCCTTCTGCGAGTAGCTCATGCAGTTTTTGCACTTTCGTGAAGTGCCACTAAGGAGGCATAGAAACCATCTTTAATTTTGATCAAAGATTCATGCCTTCCTCTCTCTACAATAACTCCATTTTTAACCACTGCTATTAAATCTGCATGTCTGACTGTGGATAATCGATGGGCTACAATAACTGTAGTCCTGTTTACCATGACACGGTCTAATGCAGATTGAACCACTCTTTCAGATTCAGCATCTAATGCACTTGTAGCCTCATCTAATAGTAAAATCTTTGGATTTTTTACTATGGCGCGGGCAATGGCTACCCTTTGCTTCTGCCCCCCAGATAACTGGACTCCGCGGTCTCCTACTCCAGTATCATATCCCTGCATTTTGTGTTGTCAGAGGAAATAAAGACTTGGTAAGTGTCTCTGCATTATATCTTGATCTATGATTGATCAATCGACAATCCAAGTAAAACGGACAAGACAAACTCCTACCTGTTGTAAACTACTAATGAACTTGTGGGCATTGGCCAACTCTGCTGCAGATATAATTTCTGCCTCAGTTGCATTTCCTCCCTTTCCATATGCAATGTTGGCACGGATTGTGTCATTGAACAAAACAGGCTCCTGGCCTACGAGCCCCATTTGCTGCCTGTACCACTTTAGTTGTAGCTTTTGAATTTCAGTTCCATCAAGCGTGATGCGACCTGAATCTGGATCATAAAATCTTTGCAACAATGCAATCACTGTTGATTTCCCACTCCCACTTTCTCCAACCAGAGCAACAGTCTGAAAGAAATTCAGTCCAATAAATATAGCTTCTGACAAACTACTAATTGCTGTTCTTTTTTGTCAAATACTAAATGCCTGAAACAAATAGAAGTTAAGACACCATCGAAGACTTACCTTCCCAGCACGCATAAACAAGCTAATGTCTCGGAAGATTTGAATGTCTGGCCTAGTTGGATACTTAAAGCTCACATGACGAAGCTCAATTTCTCCCTTCACATTTTCTAATGTTATTCCCGAATCGTCGCTAGGGTCTATCTTTGACTTCCGGTCTATGATTGAAAATACAGAAGCAGCAGCACTTTTCGCTTTGGTGGTATCGGTAGTGAATGTGCTTGAATGAGAAATTCCAACAGATGCCAATGTCAAAGCAAAGAAAACCTGCAAAGAAAATAAGCACCTCAGTATCGACTGAAACTAGATTTTATCTGTTGGAAGTCATAAAATTCTAGGGAGAAAGATTAAAGAAATGTAAGAAATACTCACTTGAAAAACATCTTGGAAGGTTATGTGGCCGGTGTCAACTAGCCGAGCTCCAGCATAGAAACTAGTCGCATAGAAACAATACAGTAAGAAAGAAGATACTCCAAATCCAATGCCACTGACGAATCCTAGCCTTACTCCTGCTTTCATGGGACCTTGACATTTTCCTAGATAAAGTTGCATCACCTTTTCTTCAGAACAGAAGGAAGCAACTGTTCTTATGCTACAAACTGCATCGTTAGCAACTTGGCTTGCTTCTTCATACATCATCTAAGAAAACCAGTTTAATTTGTCAGCGACTAACTTTAAATGTACAAGTTATAACATTTATATAAAGAAAATTATGTTATCAAGAATCTTGCAACAACCTAAACCTTCTTGCAAAATAATAGCAGCTGTGAATGTGGCAGTTAGACAGCTCCAATGGGTTGTCAGATAGATGAATTCAACTACTTCTTTGCTTTTTTTTACTCAAATACAGGCTGATTAGCTTTAAGGCATACCTTTGCATCTGCGCTGAATCCTTTCATGAACTTCATTTGGATAACTCCATTGATGCCTATCAGAGGGATCAATGCAAGGATAACAAGTGCTAGTTGCCAGCTTGCAGTAAAAGCAATGATCATAGCTGCTGTTACTGTTGCAATATTTTGAACAATAGCAGCTAATTGATCTCCCACCAGAGAACGTACTGTTGCGGCATCTGCTGCGAGCCTAGCGCCAATTGCACCACTTGAGTGCTCAGGCTCGTCAAACCAGCTAACCTCCATGTTAACCACCTTATCAAAACACATTGATCTAATCCTCTGGATTAACTTACACCCGGCCACTGAAAAGAAGTATGATCTCACTGGAATTACCAGAAATGCAGCCACACCAAGCGTCAAAAACATTAGTGCCCAGAATTTTGAATCCTTTCTCAGTTCATGCGGTGGTTGGAAAAATGTTTTGATTGCTTTGGACATTAGTGTCCCATAAATCGGTAGTATTGTACCATGGATGCATGCTGCAATAGCGCCAATAATAAGAACTGGAATTTCTGGCTTGTTGAGAGAGGCAAGGCGGCTGATTGGGACCTCTGGAGCATCTTCTACTGGCAGAATATCTTCTGGCTCTCCATAGGTGTTGTCACGGACGCTGAATCCTGTAGCCAAACCAAATGGGAGGGAGAAAGAGTGACGGCTGCTACCTATTGATGATCCTCGGCTTATGGATCGACTTATGGATCGTCGAACTGATCTTCTTTGACTTGATTGTCTAAACGATTCCATAGTAATTTCTGATTCATGTGCTGCTTGGTCTGATTCTCTGTTTATTTCTTGTAAGCGTACAAGCTGAGAGTATGCTCCATCAGGATCCTGAAGAAGTTCTGAATGTGTACCTGCTCAATTGACATATACATTAGCATGCTTCTCTCCGACTCTATCGCTGACGCATCATGTAATAATGAGAATTTCACAGGTTATTTTTTACTTTCTCTTGGCAGATGTACTAATCGATATATTCAAGATAGAAACCAACAATTAACAAAACTATATCACGTCTTAAAAATTCACATTTTTGAAGGATATGATAGGATGTGAAGAAAAAGACAAGTTCTTTCTCTCTCTAGAAGAATTTAACAAGTGAATGGCACACGGGAAATGTACTACATGTCCACATGCAAGCCTGTCTGATGCTATAATTATTTTTTGTGAGACATACCTCTTTCAACCATCTTTCCTCGATGGATGACAGCAATCATATCAGCATTTCTCACAGTGGTCAATCGATGGGCAACAATAACAGTAGTTCGGTCAACCATAATCTTGTCCAATGCCTCTTGCACTACCCTCTCAGATTCTGCATCAAGGGCACTTGTAGCTTCATCTAAAAGTAAAATCCGAGGGTTCTTCAAGATTGCTCTGGCTATTGCAATTCTCTGCTTCTGTCCACCAGAAAGCTGAGTTCCATGCTCGCCAACCATGGTGTCAAAACCCTGAATGCAAATATGAAATTGTTAAAGTCAACGATTGGTTCGTGTAATCACAAAAACGAAATAAGCTCCTGAATTAGTTAACAAATAGGCAGTTGTTAAGAACCTGAGGTAGTTTATCAATGAATTTGGCAGCATTGGCAAGTTCAGCTGCAGCTCTTATATCTTCAATTGTTGCACCATCCTTCCCATATGCAATATTCTCCTTGATGCTGGATGCAAACAACACTGGTTCCTGGCTGACAAGACCAGTTTTTCTCTGATCCATTTAAGTTGAAGCTCTTTGATGTTAATGCCATCGATAAGAACTTCTCCAGCTAGGGGATCATAAAATCTCTCGACCAGACTGATCACTGTTGACTTCCCACTTCCACTATGCCCGACCAAAGCTGCTGTTGTGCCACTTGGGATTGAAAGAGAGAATCCACTAAATATTGGCTCATCTGGCCTGGCTGGATAACTGAAATACACATCCCGCAATTCTATGTCTCCATGAATGTCGTCCAACACTTTTCCTCTTGTATCATAAGCATCTATCTCTGGCTGCCTATTAATAGTCTCAAACATCTTGTATGCTGCAGCTCGACCGGCGGCAAAAGCACTCAAGCAGGGAGATGCTTGTCCCAGAGACCTATGAAGTCAACATAGTAATGCGAGGAATAAGCAAAATGGTTCATCGAAGAAAATATGGTTCCAACTTCTAAGCAATCATATTACATATGCAACAAATTAAAGAATTGAACTTACATGGAACCAGTCAAAACAGCAACAATCACATTAATCACTTCACCCCCATTATATCCTTTTTCCAACACCATCTTTGCACCAAACCATATAGCCATGGCATAACTAGCGAACACAATTAACATAACAATACCAACACCAAATCCCGAAAAAATGCCTTCTTTTACACCCGATTGGTAAGCAACCAGAAGAAGCTGGTTGTAAATATCTATAGCTCTCTTCTCCCCAGTAAATGATGCAACCTGGAATAGAAAAGGAGTATCATCATGGTTTGACCAAACAATAAATAGCAAAATTAGACGGTTTACTGAAGGGAAAACATTATTTCATGTTCTAAGCACTTTATTGTTCTTGCAATGTAACATACAGTTCTGATTCCGCCAATTGTCTGTTCTACAACATTTGCTGCTTCTGCATAAGCATTTTGTCCACGAGCTGCCATCTTGGATATAAAAAGGGCCATGCTTGCCCCAGCTAGCACTAGGAGGGGAATAGCGGATAACATGACAAGGGCTAGGAGCCATCCTTTAATAAATGCCACTGCAAAGCCTCCTATGAATGTTGCCATCAGCTGCAGAAATTTTCCAACCTGCAACAAATAAGCAGAATTATATGACATGGGGTTTGCGTGGAAAGTCGTACGAAAAATCATAGCACTTTTTTCTTTAGGTGAAGTTATTCCCATTGCAGCAAAATAGTACCTTTTCACCCATTGCATCTTGTATAAGAACAGTGTCACCGGACATTCTACCGATAACCTCTCCCGTGTTTGTTTCCTTGTCGAAGAAAGCAATGTCTTGTCTCAATATAGTTTTCAAATACATACTCCTTATACGCGATGCCTGTCTTTCCCCTGTGACTATCCAGCAAGTCACCTCTGACAAGAACCAAATACGTAGGTTTTCCTGTTAATTCACAATGCTTTGCACAAAATTTATTTTGATTAAAAGAGCGAGATGTACTTACGAAGGAAGGCTGCTATTCCAGAACCCACTGCTAAGTAGACATACTTCAGAGAGACCTGAAGTATTTGCAGGTACCATTAATAAAATATTTATATTTTCAAAACATATCAAGAAAGAAAGAAAGAACAGGGACATTGGTGAAATTCTTAATATCAAATCCCAATATACAACCTAACTTTTGTGTGGAAAGTATTAACAGATAAGTCCAATTCTATAACAGTGGTTACAATAACAAAAATATCCAAACTACTCTGGTTCTTTAAGCTTAAGCATTTGACAACTTTTTTATACCTTGGAGACCAAATCAGTCATGTTTTTGCTAAGCTGGTTGTTCCCAAATGCATTGATCACATCTCCCAACAGTAAAGTCATGAGGGGCATGGCCATACCGTTCCCAATTGCACCAAGTGAGCCCAAGAACATCAACAGGAAATCAGTAGAATCTGCAAACGAGAAGAGCTTAAAAAACGGAACTGATTTACTTTTCTCATCTTCTTTGCTCTTCTCTGCTTGTTCTTGATTCCCGTTACCGCCGAGGTGCCTCTCATCACCGTTGTTTGGTGAAGAGGTGGTGGCTTGATGGATCCTTGCATCACCATCCAAGCCATTCTCCTCAGCCATCATCCTGAACCAGATATTAAATCAGACTCTCCACTGCTCTCAGAATTCACAGAATTTATGTTGCAACCTGCAGAACACATATACTCGCTAAGATTAATCAACCTTACAAACCAAGTGGAAAAACTGTAATTGTATTCAATGTTTATAGAATTTGAAACACAACAGTGGTTGTATCAATATTCGTAATGGACAAGTCCAAGACCACGTTAATCACTAATCCTTGTTAAATGCTTTCTTTACAAGTGCGTTTGAACAGTCTTCAACAAGACCTTCTTCAACTGAAGTGGGCATCAAGCAATAAATCATATGATTTAAATAACTAGCAGGATTAGAAAGGATTGAAAGTTCATCATATTTTACTTTAAATGCATATAGAATGACATGGCAAGCCGGACAAACAACCGAAAAAAGAATTGAAAAAAAAAAAAAAATTCTTTCTAGAAAGTCAATATATCATAATGGAGGTGCTAATTCAAAGTTCAAACTTCTACAGGTGTAAAGTTCAACATCTTCCCAAGATTCACGCTCCATCCCTATTATACAATCTTGAAGAAGACAAAAGTGTCCCTTTTGTATATTCAATTCATCAAATATCACCTCTTGTATCGAATTTCCATTAAATTTCTCGACATCTTTGATCAAGGAATTACTTATCTTTTCATTCTTCTTTGAACCCTCAATCTAGGAGATCGTTAGCAACTGTCATGTTATTGATTACCTGCTTTGAGGGATTAACTAGTTCAAGGATGGCCTTATGACAAAGACTCTTAGCAGCTAGGAATCTATAACATGAAGCATTTAGATTCTGCAAGAGTATAGGTTGTGATAATTAAAAAGAAGAACCAATGTTTGTGAAGACAACAGTTCTCTCTCTTTTAACCAGTACTTGAAAAAACAAATGCAGGGGAAAGCAAGGTGGAGTAACTAAGATAAAGGGTTGGCTGACAAGCTCTTTATTTTGTATTTGGCAGAGAGAGAGGTGTCTGTGTTCCTTCAACAAAAGAAAGGAATACTTACATTCACACAACCGATAAAAACACAGCAAACCATAAAACAAACAAATCAATCCCATATCCAAAGAATGCTATAAAAGAGGAGTTCTTTGAGAAGCAATTTTTATCAATTACTTACCAAAAATTAAGAAGCAAAAGGGTGGCTGAAAAGAGCAAAATATCTAGGGACTTTAGCTTTGTGGATTCGATGAATGAAACTTTGATGCCTCTTGGACCTGCCTTTATTTTTGTGTTTAGCTATAAGCCTATAACTATAACAGTTTTGTAGTCACGTTATATAGCATGATCTCCGTCCAAAAGAATAGAATGGTAATGTTAGAACAGGACGACAGACAAGGCAACTTGGTCAAAAGTCTCGTTTTCGTGATTGTCAACTGGATCTTCAATAGTTTGTTATCTTCCTTTTTTCTTTTTTATATTTTTAAAATACACATCCTCTTTGTGTGGACATCTGTATTAATTCCCTGTCTTCCAGAAGCCGGATATTTTATTTTATTCCACTAAAAAAAGCCATAAAATGCTCAGCCACCGCAAAAATGCTCAGCCATGCACCGCGGTATCTACGTGTATTTTTATAGTATTGTTTGAGTAAAATATAAATTACTCCCTTTAGTTTTGCAAAATAAAATTAATTTTTTTTAATTTTAAAAACTAATTAATTAATTTTTTTCCTCTTTATGTTCTTTTTAATTATTTTTTTTGAACAATAAAAAATAAAAAAATAAATAGGTCATAGAAAAGATTATTGAGAATATATAATATTTTTTAAAATAAAACAATATTAAATTAAACATGATCAATGTTGATTAAAAGTCTAATTTATAATTTACAAACTATTGTTTTCATTTTTTGTTTTATTTTCAACCATTAATCCATCTATAGTTAACATGAAATTTTTTGCTTAAAGAACTACAATAAGAAGAAATACAATTAACGTTGTTTGTTAAGAATTAAATTTTAAAAAAGTATAAAAAAATATTTTATTATAAAAAAACATATATTTTTAATTTACACATAAATTGACTCGGAAATATTCTTGTTAACGAGTAAGAAAAATTATCAACATCACTTTTTATCTATATGAAAAAATCTAATTTAGATGAAAGCTATTCTAAAAAAATTATTTATTCTTAAATGTACATTTATATATGTAATTATACATATATGTATATGTATATTATTGTTAAATTTTGGCATAATTAAATGGGAATAGAAGTGGGAAAAATCTTTAACGTCTCTCTATTCTGTCAAAGCATGTATTTTGATTTTTGTCCATTCTCATTTTTTTTTCTTTTCATTATTTTTCTTTTTGGAGCGAGAGCGCGCGAAATTTACAATTTTGGATATTTAATTCTACCATATGACCGCGCTCCTTATTGAAATGTTCGTAATTTTTTTTTTAAGGGGAATATTCACGATTTTTTTTTAATTTGGATATATGCATGTCGATTTTGGCTGCGCAGACTAGTTCCTGTGGACTGACTGACACGAAAAAAAGAAAAATACATCCAACTTGACAATTATTTTTATTTTTATTTTGTGAACGTCACTTCCAATTAGGTATTCGAAAGCATCTTCACCATGTAAAACTATTATTATAGTTAGGTAAGCGCATTTAAGTTTTTCAGATAGAAAAAAAAAAAAAAAACTTATTCGTGCAGTACTACTCTTTTATTTCTACTGTCCAGGTTAAAATCTTACAGAAGACTAAAATAAAAAATACCATCAAATCTATGTCATATGTGGATTCCACATGTACAATACCGACATTTCTTTGAGTTATACATGATAGTGTTGTATTTTACATTTGTTAGAAATTAAAAAACAAAAAAGATGTTTACATTTTTTAGATGAAAAATATCATTTATTAATATCTTTTGTGAATAATCTCTAAAAAAATGTATTCTTCAAAATACACTAAGATCGAAATGAGTTTAATTACATTGTTAAAATTATTTAATTTTTTTAATTTTAATTACCATGAAAATTGATCATTCAAAAATATTCTAAATAGTGATATTTTTTTGCCGAAAAATTAGTAAAAAAAAAAAAGGTTCCATAATGGATATCTTTCCAACAATTTTTATATTTTTGGAACACAAATTGAGTTAAATTCAACCCAACGTGAACCGCAATGAATAAGTGAAATAAATAAAAGAATATCTTAAATTGTTTGTGTAGATAATACATAATTATAAGCTGGTGCCCCACCAATGCGGCATCGGAACAAAAGTGCAGGGTTCTTCTAGCGCTGATCACATGCATGGGAATATTTGTATGCGATAATCTTGTCAAATACGGCGTGTTGCTTACCACCCGGCGGCCGGCTCCATCACAAAGCGAACCATGAAAATAATAATAATGAAAAAAATTAAAATCCCACATTTAAGGCCTTTCCATTCTGATTTAAAATCCGAGGGATGTTAACCATTCGATTAGAGAAATCTAAAAATGCTGCCAACGAAAAGTGAGGATTGAATAATTCTTGGTCTTTGACTGAGATGATTAGCAAAACACATTAATTAAGTCTCAAGGAAACTTCATGGCCTTGATTGGCTCTTTGCTTATCCAAGAACCTTCTACTTGCTCAGTCTCTCGCTTTAATTTATTTATATAATGGTCAAGGAAAACGAAAGATCATAACCCATTGGCCCCAAGACCTGAAAGCATCCGTGAAGAGAGAGACTTTGTTTTCTATAATCTTGCTAAAAAGTTCCGTATATCTATAATTGCACTATAAGAATATTAAGTTTTAATATTTTTATATATTTAATACGAAAATCTTTCTATAAATCGTAGGTTAGTAATTTGAAACAAATGATACTTTATCATATAATGAAGCAATCGATGAGAAAATATTGATTGATAATTTTTAAAAAATTAATATGTTTAAATAAAAAAATATTAAAATTCATATGGTTATTGAAAAAACGTTAAAAATTGTTGTATTTGTAAATGCAACCCTCCCAATCTTTTTGGATTAAGTCGTGTGAATTATTTTTTTGGGCAGAGGATAGATTTGTCCTCAAACTATTAACCAGTTCTCAATTGGGTTCCCAAACACAAATATTTCTCAATTGAGTCCCCTACGATAGTATCCAATGAATTCCCGTCTTAAATTTTTTTTTCCTTTAAATCATAAAACCCTTTCTTAATTTAAATCTCCATGGTCTCATCAAACATGAGAGTGAGAATTGTACAAAAGAATGGATCGTCTTTTTCATTTCAACAATGAAAAATGTATTTGAATTCTTCATGATCATATAAGTAATTTAATAGATTGTTAACCTTTTACCATGTTGTATGGTGATTCTTCAGTATTATATTTGATATATATATATATATATATATATATATTAAACTTGTTGGCAATTAATTGCTATACTGTTATTAGTGGGTTTTTTCCCCTCTCAAGATTAGTGATAGATTTCATAAAAAGACTTGAACATGAGGCCACATGTCTTACTTTCCAAGAGTGCCTATGGTTACTGATTTGGCGAGAATCTATTATATCATTAAATGCTATTAAAAATTAAATGATATTAACTCAGAATTCTCTAACGGATGAGACGATGGTCATTGAAACTTAACCCTCAATCATTACTTTGATTGTGCGATGAGTTATTTTTTGTCTGCTTGAATTCCTTAACCTTGGCCTCTACTTTACCATATCGCACAACTTTCTTTAACTCTCCCTCAGAATTGAAGAAAACAACAATTTCAAGAGAAAAATAAATAAATAAATGCCGATGACAGTTAATAATATTAATTCAGAATTCTCTAACAGAATGAAGTTTCTTTAATTCCGTCTTGCATTTTGAAAAAGTCAATGGAGGTAGGAGGAGACATTAGAGGGGCAATGGTGAAGACGGGGGTCAGCCAGTACTGCAGTACAGTTTCTGGGATGTGATTAATGCGAAGATGAGGATTAGTGGTTCTAGCTACTAGTGGAAAATCAGGGAGAATTGCGGTTATTCTATTTGATTTTTTGAATTATTTATATGTAGTAGTAGCAAATTTTGTCAGCGTAAGAAAAGGTCATAGGGAAATGCAATGTAGCCATCACTAATATGTTAAGATTTTATCAAAATTGCTATCTGTATACCTTTCAATATATATTCGTCATTGAATTAGTCCTTTTGTTTGCCTGGGATGATTAATCGACAAGATGCAGTCTTCTTACCTTTGCTTCAATTGCAGGATAAATAAACGAAAGTTTTGACTTAGAGGAAAAAAATATAACAAAAATTTGATATTATATTTTGTCAAAGAAGGCAGGCTTCAGTCTTGATCCCACAAAGAATTTATATTCGCAAAAGATAGGAAGTTTGACAGAGACACTCCCATGCCTCTAACAAAATTCGTGGACGACTTTCCGGGAAACTGCCTATTAATATTGTGGAATTATCCGAGAGAAATTTTCCACAAAAGGAAAGGCTTGGATTTCCAGAGGAGAAAAATTATAGTACTGTTGTTTCAGAGCACGTCAAAAATTTATTGACAAATTTGGCAAGTGGAATATATGTAACCGTTTCTAGATGGTGCATGTGTTTTCCAGCCATCTTGCCGTTTCATGACTAAAATGAAGCCACCAGTAAATCGACGTCCAAGTCAATTTTGGAGGGTCCTCCTTCCCCTCAGGTTTCTTATCTTATTTGTCAAGCAGGAAATAGTAAACGAGAATTAATTAGCCAAAATTCTTTTCAATTAAATATATAATTTTTAAAGATCTGATTGAATATTTGACCGCATAACAAAAAGATGGCTCGCAGCCCATCTGTGAGAATTGATTTTCTTTGCCAACGCCGTAAGAATCTCGGAATTTCATTAAAAATTCTAGTCATTAGCTCTCTGTTGTTTTATCCACACCAATTCCAAGAAAAACTCAAACTCTTTATATTTTTACTCCATAAACAAAGAGCTAATACTGTAGTATAGCTTTTTCTGCTGCTAACATTCATTTGTGAGAAATTGCAGTACATTTTTAAAGAAGACAACAGGTTTGAAAAAGAGAAGATAACAGCAGATCATTAAAAAATGAAGTGACTTATAATTGATAAGTGTCGACTCTGTTGACTTAAGCTGATGAGGCACTCGTATTAAGGGCTACTAAGGAGGCATAAAAACCATCTCTGATATTGATCAAAGAATCATGCTTGCCTTTCTCTACAATAGCCCCATTTTTAACCACTGCAATAACATCTGCATTCTTGATTGTGGATAACCGATGGGCTACAATGACTGTGGTCCTGTTCACCATGACTCGGTCTAGAGCATCTTGAACCACTCTTTCGGATTCAGCATCTAGTGCACTCGTAGCCTCGTCCAGTAGAAGTATTTTGGGACTTTTGACTATAGCACGAGCAATGGCCACCCTTTGTTTCTGCCCCCCGGACAATTGGATTCCTCGCTCTCCTACTGTGGTATCATAACCCTGCATTTTGCGTTGTAAATATTAGCATCTTAGCAGCCAATAACAGCAACATAAAGATAAGTGCATGAATGATTTTTATTCCTATTTCTGCAAAATCCTAATAGAACCTGTACCGTAGATGCTTGCTTTAACAAATTAAGCTATTGGTACTTAATTTCAGGAGATGATATCAATGGAACAACTGCTGAGTATTTTGCTTCATAATGTTCTAATTACCTGTTGTAGACTACTAATGAAAGTGTGTGCATTGGCCAGCTCTGACGCAGCAAAAATTTCCATCTCGGTCGCATTCCCTTGCTTCCCATATGCAATGTTTGCACGGATTGTATCATTAAACAGGACTGGTTCTTGGCTCACAAGCCCCATCTGCCACCTCAGCCACTTAAGCTGGAGACTTTGAATGTCAACTCCATCGAGTGTTATATGACCAGAATCGGGATCATAAAATCTTTGCAACAATGATATCACCGTTGATTTCCCACTCCCGCTCTCTCCAACAAGAGCAACAGTCTGAAAGAACAGATTCAAATTAAAATAATTTAGAATTTTACATTTGCATTTTAAGCAAAATGACAGCACTAGTTTCAGGATTCCATTTTTCTAAAGACAATATGCTTGAAACAATTAAACAGATGGATTTCAAGCATGAATAGTTACCTTGCCAGAATGAATAACCAAGCTGAGATCTCGGAAAATTTGAATATCTGGCCTAGTTGGATACTTGAAGCTTATGCGATGTAGTTCAATTTCTCCTTTCACATCGTCTAACTTCGTTCCTGACTCGTCACTTGGATCTATCTTTGACTTTCGGTCTATAATAGAGAATATGGAAGCAGCTGCAGTCTTGGCACTGGAGGAATCAGGACCAAAGGAACTTGTTTGTGAAATTCCAATAGCTGCCATGGTTAAAGCCAAGAAAACCTGCAAGTAGACACATGAACAAAGTATTATTAAAACATACATGGTTTCCAAAAGTATCTTTTACGAAACCTCTATAATTAATTAGGAAGATATGCCCACTCGAAAAACTTCTGTAAATGTTGTTTTCCCTTGCTGGACTAGTTGAGCTCCCGCGTAGAAACTGGTTGCATAGACAGAAAACAGTAAGAAGAAAGAAACTCCAAATCCTGCTCCACTGATCAGCCCTTGCCTTATTCCTGTCTTCATAGGGCCTTCACATTTCCTTTTGTATAATCGCATCACCTTCTCTTCAGCACAGAAAGAAGCAACAGTTCTTATGCTGCCAACAGCATCATTTGCAACTTGACTTGCTTCCTCATACATCATCTGCAACCATTTCGATCAGTGATTCGATGATTAATTTCAAATAGCAAACCTAATAAATTGTAATTGCTGAGAAAAGGCTGCTTGGAACTTAAAATAGAACTTCTTTTCCAAGTCAAAATTCAAAATCTTTAGTTTAATACTGGAATCAAATACAAGGTTAATGGGTTAAAAACAATACCTTTGCATCTGCACTAAATCCTTTCATGAACTTTATTTGAATAATTCCATTGAGTCCTACTAGAGGAATTAGTACAAGGATAATCAAGGCCAATTGCCAACATGCAGTAAAGGCAATGACCAAACCCGCTGCTGCTGCTGCGATGTTTTGAACCAACTGAGCTAGAGAGTCCCCAACCAGAGCACGCACTGTTGCTGCATCTGCTGAAAGCCTAGCACCAATTGCACCACTTGAGTGTTCAGGCTCATCGAACCAACCGACCTCCATGTGAACCACCTTCTCGAAGCAGATAGATCGGATCCGTTGGATTAATTTGCATCCGGCCACGGAAAATAAGTACGTTTGTGTTGGAAACACCAAAAATGATGCCAGGCCAAGAGTCATAAACATTAGTGCCCAGAACTTTGAATCCTTTCTCATTTCATGCGGTGGTTCAAAAAAAGTTTTAATCACATTGGAAAGTAGTATCGCAAAAGTTGGAAATATGACACCATTAAGAACTGCAGCTATAGCTCCAGCCATAAGCACCGGGGTCTCTGGCTTGTTCAGATAAGCAAGGCGGCGGATTGGGACGTCTGGAGTTTTTTGTTTATGTGGAGAAGCTTCTACTTCTCCCGGGGAATTATCAGGGTTAGGGACACTGAATCCAGTAGTAAGTAAATCTAACGAAACGGAGAATGAGCTTCTATTTCCTGCTCCAGATGATCCCCTACTTAAGGATTGTTTCAGTGAAATTCTTGGACTCGACTGCCTAAAGGATTCAATAGTAATATCTGTCTTGTGGTCATCTGTTTCATGCTCTGACTCTTTATTTACTTCTTGTAAGTGTATAAGCTGCGAGTAAGCTCCTTCAGGATCCTTGAGTAGTTCCGAATGTGAGCCTAATCAATTAACAGAAGTTTTTTAAATTGTATTATCTCCTCGGCTCGTTTGCATCAAGAATCAAAATCTCAGAAAAATAATTCCTCAGTAGCCCGGAGAAATAACTACTTTAGAATTAATCAGGAGGCTGGTCTAACTTCTAACTAAGGTTGTAAGATATAGAACTTATTGTCTGCCGAGAATTAGAGCATGATTGTACAAAAAATTAAGCATATATATATCTGCTACTATATGTTTATTGAAACCAGGTAAATGAGTAGGATTATTCACTATATCCAATATGCAAAAATATACAGAAAATACACAAAATATTTCAGAATGGATGAAGAATGTATATCAGTGAGCAGAAATTTCCTATAGGATCACAAGCATTTCTGACATTGCTCTATATGTGGATTGTTATGCATGACTAATTATGAGATACCTTTTTCCACTATCTTGCCACGGTGAATAACTGAAATCAAATCAGCATTTCTCACAGTGCTCAAACGATGGGCAACAATGACAGTTGTTCTATTTGCCATAATCCTGTCTAGTGCCTCCTGCACTATCTTTTCAGATTCCGCATCAAGTGCACTTGTAGCTTCATCTAAAAGCAAAATTCGTGGATCTTTCAGAATTGCTCTTGCTATTGCAATTCTCTGTTTCTGTCCACCAGAAATCTGAGTTCCATGCTCACCAACCATGGTGTCTAGTCCCTGGATGCAAAACTCAATGGTCTAAATTAAATTATATATAAAAAAAACCTGGAGATCCTACCCCCCTTCCAAAAAAAATTATAACAACATGAACGGTCATAGAGGGTATAAGAACTAATAGAGGGAACCACTTATTAGTTATAACCTGAGGTAGTTTGTCTATGAATTTAGCAGCATTGGCAAGTTCAGCTGCTGCTCTTATCTCTTCAGTAGTTGCACCATCTTTTCCATAGGCAATGTTATCCCTAATGCTGGATGTAAACAACACAGGTTCTTGGCTGACAAGACCAATTTTCTCTCGGATCCACCTAAGTTGAAACTCTCTGAGGTTAATACCATCTATGAGAATTTCTCCAGCTTGTGGATCATAAAATCTCTCTATCAGACTGATTACTGTTGACTTTCCACTTCCACTTTGTCCAACCAAAGCTGCAGTTATGCCACTTGAGATGAGAAGAGACAGTCCAGATAATATTTGATCATCAGGTCTGGCTGGATAGCTGAAATGCACATCCCTCAATTCTATATCTCCATTGATGTCATCCAATATCTTTCCCCCATTTTGTAAGCGTCTATCTCAGGCTTCCTACTAATAGTCTCAAACATTTTAGAAGCTGAAGCTTGACCAGCCGCAAATGCACTCATGCAGGGAGATGCCTGACCAAGTGATCTGACATTTTCGTATGGTCAGATCATAAAGTGAATATGATGAATTGTTAAGAAAAAAGTTGAATACATGAAGATCAATTTGTGTTTTGGTTTGTGCGGATGTCGTTGTGCATGTGTGTGTGTGTGTGTGTGTTTGCTTCATAAAGGAACTCACGTGGATCCGGTCAACAGAGCAACAATCACATTAATCACCGTACCCCCAGTGTATCCTTTTTCCAATATCATCTTCCCACCAAACCATACTGCCAAAGCATAGCTGCAGAAGATTACTAACATAACAATGCCAATGCCCAATCCAGCAGCTAAGCCTTCTTGAACACCGGATTTGTAAGCAGTAATAAGAAACTTCCGGTAATTGCTAATGGCATGCTCTTCACAAGTAAATGACGCGACCTGGATTAAAGTTAAAACAATTAGCACTCTTTAACTGATTTTTCTTTTCCTTTTTAGCCAAGCAAATGTGCAGTTCTTTGTATGTAAACATACAGTTCTAATCGAGCCTAATGTCTGTTCTACGACAATTGCTGCTTTTGCATAAGCAGTTTGTCCACTAGATGCTTTTCTAGATATCATTATTGACATGGCTCCACCAGCTAGCACAAGCAAGGGAATGGAGGATAACATGACAAGAGCAAGAAGCCACCCTTGGACAAATGCTATTACAAAGCCTCCAAAGAATGTCGATACCAGCTGTATAAATTTCCCAACCTGCATGAAATAATAAGGCTTATTTAAGCACAAAAATATCTCGGCAATATGTATAAAACTCACTGCAATTTTTCCTTCTGGACAGAGTATAAGAACAGTTTGGTACCTTTTCACCCATAGCATCTTGTATAAGAAAAGTGTCACCAGACATTCTACCAACAACCTCCCCGGTGTTTGTTTCCTTATCGAAAAAGGCAACATCTTGTCTCAGTATAGTTTTCAAATATGTAAACCTTATCCGGGCAGCCTGTCTCTCTCCTGTGACCATCCAGCAAGCCACCTCTGACAAACAACAGAAAAGGTTTTATAAGTCCCAATTCTTGACAAACAAGACACTTTCTGTATGTTAGCATTATTGGGTATGTACTCACGGAGAAATGCTCCTACAGCAGATCCCACTGCCAAGTAAACAAATTTGAGAGACACCTGAAGTTTTCACAGTCAACAAAATAGAAACATCTTTATGTTAAGAAAAAGAATTACAGAACCGAAAATGTAATGGTCCTGATCAGAAAGATGCAGAACAGCTTGTGCTTAAAGCATCTCAGTTGATTGAAAAACATGAATGCTAATTGTATTACCTTGGACACTAAGTGAACCACTTTGTTATTATTCTGATTTTGTCCAAAAGAATTAATCACATCTCCCAATAGAATTGACATAAGGGGTAGGGATACTCCGTTTCCAACAGCACCAATCGACCCAAGGATCATCAAAACAGTATCTGTGGAATCTGCAAACGAAAAGAGCTTGGGAAATGGCACAGTTTTAGTTTTCTCATCTTCTTTGCTTTTCTCTAGCCTTTCTAGGTCCCTATTCGGGCCTGAACTTTTCTCCTCCCCTTCCTGTCTTTTTGATGTGGTGGCCTCATCCTTACTTCCACCATTTCTGCCATTATCTGGGGCCATAGCACCAACCTAAAGGTATTACTGATTCTTAATTTGCTCTCGGAATATATAGTTATATACAACTAAGTTTGCAGCTGCAGAGCACAAAGCAAATCTGCAAATTTAAATTGCAGTCCTTGGTTTTTACAGAAAGAAATAATAAACCCAAAGACGAAATAAGTTCCAGTACTCCAAAATTCTCTAAGACTTAATAGCATACATGCTACTAATCAACATACCAGCCTACGGAGGAAAAAAAAACAGTGCGAAAATGACAAATGAAAGAGCAAAATCCAGATGGCCAATGAATGAGCAAAAAAGTCACCAAACTGGGTACCAAGCCATTATTTCAAATTTCAGTTTTGTGAGTTTTCCTTTTGCTTCCGTGCAAGTTTTCTTGAAATTAAAATGGTAATCACTTTCTACTAACTATCAAGTCATCTTACATTCAACATTGATTGTTGCAAGTTAATAGACAACTGATCTACCTAAATATATATATATATATATATATATGTATATATGCTTTCGCTTTCAACTACAAAATGGAAAACAGTGACTGTTTTATTTAGTAATTACTGTTTATGCTCTTGTGCAGAGGGAACGAAATTTATCAAATAAAACTAGGCTTTTCAATGTGATTATTGGATGGCCAACCTTGAATATAGCATGACTATATATAGTGTCAACATATTATCAAACAATGAAGTTCCCAAACGATGAAGAAACTAAATCATAGAAACATGGCTCACAATCTGCCATCCATTGCTTTGATCTCAACAAAAGATTCATATCCAACTCCGCACGAATCTGAGGATATCATGAATATTTTAGCCATAGCCTCTAATGTTGTCTTATCCTTAATTTCTAATTCTAAAAAATAAGCCAATTAGTTATGTTGTTTTAGACGAAAATCAATAAACTTAAATTAAAAGCAAGCAAAATAGTGACAAAAACAAAGTACAAACAAAGTTACAAAGATTACAACCAAAATAGTAATTCCTTTGAAGTGCTAATACTATATTAGCTAGACCATAATTTTAAATAATAGTTGCAGTTGCAATAACGATAACCGATTGTAATAATAGATGTGGATTTTAATAGCTAAATATAACGGTTGCAGCTATTATTATTATGAATCATTTAACAATTTTCATAATACATGTTAATTTGATAGTTTTATTAAATAAACATATAGTATTTTTTAGTTATATATGTACACACATCATTATAATTTAATAATAACAAAACTATTAAAAATTAAATTTTAATTTAACTTAAGTCAAATTATGGTTCATAAAATGTTAGGATAAAATTATAATTTAATTATTAGTTGCTAGAGTGGAAGAAAAATTGGCTTATAATTTTTTTTAGAAAAATAAAAATATTATTAATTTTTTAAAATTACACAAAGTAAAAAAAAAAAAAGTAAATAAAAAAATAAAAATCCAAAACTAGGCCCAATAATATCACTTAAAAATATATATTAAAAAAAAGTCCAATTAAAACTGTGTAAAAATAATAGATCCAATGGGCCATTTAAAAGTACGGATCCAGTCCAAAATATTAAAACACTAGGTATAAGTAGAATACTAATATCTCTAAAGTCTAAACCTAAATCCACTTCATGCCCCCTCTCTGTGTAGTCTCTTCTTCTTCCTCGTGCATCCTGCCGCCTCTTCTTCTGTTTTCTGCGGCACCAGTTCTTCTTGTTCTTCTTTTCTCTTCCTTTTTGTTTGCCTTTCTATATTGAAAACAACGTCCTTCATCTTCCTTACTAAAAATTGATTCTCCCTCTCAAAATTTTTTCTTTATGTTTCAATTAAATGTGACTGAATATTGAAGCATAAATCTAAACATCAATGAAAGATAATGCCGTTTTTTTCTGGTAGAAAGCGGGTACCATTAACATTATATAACAGTATAACGGTCGTTATCTCTGTGAATCGTCAATATTTTAGTTTAGCACCGAAAAACGGTATCGGCTACTGCCGATTCCGTTATATAACGGCCATATGCTGCGCAACTGTGTATTTTAAAACTATGAGCTAGACTATCAGCTAATCGGTTATTGTAACTGACAATCAATTACTACAAAAGTGGAACATTTATGTATATATTCCGTAAAAGAAAAAAGAAAACTTGACATTTATATATATTCGTCAGGGTTAGGAACGATAAAAAAACATCCCTTAATAAAAAAAACGGTGGCAGAAAAATTGCAGGTGTGACTCAAGACGTTGAGGCACTCATATGAAGAGCCACTAAAGAGGCATAAAAACCATCTTTGATATGGATCAAAGAATCGTGCTTGCCTTTCTCCACAATAACTCCATTTTTCACCACGGCAATAACATCTGCATTCTTGATTGTAGACAATCGATGAGCTACAACGACTGTAGTCCTATTCACCATAACTCGGTCCAGTGCATCTTGGACCACTCTTTCAGATTCAGCATCCAGTGCACTGGTAGCCTCATCCAATAGAAGTATTTTGGGACTTTTGACTATAGCACGAGCAATGGCCACCCTTTGTTTCTGCCCCCGGACAAATGGGTTCCTCGCTCTCCTACAACAGTATCGTACCCCTGCATTTTGCGTTGTCATAAGCCAACAAAATTACAACAAGCATCATCGCAAAATATTCCATCTGATAACAACCACCAAACAATATAGCACGAATGATCTTTGAATCCTATCAATGGAAAAGCCTATTAGAAGTTATATCATGGCTGCTTGCTTAAGCAAATTAAGTTACTACTTGTACTTGCAGAAGATGATATCAATGGAAACAATTGCTGATAGTTGTTATATAATATTCTGACCTGTTGTAAACTACTAATGAATTTGTGTGCATTGGCCAGCTCCGATGCAGCATGAATTTCTGCTTCAGTTGCATTTCCTTCCTTTCCATATGCAATGTTGGTTCGGATTGTATCATTAAAGAGAACTGGTTCTTGGCTCACAAGCCCCATCTGCTGCCTCAACCACTTGAGTTGCAGACTCTGAATGTCAATTCCATCAAGAGTTATATGACCTGAATCGGGATCATAAAATCTTTGCAATAGTGAGATCACCGTTGATTTCCCACTTCCACTTTCTCCAACCAGGGCAACAGTCTAAAAGAAGATTCACGTTAATAATGTAGAATTTGACACGACATTTTAAATTATACAAGTGCCCTACAATCAGTATTCCATTTTTTTAAAGACAATATCCTTGAAAGAATTTGATTCAAAGCATGAATAATTTACCTTGCCAGAATGAATGGCCAAGCTGAGGTCTCGGAAAATTTCAATGTCCGGCCTAGTTGGATACTTAAAGCTTATGTGGCGAAGTTCGATTTCTCCTTTCACATTGTTTAATGTTGTTCCTGACTCATCACTTGGATCGATATTCGACTTTCGATCTATAATAGAGAATATGGAAGCAGCTGCACCCTTGGCTTTCGAGGAATCAGGAGCAAAGGAGCTTGATTGAGAAATTCCAAACGCTGCCATGGTTAAAGCAAAGAAAACCTGCAAGGAGACAAGTGATTAGGTATTATTAAGAAAACTTTAACGGCTATAAAAATCTTGTGGAAAGAATTTATACACAAGGAAGATATACCCACACGAAAAACTTCTGAGAAAGTTGTTTTCCCTTGCTTGATTAGTTGAGCTCCCACATAGAAACTAGTTGCATAGACAGAATACAGTAAAAAGAAAGAAACTCCAAATCCAGTTCCACTGATCAGCCCTTGCCTTATTCCTGTCCTCATAGGGCCTTCACATTTCCTTCTGTATAATTGCATCACCTTCTCTTCAGCACAGAAAGAAGCAACAGTTCTTATGCTGCTCACAGCGTCATTTGCAACTTGGCTTGCTTCCTCATACATTTTCTGCAACCATTTTGATCAACGAATATGATTATCATTTTTTTTTTGGGTACATTTGATGATTAATTTCAACTACCACATGTAACAAATGGTAATTTCTGAGGAAGGCTGCAGGGTACGTACAGTAATAAAATACAAGGTCATGAGTTAAAGAGTATACCTTTGCATCTGCACTGAATCCTTTCATGAACTTTATTTGAATAAATCCATTGAGTCCTATAAGAGGAAGTAGTACAAGGATTACCAGTGCCAATTCCCAAGATGCGGCAAAGGCAATGACCAAACCTGCTATAGCAGAAGCAATGTTCTGAACCAACTGGGAAAGAGAATCTCCAACCAGAGCACGCACTGTTGCTGCATCTGCTGAGAGCCTAGCACCAACTGCTCCACTTGAGTGCTCAGGCTCGTCGAACCAGCCCACCTCCATTAGAACCACCTTCTCAAAACACATAGATCGGATCCTTTGTATTAATTTGCAACCGGCCACAGAAAATAAATATGTTTGTGTTGGATACACCACAAATGAAGCCAGGCCAAGGGTCATAAACATTAATGCCCAGAACTTCGAATCCTTTCTCAACTCATGAGGTGGTTCAAAAAATGTTTTAATCATATTGGAAAGTAGTATACCATAAATTGGAAATATGACCCCATTGAGAATTGCAGCTATAGAACCAGCCATTAGAACTGGAACCTCTGGCTTGTTGAGATACGCAAGGCGGCTGATTGGGACATCAGTTTGTTGTTTCTGCGTAGAATCCTTTAATTCTGCAATGGAATTGTCAGGGACATTGAATCCAGTAGGTAAACCAAATGACACTGAGAAAGAGTGTCGACTGCTGTTTCCAATCCCAGATGATCCCCGACTTATTGACCGTTTCAGTGAGATTCTTTGACTTGACTGTCTTAAGGACTCTGCAGAAATATCTGACTTCTTGTGGTCATCTGTTTCTTGTTCGGACACTTTGTTAACTTCTTGTAAGCGTATAAGCTGAAAGTAAGCTCCTTCAGGATCCTTGAGTAGTTCTGCATGGGAACCTGATCAATCAATAAAAAGGATGCGAGTTATATATCTCTCCTTGTCTCTTTCACGTCATGTATGAAAATATCATAAAAGTAGTAGATTTCAGAACTGATTTGGCTGCAGAAAGCTAGTGCATGAATCATGATTGTTCAACAAAGTAAGTCTGCTATATGCTCGGGTATGACTAGGTAAATAAATAGGAAGTTCCACAAAATAATCCACAATATGGCATAAAAATCGATGACGTTACTAAAATTACAATTATTTGGATCCAGGATCTATTGAGAAATTGTGGCAATGCAGAGACCACAAAATTTACAGCGAAGGAATTTCTCAGCAGGATCCCGAGATTTTTTTACGTTTCTTTATATGATAATCATGCATGCTTAATTATATACCTTGCTCCACCATCTTTCCACGGTGAATAACTGCAATCATATCCGCATTTCTCACAGTGCTCAGACGATGGGCAACAATGACAGTTGTTCGATTGACCATAATCCTGTCTAAAGCCTCCTGCACTATCCTTTCAGATTCCGCATCAAGTGCGCTTGTAGCTTCATCCAAAAGTAAAATCCGTGGATCTTTAAGAATGGCTCTTGCTATTGCAATTCTCTGTTTCTGTCCACCTGACATCTGAGTTCCATGCTCACCAACCATGGTGTCTAGTCCCTGGATGCAAAATTCAATGTTCAATATTAAATTAAAAAATGTAAACCTGGAGATCATAAAATCAGCATAGAGGGTACAAGAACTAATAGAGGGAACCACTTATAACCTGAGGTAGTTTATCAATGAATTTAGCAGCATTGGCAAGTTCAGTTGCTGCTCTTATCTCTTCAGTAGTTGCACCTTCTTTTCCATATGCAATGTTATCCTTGATGCTGGAGGTAAACAACACAGGTTCCTGGCTGACAAGACCAATTTTATCCCGGATCCACTTCAGCTGAAACTCCTTGAGGTTAATGCCATCTATGAGAACTTCACCAGCTTGTGGATCATAAAATCTCTCTATCAGACTGATCACTGTTGACTTTCCGCTTCCACTTTGTCCAACCAATGCTGCAGTTGTTCCGCTTGGGATTAAAAGAGAGAATCCAGAAAATATCTGCTCATCTGGTCTGGCTGGATAACTAAAATATACATCCCTTAACTCTATATCTCCTCTGATGTCATCCAATATCTTTCCCCTTGTATCGGAAGCATCTATCTCTGGCTTTCTATTGATAGTCTCAAACATCTTGTAAGCTGCAGCTTGACCAGCTGCAAATGCACTCATGCAAGGAGATGCCTGCCCTAGGGACCTGAACCATTCAAATGATTAGACCATAAAAGTAAAAATAAATAAATAATGAATTTTTTATACATATTGCTTCCTAATGGAACTCACATAGAACCAGTTAACACAGCAATAATCACATTAACTACATCACCCCCAGTGTATCCCTTTTCCCATATCATCTTTCCACCAAACCATACTGCCAACGCATAGCTGCAGAAGATTACCAACATAACGATGCCAAGACCTAATCCAGCAGTAAAGCCTTCTTGAACACCAGATTTATATGCAGTAACCAGAAACTTCTTGTAATTATTTATGGCTTGCTTCTCCCCGGTAAATGATGCAACCTGGATACAAGTTAAACAATTAGCATTCTATACTGAATTTTCCTTTTGGCACATCTTGGTCTTTATATGTAAACATACTGTTCTGATTGAGCCAATAGTTTGTTCTACTACAGTCGCTGCTTTAGCATAAGCAGTTTGGCCACGAGATGCCATCCTAGTTATCATGATGGACAATCCTGCGCCAGCTATCACAAGCAGGGGAATGGAGGATAACATGACAAGAGTAAGAAGCCACCCTTTGACAAATGCAATAATAAAGCCTCCAATGAATGTTGACACCAGCTGTATAAATTTCCCAACCTGCATGGATAATAAGGGTTATTTAACCAGAAAAACATCGTGGTATCACTGCTATTTTTTTATTCTGGTCAGAGTATAAGAGCAGCTTGGTACCTTTTCACCCATAGCATCTAGTATAAGAACAGTGTCTCCAGACATTCTACCAACAACCTCTCCAGTGTTGGTTTCCTTATCGAAGAAGGCAACATCTTGTCTCAGTATGGTTTTCAAATATGTACCCCTTATTCGTGAAGCCTGTCTCTCTCCGGTGACCATCCAACACGCCACCTCTGACAAACAACAAGAACAGGTTTATAAATCCACAATGCTCGACGCATTAGACAATTTCTTTGCAAGGTGGCATTGTTGAGTTAATAATATACTTACGAAGAAACGATGCTACACCAGAACCAACTCCCAAGTAGACAAATTTGAGAGACACCTAGAAAAGAGTTTTGACATTTATCAAATGATAATTAGTAACATCTCTATATCAGAAACAGAGAACCAAATATCCAATTATGTATCTTCCAGAGCAGAAAGGTGCATGATGTAACTTATCCTTAAAAGCATTGCTAGTGAACGAAACTGGCATATATGCTGATCATGTTTACCTTTGAAACTAAATCCACTACATCTTTGTTATTCTGATTTTGTCCAAAAGAATTAACCAGATCTCCGAAAAGTATTGACATAACTGGAAAGGATGCTCCATTTGCAACAGCACCAATCGTCCCGAGGATCATCAACAAAATATCTGTAGAATCCGCAAACGAAAAGAGCTTGAGAAATGGAACTGTTTTAGTTTCCTCATCCCCTTTGCTCTTCTCTTGCTTTTGTTGGTCCCCATTTCCACCGGAAATTTTCTCCTTCACCACCTGGCTTTCTGATGTGGTGGCCCCATCCGCATTCTTATCACCATTTCCACCGTTCTCGACAGCCATAGCACGAAACCTAAAGATACTAATCTAATTCTCAATTTGCTCTCAGAATACACAAAGACCCAAATTGCAGCTGCACCGGAGCACAAACAAATGAGCAAATTTTAATACAACCAATGAAATAAATAAATAAATAGAAACTAATAAAGGATTAAATAATGGGAGACATTTTTTTTAGTCATTGAGCTGTTCAAGAAATAAAAAAATGCCACCTAGATTGTCCGCCACCTATGCGTTTGATCTTGAAGTGGAATCAAAGCAGTCTTCAAGTAACATGAAGGAAAGGAGGAATAAACTCAATCTTGACCTAAATTAAGGCGAAAGGTCCTTGAATTATATTCCAAGAACTATATCAACAACCATAAATTTTTTTTTCCTAGTAGGAATTACTATTAAATTACTGACGCCATGAAGCAAGCAAAAGAAGATAAAAGTGCCTGATAAAATTTGCAGAACTCACTCAATAGAACTCAGGGTTATAACTTCCTAGTCTACCACTATCTAGCAAGCCCCGAATAGAATTTACCGAACCAAATGAAGGCCAAAATGTCCTGCAAAACTCTTGTACTTTTATCCCACATAACAGAAGCTTATACTCAAAAATTTTTTCCAAAAAGGAACCAAGTCTGTTGGAGAGAATTCACCTACGTCATCTCAACAGAATAAAGAAAATGATGTCAGAGAGAAAGAGAGAGCGCATGGAGGGAGGTAATTTTTCTCAATGATTTCTTTTGTGGCACCAGAAGAGAAATTCAAAATGCAGAAAAGAAGGTAGTCATCATGTAAAGAAAAAAGGATCACGCAGAGGCGAAAAGAAAGAGAGCACTGTAAGTATTGTACTTCTAAGTACTATATCGAGTTATATATATACAACAGAAACAAATAATGATAAACCTCCAAAACAGAACACGATTCCAGTCCATCGTTTTTGAAAAAAAAAGAGAGAGGGAGAGCATTTACTTACCAAATAAGAAAAGGGAAATGAGTAGTTGAAATGACAAGTGAGTCCACAGATATACTATTATTCTAATTTTGTGGCCGCTCAGTGACCTGTTTGATTTTGAGGTAACATTTATAAATCCAACGGCTTATAATATGGTGGGCAGAAATCAGAAGTCAGAAGTCAGAACTGCTTCCTTTTGCTTCTAGTGCAAGCATTCTTATTGTATTCCTCTTAACTCATTCTGACTTCCTGCAACTTGTAAAAAACCATGAATAAAGCTATAATATTATGCTTTTTTGTCAACCTAATCCTTGTTGTTTGTTGTTTATACAAAGACACCAAATGTGATACGGCATGAGAAGGTGTTGGCATACATAAATTCAAGCCACGTGTCGATTGGATTCAACATCACGAAACGTTACACCTTAACCAGAATGATGCATTTTTCAGAGTTTTAATGAAACGACGGATTCATAAACCAACCGATATCGATGAATATAGATTTGAGGATCATAAATAAAACGGTGCGTTTGGGTTCACAAACCAACCAATGTCGACAAGATAGAGTTTTACAATGAAACGATGTGTTTCATTTCACAAAACTAGTCGATATCAATGAAATAGAGATTCTGTTTGGTTTCATAAACCAACCGATATCGATAAATAAGAAAAGGGGATAAAGCTTGATAACTATTTGCGCTCAAAATTGAATCTTCAGGCAGCTATCCATTGACGATAGTTTAAAAGAAGAGGAAAAGACGAATAGAGAGGACAACAACAAGACTGCTCCGAAAATTACTTTTATCATTTAGTTAACCTTACCTTCCTATAAAGTAGGTTGATAGCGTTTATTCTGCTTTTTAATAATTTAGGATTTTTATTTCAAGTGTTACCAAATGGCGAGCATTCAAAACTCGTTGATGTAAGTGTTGTGTCTTCCAATTTATATCTCGCTTTATAGCATTCTCTTTTTATTATCAATTTTATCATTCAAATCGAGATATCACATAAAAGTCTTAGTGGTTTACTAGGCAAGCATTGAACCCTTTATTATTTTTTCGCAAAGTACTTGGTTATCAATTAAAGTGTCGATTTACTCTACATTTAAGACCAAATTCGACGAGCGACGAACAAGTTTTGGCTAACACGAGTGGGAGATTCAATGTCAAAACGTGGTATTACAAGAAGCATAACGAAATGTCCAACCATTGGAGAAGACCAACTCGACGAAACACAATCGGCTTCGTCGAAGGAATGGTCCAAGCTTTTGCAAATGTGCCTTTGCAAGAGAAAGGAAACATAGGAAACCGCACTAGTGGATAGATTACGGGTGACCAAGAGGGATTAACCGAAAGTATGACAAACAAAAACCATAGCAACGGTCGAAATAAATTTGGTATTGGAAGTCAAGAGCCTATCAACCTGAAGGGAGCGATGCCTCTATCAATAGGGGATAAGACGTAGCGACAAATGAACCAAATTTTGACATTCGACGGATGTTATCAAAACGAACGGAAGAACCGCTCAACAAAATCTATGATCCAACTATAGACGTAGGTACTCAAATAAATCGACACTTGCATTTAGTGTCAAATTAGCTTGAAGAAGACATTAGCGGGATGAGAGCTTTCATAGCCGAATCCTCACGAGAAGAGCATGGATACAACCAATCACTATGCCATCAAAATGATGGAATGTATACGTTACCATAGCAATATAGTGATTGCATATGTGAATCACTTGTTCGGTGAAACTATCGGCTTATTGGCTAAATGGGTGGCCAAAGAAATGGAAATTGGCATCGAACCGAGGTTCAATGCTCGCTACAAATGCTACCCGATCAATGAGAAAAGAGGTTAGATGCCTCGTAGTTCCGTCGAAGGAAAAGGGAAAGAGGTGGTCAATAATGGACATGGAGCATGTTCGACTAAAGTGACATATATTCCTCTAGTGGTATCCGCCTACTCGTCTCCAACATAACCTTTGATAGGAGTGGTCGGGATCCACAACATAGTTTGTACACATAGACCCATCATGGCCAAACCCATACCTATCCTACTCAACCACTTACCCAACTCGCTCGCGTATCATCCTCAAATACCCCATGGCAATCCCGTTAGCCAAACTAGCTATCTACTTTATTCACCACTTATTAGCCAAGGTAATGGCTATCATCCTTAAATACCTCTTGGCAATTCCGTTAACCAAACTAATGGTTATCTACCTCAAACACCACCTATTGGCCAAACTAATGGCTATCACCCTCAAGTACCTCATAAGCAATCATGTTAATCAAACTAATGGCTATATGCCTCATGTACCAATTGGTAGCCAACATAATGGTTATCCTCCTCAAGTGCCCCCGCTAACCGAACCAAGCGAACAATCACTCTATTTCCGCATAATATTATGGTCTCATTCCAAATATCCCTCAAAGACCGCCTACCAATTTCCCACCACGGAATGTGCCAAACATGGCTACAGCGAGTAGGAAACAATCAGCTGCCACAACTCGGTCCCGGGAATATTTATGGGGATCCGGACCAAGAAACATTAGCCAACATGATCAAAAGAATGTGTGGATCACGTATGCAAAAGGTAAATCGACCCATGTACGTAAAACCATATCTTGATTATGTCAATAGAGAATATCCTTTCCCGAGAGGATTCGGTGGCCCCCGAATTTACATTGTTCTCCGGTGAAGATAACGTTTTCGCTTTAGAACATGTCCCTAAATTCACCTTCTAATGTGGGGAATTGTTAGGAGATGATTTTCCGAAGCTCCGTCTTTTTCCTAGTTCCTTAACCGTTGCTCGCTTTCACGTGATACATTAATTTGTTACCTAATTCCATTTTTACATGGTGGGTTATGCGGAATGCTTTCCAAGTGTAGTTTTCGAGGATCGATCCCGGAGTTTCGGGGCGAAATAGCCGATTGAAACAGTTTCGTGGCGAATCGACAAAGTAGTTCCTAACAAGATTTAGAAGAGCTAGAGTTCGATGCCCAGATCAATTTGCTCGAAAGCGAATTTGTACATTTCGAATAAAACGGTTTAGATTTTGAACTCGGGAAAAAGTTCGAGGGTATGGTCTTCTAAGACTTATACGAGTTGACAAAGAGAGCCTCCGCATTCGAAGCGATTCCGCGAGAAGAAGCATTATGAAAAAGTACGATGGTCAAAATGTACTATCAAGATCCCGCCATAGTCGATGTTGATTTTACCGAGTATGTTAAAGGAAAGCCAATAGTGCGCAAACAATTGGCTAGAAAGAACATACGAGCCCCAATAGACTTCAAGTCTAAAGAAGATCATAAGTATTTTTTCAATCTAGACAAGACGATTTAATCTTTGATGGGCTTCTAACCAACCATAAGATTAAGATCAAAAGGAAACATAAATTGCCTACCCCCGAAGAAATGAAAAGAGGAAAATTTTATAAATGGCATAAGTACTACATCCCATTCTACAAACCATTGCATCTTATTTAGGAATTTAATTCAAGACTTAATAGAGTCAAAAGAATTAACTTTTCCCAAAAAAGAAAAAGTTATAAAAGTAGATAGCGATCCATTTCTTGAAATTGTTGATGTCCCGACTTTGGATGTTTTCGATATGTCCGAATTGCAGGAATTGCTCGTCAGTAACGAAGCCACTAAAGTGGTTAATTGGTTTTTCAATCGATTGGTTGAAAAATAAGCACCGAGATTTCCTCACTTTGAAGATCCAAAGCTCGACCACTACCGCAAATGGCACATCACCACTCTCCACACCATAGACAAATGCCATAATTTCATAAATTTCTTGAACGACTATAGGGACTATGACTGGTATGACTCGACAAATGCAGAGGAAGTGGCTCTAGTTTTGGCTTATCCGACCCGTAATCATATGCCGATAAAGCTAAAAAATAGTCGGACAAGCAAAGGCTTAGCTTTAGAAAAGGTACTTTAGCTTTATAGACGAGGCTAAGACTCGGTCGAATTGCCAAAGGATGGTTCATGAAAAACGTAAACCAAGGTCATCCACTCATACTAATATGGCCTTAACAAGGCCATGTGCTCGAGGAGAAATAAAAAGAGGAAGAGGATCACATTGACAAAGGGTTTTGTTGAGGAAAGAAATGATCGCCGCTCACTCGCATCATATGGGATCCCGTAGTCTCCATCAAAAAACCCCGGCTCGAGTAAAAAGGATTAGGGATAAAGCCGGAAGGACTTATGGCTCATAGGGTCGTAAATATCATTCTTTTGATTGAGACCATGCTAGGGTCACGAGTCATCCATATCGAAAGCCTACCAATAAAAAATGATCAAATGACCCCAAATCATCCGAACGATAGAATAGTTCCCCCGATCAACGAAGGTCAAATGACCCTAAACCATCCGAATGGTGGAATAGATCTCCTAGATTCGTCAAGCCAAAACAACCCGAAGTGGGAACATGAAAGAGAATTAAAATCTCTTCCCTTAGACAACCAAAATATGACAAGTCCTTCCGGACATCTAAGATCGGATAACGCTCTTGATAAATAAGGAAAGGACAATCCCCTACTATATCTAAGACTCGGAAAAGGAGATGGCTTCGAAAATGGCGGAATTGAAGAAAATCCAAATATCTCAAGATGAAAGCAATGGGATGAAAACTAAGATCCTACGGAGAGGCTTGAAATGGTTACATCGAACGAAACTCTAACTTCTAAAAAAGGAAAAAAAGTGGTCGAATCCAGTTATGATATAGACTTCGAAGATGATGATGACTTCGAAGTTATCCTCGATAAAGACCTTCACCATGACAAAAGCCCCACTACGGGATCAATCAAGACTATGGAATGTAACATGGTCTTAACTTTGCGAACATAATATTTGATGAAGATAGATCAAGAGAAGCATCAACCCGAAGATGTCCTCGACGAGACCGTCACCGAAATGAAAATGGCTAAAATAACATTAAAACCAATCCAACCTTCGATTCTAGTAAGCAATTAATCACTTTCAAGAAACCGGAACCTTCTAAAAGCAAACACATCAAGTCATTGTACATCAAAACATTCATAAACAATTGCCTCGATAGGGAAGGTATTGGTCGATAATGGCGTTGTAGTCAATATAATGCCATTGAATATACTTAAATATCTAGGCAAGTCCAGTGAAGATTTAACAAACACCGATATATCGGTTTATGATTTTGTTAAAAAGTTTACGAAAGCAAGAGGCATGCCGCTCGTAAAATTGCAAGTTGGATAAAAAATAGGAATAACTATGTTCTTTATAATCGACACTAAACCTTCCTTCAATGCATTATTAGAAAGGGATTGGATTCATCTAAACCTTTATGTGTCATCATCACTCTACCACCGTCAAAACAGGACAAAGTTGAAGGGATGTCAAAACATGAGGGTGCATCGAAAGAAGGAGAAAGGAAACGAGTTGTCGAATCAATCGGGATCGAACAATTGTTGATCGAAGACGTTTCGGTGAAAACTCGTAACACTCGAAGAGATGAAAGAAGAAGTCAAAGGTGATGAAGAAGTACAAAGTATGATGGCATGGTATCCTAAGACATAAAAGACGCTCACATTTAAATGATAAATATGATACCAACTAGAACGGATGGTATAGAGGTAATACAAGCTACCATCCATCGTTTGAGTATGTATGAAGCTGAAAGAAGACCTAGTCAATAAGGAGAATCAACCAGCCTCGGTATGATAGATTACAATCATGAAGAAGGAATTAATAAAGAATGCGGGAACAATCTAGTGGATATGTCCATGACAAGAAAAACAAAGATGCCAAGATCAAGTGCTCGGGATCCACTAGAAGAAGTTAATTTAGAGACATAAGGAAAACCAAAACATACTTTTATAAGTGGGTTGTTGGATCTACGAGTTCAAGGAATAAATTACCTCTTTATTAAGAAATTATAGAGATTTTTTTGCTTGGGAGAATCATGAAATGCCCGGTTTGGATAGAAAGTTGGTAGAACATCGTCCGCCAATTGAAAAAGATGCCATTCTAGTAAAAAAAACCCCAAGAAGAATGTTTGAAGAAGTGATTGACTCGGTACTACAAGAGATAGAGAAGTTATTACAAGTAGGGTTTATTAGAACTTCCAAATATGTAGAATGGATTTCTAATATTGTTCCAGCTTAAAAAGAAAAATAAAAAGATTAGAGTATGTATAGATTTTAGAGATCTTAATCGATGTACTCTAAAAGATGAATATCCGATGCCAATAACGGATATGTTAATTGATGGCACTTGTGGGTATCAAATATTTTCATTTACGGATGGATTTTTTGGTTATAACTAGATTTACATGTATGAAGATGTTGTTCATAAAACTGCGTTTAGAAGTTCCGGTTCTCTAGGAACTTTTGAATGGGTAGTAATGGCTTTCGGTTTAAAAAATACCGGCACTACATATCAAAAAGCAATGAACCTTATCTTCCATGGACTGATTGTTAAAAACGTTGAAGTTTATATCGATGATATTGTCATTAAATCATCACACCAATCAGCGATATCTTGTTAATTTGGGAAAATCTTTCCAACGAAATGAGAAGACATGGTTTGAAACTAAACCCATTAAAATGTGCTTTCGAGGTAAGTGTGGGGAACTTTCTTGGATTCCTAATCCACAATAGAGGTATAGAGATCAATGGCAACAAAGCTAAAACCATCCTCGAAGCCGAACCACCAAAGACAAAGAAACAATTGCAAAGTTTCCTTGGATAGTTAAATTATTTGTATTGATTTATCTCTAATGCAGCTTGAAGACTAAAGTTTTCTCGCCACTATTAAGATTAAGAGATTTGGAAACATTCATATAGAATGAATAACATCAATAAGCTTTTGATGCAATCAAAGCCTATTTGACAAAACCACCTGTTTTAGTCTCCCCAAAACCCGAAAAACCTCTCAAGTTGTACATTGCAGCGAGTAAAAATTCCATCGGCTATTTCTTAGCCCAATAGAATGGTGATGGCATTGAACTAGCCATTTTTTACCTAAGCAAGATCCCGAATACATTGGAATGCAAATATCCAAGCATCGAGAAATTATGTTTATTATATTTTACAGCCATGAAATTAAAATATTATTTACTTACCTATACTATCGAAGTTATAGCACAAACTAATGTCATCAAATATATGCTCTTTAGTCCACTTTTGAAAGGCCAAATTAGCAAATGAAGTCTCACCTTGATCCGAGTTTGATCTAATATACATCCCTCAAAAATTTATCAAGGGATAAGCGAGTGATAAATTTTTTAGCCGATCACCCTAAGTGTGGATATAGATTTACCGGAAAAGAGATCGTCTACCTTGGGATAGTTCCATGGAAGTTGTTTTTTGATGGGTCTAGTTTGAAGAATGGGCAAGGTATTAGGATTATACTTGTATCACCCAATGGAATCCCTACTTATTAGATTTCCAAACTAGAAGAGACATGCATTCATAATCGAGCAAAATATAAAGCTCGATAATTGGACTCAAATTGGTTCCGAGTCGAGAGTGGGAGCCATCAAAATTTATAAAGACTCATAATTGGTAATCAACCGGATATTAGATCACGCCAAGTGCAATAATGGCATTTTGGAACATTGCCTAAAAAGAGTAAAAATCATGTAAGCCGCATTGATGTAACCAAAATCGAATATATCCCTAAGGAAGAGAATTGGTTGGCTAATGATTTAGCACAAATGGCCACGAGTTATCAAATCCCTTTGACCAAATTCAAAGAATTAATCACTCTCGAAGACAAAGTACTCTCAAATTTTGATCAAAGAAAAGAATTGGCTACAATTAACACAATTTCAATCCTTTGATCCATTTCGATTAGAGAGACAAAATCATTTCAACGTTAACAAATCCCGAGTTAGAAAGATAAAGTTCTTATATGAATCACATGATGAAAAACTATGTCCTTTAGGAAGATGAGCTATACAAGAAAGGTGCTCGATAGAATCCTACTTCGATGTGTTAATACAAATGAAGCCTTAAGAATGATGGTAGAATCCCATTTCGATCTTTATGGATTACACCAAGCAAGGGATAAAATAAGTTGGATGATTCGACAACATGGTTTCTTTTGGTCATCAATGAGAAAAAATTATATTGAAATGGCAAAGGGATGTGACGCATGCTAAAAATATGACAACATCCCTAGAGTTTTTGCATTTGAATTACATTCGGTAATCAAACCTTGGTCGTTTAGAGGGTGGGCAATGGATTTAATTAGAGAGATTAACCTGACTTCAAGATCATCCCATTCATATATAATAGTAGCCACTCGACTACTTCATTAAATGGGTGGAAGCGAAGCTTATGAAGTTAGTAAACCAAAAAGATGTTATTTTTTTCATTCAACAAAACATCATATATCGATTTGGTTTACCACAAACTATTACCGTCGATCAAGCTTTTGTCTTTAATAAGGTAAAAATGTAAGAGTTTGTAAGGGAATTTGGTTTCGATATAATCAATTCAACACCTTATTATGCTCAAGCCAATGGACCGGAAGAGGCATCAAATAAAATCATTAAGGAAATATCTAAAAAATGATTGGCAATAATCCTCAAAATTGGCACAAGTTGTTACAAAATACCCTATGGGCCGATCGAGTTGGCTTTGAACAAAGTATTGGCACAAGTCCATATCGTTTAACTTATGAGCATGATGCCATGCTACCATTTGAGATTGTGGCTCAATCACCGAGAGTAGCAAGGCAAAATGAAATGTGTGGAATTGACTATACAGTACGCTATATTTGTTGGAATAGAATCATTAGATTCCCAACGAATTAAAGTTTTAAACAGAATTTGCATGCAAAAACAAAGAATGGCATGAACTTACAATCGAAAGCTCAAGAGTAAAAACTTTTCGATTAGAGACTTAGTTTGAAAGGTCATACTACCGATTGGAAAGAAGGATTATCTATTTGGTAAATGATCCCCTAATTGGGAAGGCCTCTTTCGAATTAAGGAGACATATTTTGGGAATGCTTATAAGTTAGAAAGCATCAAAGGGGTGGAGCATGCTAGGGGCATCAATGGTAAATACTTAAAGCCATATATTCCTTCTATATAGGAAGCAAATAAAGAGATTTTGGAATTTTAATTCCCATAATTATAGCGAATGTATAGAAAAATTCAAAGATAGAACAAAATAATGTAAAACAACCATTTAATTCGGAAGACACATCTTTGGAATTAAAGTCAAAAATTGTTAGCAATTGTTATTTCGAGCTCTATTTCTAAGAATGTCTAAAATAATAGATAAAGCTCTTATAAGGTTCGAGCCGCTAAGCCTTTGCCTACGTACAAAGTCATGCCTCCGCCACATATGCAAGTCCTCATTGACATCGGCAATTTGAGGTTCCAAGGTAGATTGAATGGGTTCTAATTCAAATATCTTTTACCTCGTTTCTACAATCTCCTTATCTAAACGAGCCCCGGTTTTATCCAATTTAGCTTGTTCCTCCTCAAAACCGTGGTTGTCTTAGTAGGGGTTCCTTTCATAAGAACTTGAACCAAAGACCTTACATGGTTTGCTCTTCCTTTAAAGCTCGTTGTAATCATATCTATCGATACATCAAGAAACTCTCGATCATAAATGTTTAGAGGAAAATAATTAAGGAAATCAAGTAGATCCGAGAATCCGGTGGAAGCAAAAACCGAGTTTCAAAGATCTTAAGAGGTCCCGCTATAACTAAAGCGAGATACTATTTGTATTTATTGATTCAAAGCAAGATCCGACCGAGTAGATGCTTCCTTAAATTGCTCGTGCTCAACGTCGAGGATATGAACCGAAACCACTTCATCTTCATTAACCCTTTCATCAAGTCTATGATGAAGACCTATATCTTGAACATTAATCATTTCGGGATGATCGATCATAACCATTAAGGGTATTGATTGATCGACTACCAAAGGGCGAGGTGGATCGCACAAAAGAGGGACATTAGAAACATTAACAAGAGGATTCGATGCTTCAAAAGGCCTTCGTGCAAAAATCTCAAGAGCTTCGAGAGAAGGCATCTCTTCGAACCTTCTATCTCCATTCTAATAGGGACTTTAATGATAACGGTCTCGAGCCTTTTGTGTGTTTCTCTACAAAAATAGGCTTCTCTATAGGTTCTTATACTGCCGATGCATCATATGTCTCCCTAGAGGTTGCATCAATCGCATCGATAGGATTTTTTACATTCACCTCACCCCGAAGACCTAAAAAAACTTCCCGAGAGGGTGGTAATGATTCTCCAAAGGACATCTCTAGCCCAAGGGGTAAAAGATGAAACACTTTAATCGAGTATACGAATTGAAGAAAAGGAACAATTAATTTTACATTTAGGAGATCATTACTCGTATTGGCTAGATTGGGATGTTATAATTCTTGTCAAAGAGAGAAGCCGATTCGGGATCGACTACCCGACATAATGATCAAATAATGTAAGTAAAAAACATTTTATCATAAAATGAAAAGAATGATGAAAGAAACTTACTTGGCTTGCTTTAGGTATGGATGGACCTCGCGATCGAAAGAACAATTCAAACTCGAAATATCATGCCCGGGTTTTGAAGTTTGGCCAAGAATTTCTATAAGAGGAGGAGGTCATCGAAATCCTTTTTAAACCTTCTCAACTACACAAAAACCAAGGATTCAGAAAATAATCAATATTGAGAATAAGATAAAAGATGGCGAGATAGAAAGATAAGGAATCTTACTCGCTTCTCGCAGTTGTCTTTTCTTGTTCTTCTAGCGAGAAACCTTCGAATCTAAAATGGATGCTTGTAAAGGTTGAACACATGACTCAATTGGGACCCTTTCCCCATTAGAAGAGGAGGAAGAACAATATGAAAGCTCTAGCTTGGGAAGAGGGTCTTTAATGATAGGGCCTATCGAACTAGGGCATCTAGAGGCATCGGTAGCGGTCTTTTTCAAAGGTCCGCACGAGTGGTTCGACTTGGTCCCTCCGAAGATAAATTTTCCGAAGAAGGATCGGATAAAATAATTTTCCTCTTTCTATAATCTAGTTTCTTTGGTAACATTGTCAATAGGTAAAACCAAGAATAATAAGTTTTATCTCTTTTTTCGAGCTTGAGAATGACGAACGCTATAAAGAAAAACCCACTAGTTTTTATAATAATTTACCTTTAATTGGTATCGATTTCATCCGCGTCGATACATCGGTGATCGCCCGGAGCAATTCATCTCGACATAAAAGAGGAAACTTGTTACTCTAAAATGATGACCATATTGTAGTGAATGTTGAAGTCACTTTAATATTCGAGCGATAGCCACGAAGATCTTGAGTATTGGTCAAAACTTAGGATTCATTCTCAATGATTTGCTTTAGAAAATTCTTGATGTCATTCCTTGTCCGCTGTGGTTAGTTTATGGTTGTATACAATGGCACGACCACTATTTAAATCAACCCAAATTGTCGAGCATAGAGGTTTGGAGAGTAGGCCTCGGTGAAAACTAAATCTCCCGAAGGGTAAGTCAAATTTTGACTTACCGGTATTGAACTTTAGATGACACATTCGCCGGTCAAGAATTGTACCTTACAAAGTAATTTGTTTGAATGGAACCATAACACTCCATTGCTATGAGTATGGAATGGCATCCAGGTCATCCAATGTCACTCGCTTGAGATTTGGATCAAGAATGTGATTCACGGCTTCGAAGAGAGTAATAGGTTAGCCGGTATATTGTGTAGCATCGAATGGCCATAGCTCTTTACATCATCCTGGATTAAATGAGGTCCGCATAAAGTAGGAAAATAGAATTCGCCCCACATCCGGATAAACGAAAGAGGACATGACAAGGTTTTGAACCTTTTAGTCAATGTGTCGTGAAGACCTACATATGCATAAGCAAGAAGAATGAGACCCATAGCCACCGGTCCGATTCTCGTTGAGTGCAGCCGGATTGATAACCCAAGGTAAAAAGGCCTTGATTGGTTTTTTCAATTTGGAGCCCACGATATACTTACAAATCCACGGAAAATAGAAATCGATCTCCTCATGCCGAGATATCGTTGTTCCACTCGCACATCAATCAACCAGTTGACCATACGTTGTTAGGAGCCTATTTTCTTGGGCCTTAAGGTCTACTTCATTTGCTTTAAAGGCCAAAGTCCGGCCGGAAGGGTATAAACAGGTAATGGCCATCACATCTAGCAAAGTCATTGACATATGACCTTCAAGAAATTGGAATTGGTTGATATAAGGGTTTCATAAAGAGACCAAAGTTGTGACCAAATTAGGGCTTAGAAAATAAGAGTGAGTCGACAAGCATGGTGGCTTTACGGATCCCCATCGTTGCTCATTTTTTACCCAATTGAAGAAGGAGTCTCTTGTTCACCTAAGCCTCATACTTAACATTCGATTTTGGCCAAATCACTAGAAATGCTTTGGCGATGCGGGTCCAATTTTGGAGGGTGAAATAAAATACGAGTTCAAAAACTATACCGACGTTAGTAGTTCTTGGGTAAGCCGAATCAATCATCTTTGATAAAGGCACCACATCGACATTGATCGTAGGTCCTAGGGTTCGATAAGGACTCCTTTTGGGGTTTTTCTTAAACCCTATTGGGACATCGATAACTTGGTTATCTATAATAATTTGAATTAGATGAGTATCGATCACATTGGGTCAAACAAAGAGCTCCCACAATCCGTGGCGGTCGGTTAACGAAGATACTATGGTTTGCACTGCATTTCTTAGAAGATTTTAGCTTTCTTTTAAGAGTCATTCTAATGGAATAGAAAGAAATTCCAAAGCGAAGCAAGTGTTCAATAAAAGGTAAGAAAAGTTTTTGGAAAATTTTTACGGAAAGTAAAAGAAATCGTAAATAGTGTAAAATTATAGAATCGAGTTTGTTTTTATATCATATACATTTAAAATTCATGATGATTTCACTTTTCAAACACAACAGTTCGGATTCGACGAAATAAAACTTCAAATACTACATAAAGTAGCCATCTTAGGAAGTCGCATAATCTCATTATGTCTTATTGGCATTTAATGATATGTCCATCGAAGAAGAAACTCTTCATTTCATCTCTAACAAACTAATAGAGGGGCATGTGTTGGCATACATAAATTCAAGCCACGTGCCGATTGGATTCGACATCACAAAACGCCGCACCTTAACCGAATGATGTATTTTTCGAGTTTTAATGAAATGATGCGTTTGAATTCATAAACCAACCGATATTGACGAATACGGATTTGAGAACCATAAATGAAATGGTTGATAGGATAGAGGCCTACAATGAAACGATGTGTTTTATTTTACAAAACTAGTCGATATCAATGAAATAGAGATTCGTTTGGTTTCATAAACTAATAGATATCGACGAATAAGAAAACGAGATAAAGCTTGATAATTGTTTGTGCTCAAAATTGAATCTCCGGACGGTTATCCATTGATAATGGTTTAAAAGAAGAGAAAAAAACAAATAGATGGGACAACAACAGATCGCTTCCGAAAATTACTTTTATCCTTTAGTTAACCTTACCTTCCTATAAAGTAGATTGATAGCATTTATTACGCTTTTTAATAATTTAGGATTTTTACTTCAAGTGTTACCAAATGGCAGCATTAAAAACTGTTGATGTAAGTTTTATATCTTTCGAATTATAATATTTATATCTCAATTTATATCATTCTTTTTTTATTATCAATTTTATCATTCAAATCGAGATACCACATAAAAGTTCTAGCGGTTTACTAGGCAGCATTGAACACTTTATTATTTCCTCGTGAAGTACTTGGTTTTAAATTAAAGTGTCAATTTACTATACTTAAGACCAAATTCGATAAGCGACGATAGAAGGTCATAAAGTCATGCACCGTTGTTCTTTAAAGCTAACAACCAACCTATGAATTACTACAAATTAAATTCACTTTACGGGTATTCAATTAGATTTATTTATTTACTAAAAAAAGTAGAATTATTTAGATTGAGATGAGGGTGTTAATTTTAAACGTTCATCGACCCTTCCCGGCTATTTTGATTTGCTCGTGAATAGACATAAATAATGATTTGGATATTTCGGAATGGCTCTTACTATTTTCATTCTCTATTTCTATCCATCGATAACCGAGTTCCATGTTCATCAACCATTGTGTCTACTCGTTCGATGCAATAGTTGAAATCCAAATTAAAATGAAAAATTGATGCGATCCGATCCTCGACCTCTCCAAAAAAATTGATAACACTAGAAATTAGTAAAGAGAAAACCGAGATAGAACTTGAGGTAGTTTATAAATGAAGTTAACGAGCATTGCTAAGTTCGACTGTAGTCGATCATATCTCTTCGGTAGTTGTACTATATTTTCGAATGCAATCTTATCCTTAATACCGGATGTGAGCAATACGGAGTTCTTGATTGATAAGACCAAATTTTCTCTCAAATTCACTTCTTCGACTTGTGGATCATAAAATCTCTCTATCAAGCCGACCACTCGTTGACTTTTCACTTCCTCGTTGTCCATTTAATGCTGCAGTTATTCCTCTTCCACTTAAGATGAAAAAAAGAGAAGAAACCGGAAAATATTTGCTCATCTAGTCCGGCTAGAAAATTGAAATAGTTTAGATGTCTCGTATTGTATTTCGAGTGTACATATAATCGTATTAGACTTAAAGTTATCCGACCTATATACTATCTTATTCTATCGTGCATATACTAGGGTTTCATCTATAAAATGTATAAACCTACCGTAGACGTTCATTATAATTATAATTGAATAAAGGTTCCAACCAAAACTATTCGAAATATACATCACTCAACTCTATATCTTCACCGATTTCATCTAACGACTTTTCTTGAATCGAAAGCATTTATCCCCGGCTTTCTATTGACGAGTCTCGAAGCATCCTATACGTTGCGAGCTTGACCAACAACAAATGCACTCATGCAAGGAGATGCCGAGCTTTAGGAACATGAACCATTCATCTTATTAAAGTATTTTGCTTCATAAAGGAACTCACATGAAATGGGTTAACACGAAACAATCATTAATCATGTCACCCCCGGCGTATGCTTTTTCCAAAATCATCTTCAACCAAGGCCATTTTGCCAAAGCATAGCAACGAACATAACTAACATAACGATGTCAAGGCCTAATCCAACAACAAAGCCTTCGAACACGGAGTAAGCGACAAGAAACTTCTTGTAATTAATTATGGCTTGCTTCTCCCCGATAAATGATGCAACCTAGATACAAGCTAAACGAGTTAGCATTATATACTCAATTT